TATTTCAAAAGATAAAATATAAAAATAATCTTTAAAATAAATATAATTAGTAGTCTTAATAGTCCAATATTTTTAATCTAATTGTTCTTATTAAATAGTAAGCTTTTATTATTAAGTCTCTAGATCTTTATTCTGTAAATATAAGATTATTTTTTAAAATTTAAAATTATATTTATCTAAGTATAAAACTTTTACAGTACACACACGTGTTACTATAAATTAAAGAATAAATCTCTTTTAAGATAAATTTTCTTAAGCAATCTAGTCAGCTATCTCTATACTAGCTTAATCATTAGGATTCTTTAAGCTTAATACTATATAAGTATTAAATCTAGAGTAATCTTATATATTTCAAGATTTAAACTAGGATTTTATATTTATTAAATTCCTAATTATCAGGGATAATATATCTATAAAATATTCTTAAATTAGGGTTAAAAGTTTCTCTTAAAAAATAGATTCTATTTAGAATCTAGTAGATATTCTAGAGGATTTATTTACTAGATTTAACTTTCCTATCCTATATTTAATAATAAAATTAAAAGAAATTAAGCTTATAAGCTATTAAATTTATCTTTTATTAACTCTGGTCTGGCGCATGAACAATTATAAGTTTAAATAATCAAATAAAACCTTAATTATTTAAAGAGTACTCTCGAGATATTATCACTATTATTTAAAAAAATAAATAATAGTAAATAATTTCTAGTCTAGAGTACTATAATTTAGTTTAACACTAGAGAACTTATAAGACTAAAAAATAACTAGATAGAATATATCCTTACTATTAGATTAGAATAAGATTTTATTTATTCCTTTCTTAAATACATCTATTTCTAAATATCAAGATTTTATAGGATTAAAATATATTAATAAAAATATTTATTAAAAGGCAATAATTAAACAGTAAAAAGTTATTTATTTATGTAAGTTTAATTAGATTTTTTCTAGTTTTTATTTATTAACTACTCCATAGAGTAAAAAGGTAAAAAATAATATAATATAAAAATAATTTTAGATAAACTATTAATAAAAGTTACAAAATCCTAAGAAGACTTAAATATTATAATAATTTTTAAATAATAATTATAAAATAATATCATTTACTTAGTAAGAATCTATAAATATACTATTAATATTAATAATATATTCCAGGAATTTGACTTGCAATTAATAAATAAATATTTTAATAATTTTATATAAAATTTAGTTTCTCGAAGTCTTTCTAATATTTAATAAATATATCTTGTATAGGATTTCCTATCTAATAAAAAAATAAAAATATTATCTAGATATACTATATAAAAGTTATCAAAAAGTCCATGGAGTATAATATATATATAATTTTAAAAAATTACTAGAGCATTAGTTAATCTAAATAGTATAATTATATACTTAAAATAACTATATTAAATATAAAATGTAGTTTTCTATTTATTTCTTTTTTTAATATAAATTTAGTAATAGGCATCCTTAATATTAATCTTTAAAAAATATTTACTACTTGAAACTTTATTAAGAATCTCTAAAATAAAAAATAAAAAATAATAATTTTTAATAAAAATTTTATTAAAACTCCTGTAGTCCATATAAAAATATAAACTATTATTTTTTTTTAATATAAAAAAGATAGAAACTCCTACAAGACTTTTAGAAAACTATATTTAACCTAATTTCAGATTTTCTTTAATATATTCTTATAAAGCTTTAAGTTCAGCTTCTGAAAGAGGGTATATAAAACTATATAAAAATATTTTATTAGGCTTAAAATTAATAGCATGGTTTATAGGACTATAAAAAAGTAGCTATTAAAAAAAATCTATAAAAAAAATATCACGGAACTGATGGAGTTCAATTAATAATAATTCTAGATTTAATAGTAAATTATAAGATTCTTTCTTAGATAGCTAGATATTTTTAAGAAACTTAATAACAATATATACTTTTACTAAATTTTGAGTTACTCTAGTGAATTTAGTGGTAGAAAAAAAAGAAATAAATAATATATTAAACTACTATAAATAATTCCATGCTAATAAGATAATATATAAATTTTAAAATATAATTATAGATAATAAAACAAGACTACTATTTAGTTAAAGATTTTTATTAATCTTTATATAATATCATGTAAAAGTTCAAGTACTTCCTCGCGAATTAGTAATAATAATAGAGATCTTCTATATATTATAAATAGAAATATTAAGTTAATTAATTATTTTAATTCTAGATATAGTAACTAGAGCATATTAGAGTTTATAAATTTTAATAAATTAATAATTAATAATATCTATCTTAATATAACTATCTAGATTTATAAAGGTTTCAAGACTATTTTAAATATAAATAGGAATATAAAAATAATAAATAATTTTTACTATAGATAAAAAAATTAAAATTATAGAATCTATTTTAATTCCTCTACTTTTTCTTCTAGCTCTAATAAAAACTAATAAACTTTAGTAGATTAGATTTTTTTATTTTTAATAAGATAATAATTTACAAAATACTAAGTACTATTATATATAAAATATTATAATTATTTATTAGTTTTTTTAATAAAATTTTTTTTATAATTTAAGGTATTATCTATAACAGATTTATTATTATAATAAGTTAAAATCTATTTATGTGGTCTGTAATCATTGAATTAATTATTATTATATTTATATTTTCTTCTATTATTTTATAATTTATAGTAATAGATAATAGTAAATACCATTTCCTCTCATTTTTTAGGTAAGTGCGGAACGTATTCTTAAATATAATAATTTAAATCTAGTAATAATTTAATAAAATATAATAAAACTCTTTTTTTCTTAACTTAATAAGAAAAATATTATTTTAAAATATCAAAATAAGCATGAAACTCTTTTAGATCTTGATTATATTATTAATAAGCTTATTTAAGTTAAATTATAATATCTAATTAAAAAATAATAATATTTTAAATTAAAATAAAGATCTAGTCTTTAAATTAAAATTATAATTTTTTAAGTAATTATTTCTCTTCCAGGCTCTTATTATTAGTGAAATAATACTATCTCTATCTATATACTAAATCTATATAGCTAATAATAGCGAGAATCTTGCATTCTTCAGTAGAATATTTTCTAAAAATCTTTTAAAATATATATTCTAAATTAATAATCTATTTCTAATATTTTTAGAAATTAAAATTTAATATAAAATAAGAAATATTTTTAAACTTGATTTCTTCTTTTTCCTTATCAGATTCGGTGGAAGATTAAAAATATTTAAATAATATTTTACTAGAAGAATAATCTCTCTAAAGATAAGCTATTCTTTATTATAAATTATTAACTTACTCTAACTAATAAATACGATCTTCTAACTATTAAATTTCTTTAACAGTAAAAACAGTATTTAATAATAGTTCTAAATTGGTTTAATCATTGACTAATTCTATTTTTTTACGATTCTTAAAAGGTGGTATTTTCCTTAAATAGTCAAGAAAGAAGAATCAGAATATAATAAAATCTATTTATTAGAATAAAAGATCTATTAACTAGATAAGGAACTGGCTATTAAATATATAGAATTCTACTAGTAATAATAATATAGCTTATATCCACGTAGAGAGACTAATCCTTAGAAAATCAGTAATCTAATACTGATAAATATTATTTTATAGTAGGTAAGAAGATCCTGAACTACTATTAATAATCTTATAATTACTATAGCTATTCTAGTACATCACCCGAAAGCCCTAGATTACACTGACTGGGCTACTATAGGACCAGGACATCGGTCGGGCCGGTGCTGATAAGATAAAACCTCTATCCAAACCGTTCTATCACAGTTCTCTACTTATAGTAGTAGTACTGATATTTTTTTATATATCTATTTATATTTTATCCCGTATAAAGTATTCCAATCTTTTATTAGATTATTTATAGTTGGTATATATTCCCCTCCATATACTAAGTAAGTGGTGATATAAGAGAAAAGTTATTATAACCAGATGGTCGCGGTATCTTATATACGGAGAAGAAAGACAATTTCTATAGGATTTAATAAGGTAGGTATTTATATACGAGGGCTAATAAGTCTCAAATTATTAAGCTTGGATCTAGCTATGATGGAACTTAATATTTTAGTTATCCATAGTAGCCACCGCTTTTTATATATAATTATTGTGATAGAACGGTCTGGATTGAGACCTTATCTTATCGGCAGTGGCCCGACTAATATTCTAATTCTGTAGTAGTCCAGCCAGTGTGGTCCGGGTCCTTAGAGTGACGTGCTGGGATGGTCATGGAAGTCATAAGATTATTAGTGATAGTTTGGGACCTCCTCACCTACTATAAAATAATACTTCTCAGTGTTAAGCTACTGATTCTTCAAGGATTAGTCTATTTTATAGATATAAGCTATCTTTATTACTACTAGTAGAATCCTACATGTTTAGTAGCTAGTTCCTTACCTAGTTAACAGACTATCTATCCTAACAAGTAGATCCTATTACATTATAGATATACGGGCTTAATAATTTTAGTATTTCTATAAGAAGTACTGGATTTTACCCAAGTGGAAGCTATTTATATATATAGACGAAGTATTCCTCTATATTACGGAAAGAAAGACCGCGGCTATAATTATTAGGGGAAGAAAGGCTATATAAAATCATAATATAGTATTAGTTTTTATATTCTGTCTTGTTCCCTGCGTACGTATATATAGTATATATATTCACGAACTTTGATATGGTGTTTCTTCTGAATAATTAAAGCGATATCACTAGTTAAATAATTCTGATAGAATAAGCTGATAATCTCAGTCTTAAAAGGCTCAAGATTAATGAAAGAAGGCATGATAAATAAAAGAATATAGTTAGGATTCTACGTACAGTGTTATTCTAGTTCCTTTCAAAGATGCGGTAGACTAGGCGGTGAAAGCACTTCAACACATTTGCAGGATGGCCGCTATTAACCGCCGTAGATATCGGGCCTCAGGCCCCGAATCGCTCTGAGCGGGAACTTGTCGAGAGTCAGCTTGAGTGCCATCGCAACTACGCGCGCAACGATGGGCGCTCCAGATCCCCTTCCGCTGGGCTCGGATCGGACCTCATCGGCCCTCCGACGCAGCTGTGTTTTCTGTCGCTCCCGGAAGATCCGATGCTCGGGCGAATCCATCTGCAGTGCTTGTGAGAAGCGCAACCTCAGCTGCGTCTACAGTCCGGAAGCTCGCAAAGGCCGACCCAAGCAGAAGGGGACAACGGCACAGCCTGACCCCGCCTCTGATACACATAGTAACCATGGCGGAGAACCTTTACCATCCCCCAGAACATCCGTGGAGGGCGCCTCTCACAGCCCCGAGTCTGCAACCAACTCTGCCTTGAACGACATCGTGGGCGATGAGCTGGAGCGAAGGTTCAACGTCTGGTTCATCGCAAAGTCCGAGTCGTGCACTAATCTCTTTCAAAATTCGATTGTCTCTTATCGGTGGGACATGAAGCAGCCTTCGCAGAAGGGCTCGCCAGTCCGCCCCATAAAACCCCCTTTGAGCTACGATGGATTGCTGTCTTTTATGGCTTCTGAGATGGTGGGCATCCTGCCACTTCGTTTTAGTTACTTGGGAGACCAGCAACCGGATACCCCAAACCAAAATTACTATGTCTCGAGCTTGGCAGCAGACACGACGCTCACAATGTTTGATCCTATCGAGCGTGATTTCGATCCTCTGATGGCACTGGGGAAACATCTTGTCCTCCAGCTGGTCGACGTGTGGTTCTCTGCACATCCTTTATCGCCCCTGGTGTCTAAAACGCTACTTACAACGGCAATCCAAGAACAAACAGTGGATAGAGCCCTTCTAGGGGTCATCTTGGCCGATGCGTGCGAGGCACAGCCCATCACGACCGGGTCGGATGGAGATGTCTACAACAACCCCCAGGCACTATTCCAGGTGGCTTTATTGCAGCTGAAGCAGCGCACTCTAACTCTTGAGGATCCATTTGTTCTATCGACCGTGCAAGCAGTATTCCTGATCGGATGGAGGGAGTTATGCCTTGGCCATGCCCGCCGCGCTACCTGCTTATCAGGCTATGCTTGCCGGGTTATCGCCTGCCTGTACACCTGGCAGACGGATAGCAGGGCGTGTAGCAGAAAGTTAAATGGTGTCGATGTGGGCGTTGTTGAACGGGAACTTGTGCAAAATATCTACTGGTTGTGCTTGGCCACCACCACATGGGCCTTCATGCAGAGCGACCAGCCATTCACACTGCTCACCCCGGAAACAACGCCTGAGTTTCCATGCTTGGATGAGACTGCCTCGGCGATTCTCCACTTGGATCGCGCGTCGGGCAACATCTCTACGCTACAATCACAAATCCAGGCTATGCGGTGCCTGTGGCCGCTTAGCCATATTACTAGTACCGTGGGGCATGTCTATACATTGTATCTCAACACGCCAGCAGAGGACAAGCCAGGGCAGCCAGTATCATGGCAGAAGCAGCATCTCCATCAGTTGCATCAGCTTTTCCAGCCTCGTTTTGACCGATCTGTGCTGGCGTCGAGGTTGCACAGAATTCTCCTCCACGCCATTGAGCTCGTCACGAGCCAGGTCGGCATCATAACCTCGCGCTCCTTTCTATTGAATGCTTACCATAGCATCGCTATCCATATGCTCTTCTCGGGGGATAAAGTTGGCCAAGAGCGACAGATGATCTCTCCGTCCACCATTGATTCTTTCTGTCAGTCCGCTTCTGCACTCCTTGCCATCGCTCAGCAAAGCTCTTCGCAACCGACTAGTCCGATGTCAACACAAGTAAATATCGGCATCGAGTGTTCGAATATGATGCTCTACGGTCTTGACACATGCAGCCGAGGCCTCTCATACATCTACACCCGACATGAGCGGGGTTCGATCGAGGAGCGCAATACGATTAACATGACGCAAACCCAGCTGATAGATGTCGCTGCTCAGCTATATCAAGCGTGCAAAGGGGATGCCGTGTCCCGTCTAGGGTCTGCGTTACTGCCAGTGAAGAAACGATTTAAGCGTACGAAGATAGCCTTTGAACTTCTTGGGTCGTCTGCAGTTCCATCACTGCCTTCTGGTCCGAATGAGACCGATACTACGGGTATCTGGGCTGCCGCAAATGATCTCCGGTTGGACCCAGGGGTCATTGATCAGCTGGCAGGCCAATCTCTTAACTCTAGTCCCGGGTCTCTGCCGGCTATGGCACCCGACCCATCCATGACATTCCCTGAGCATCCGACCGAGGTCATTGATCCGGGGTTTTTCATAAACGGTCCGGTCGCAGCGCCCCTTCTGGGGTTTCCGGGCCTTGCCAAAATGAATATGCAACTACAGGACTACCTCTTTCAAGACGAAAGCGATCCAACCCAGGACATCTCTGGTCTCTTTGGCCAAGACACGGGAGAGAATTCGACTTAGCAATTCATCTAGTCTTCAGCCAACTGTATGACAACAGTCCCACATTAAATAATAAGTCATATCCAGCTGCTGTACACAGCTGGACTACTGAAGGGGTATCGTGTAAATCTGAAGAGGCATGTCACGCATGCATCGAGGTCAACTGGGGTGCTCATGACAGCTCGTGCCTCATCCGGCCTACTTCCAACTCTGCAGGATTCCCCGGTGTCTTCATCATTGGGGTAGTATACTGTTGCTGTTCAAACATCGGGTTACCACCAGTCGAGGCTATTTGTTGTAACCGCCGCCTCTGCTTTCTCTCCCAGGCGCCCCACACAATCGCAGCACTTGCAATAACACCGAGTGGGACACCGACACCGACACCGATGGCTGTATCACGGGAAGAGGAACCGGAGGAACCAGAGGAACTCGAAGTCAAAGAATCTGCAGTTGACGAGGAACTTGACACAGAGGTGGAAGACGAAGAGCAGTTCGTGGAAGAAGCCGTATCATTCCCTTTGGTGGTGAGATTCGCGAGCCCAGCATATCCGACCAGCATCTCGCCCGTGGCCACCTGGAACGAGTTTCCATAGGGACAGATCACCTTGCTCCCGTTACTGATCGGTGTACCGCAACAATACGTCGAAACGCCATCCACATAGAGAAGGTTGATGATGGAGCTGCCGCCGCTGGTGTTGACGTCCTCTATTCGTTGTAACATATACGTCAGTTATTCGCTTGCACAATAATTTACATCGGAAGAAGCACGCACGACAAACCGATGGGCAATTCTCCGACTCCCAATTTGGATCCGTACAAGCTCTAGACAAAACGTATGGTTGTTCCCCCGTGTCCATGCAGAGATTATTCGATAGACAGATGTCGGAGGTACCGCAGCACGCAGAATAGGTCTCCGAAGAGCAGGGGACGTTTCCTGTGGCAACGTTACCGTTGGGGTAGTAGCAGGTATTTGCCGCACTGGCTGTCGTGCATGATGCGACAAGCAGCACGACTGAAGCGGCGATCCCCCTGAGACTCATATCGAATAATTGACCCTTCTAAGCGACAGTCACGAGCAGGAGAAGAATGAAAGAAAGGAAGAAAGAAAGAAAGAAGGAGAACCCCAGGACGAGGCTGAATGCACGCCTTCAAGTCCAACAGGGAACTAGCCCGCGACTAAAATATGAATACGACTCTTCAGCCCGTGCCACGCTTCCCAGGCCCTGAATAAATTATCCATGGCTTCGAGGTGGGGTGACTGGACTGGCCAAGACTGTGCTGAATCCTTAGTGCTGATAGGATCGCTGGTTCGCTGCCAATGAGATGGTTCCTCAGTGATTAGCTGCCTCGTGGCAGTAAGCTAAGAATTGTAGTTAAAAATGAGGATTCGTTGTGCCATCTGAGCGGCTGAGCGTGACCATTCAGAGGCCCTGTCTGACAAGGCTATCCACTTAGTGCTCTCCTGTCGCCGTTGGCTAGTTTTAGCTTAGTATAGTTGGGTGTCCGCTCACCGCTAGAGAAGACTTACTCCTTGATTCTTTTCCTCGTGATAATAGCCCCTGCACCTAGACCGATTCTGTTATCGAAATCAAATGGGACCTACCACTGTAATTCATCACACGACATTGCCATTGATGTTGCCATATTTGGATAGTACCTATAATACCCCTCTTATAGTCACCCATTTACACAATACACCACAGCAGGACATTCTCCCATCCCATAGCTAAATAACAATTCGACACCCCAAATCCGGGACCCGTTTCCGAAACCCCATGTAGCCAGCCCAGTGGATGATAAGTCTCGGCGCCGTAGCGGGCAGCGGGGCAAGGGTATATATACCTTTCGAGTCATGTCCTACCTAGCATATAGACAGCACCTACATACCAATCCAAGAAAAGAAGATTGTGATCAATGAAGTCTACTATCTATCTACATAATACATCCCAAAGCAACCTCCAAAGGAAAACTACATAGGAGGAGAGGCTCACGGGGTTACATGTCCGGGGAGATCTCAGTCATATTTTCCCCTTCGTTGTGTCTGTACTGAGTGTGATAGAGATCTTTAGAGGGGCTTAGAAGGGTTTCTCTCTTAGCTTCATAGCTATACATAGTTAAGGTTCACCAGTTGTAGCATGAAGGGGTTCACCGTCTTCTTTGGTACTCTTTAGGATGCTGTATTGTCTAGATCTAAATTATGCCGGTAGCGTGTTATTGAGAATGGTTGGATAAGCTGGTTAGATCTGGTATGGTCTGAAAGGTACATACACATCCAATCATGTATCTAGATAGATAGATACTCCTACCAACAGACCAATCCTTCATGGAAAAAAAAACATAATGTATTCACGCAAAGGGATATCTCAAACCAAACAAACTAAACCACCTATACAAGAAACATACCAGAATCGACCCGCGAGACTAAATCCACGATACACCTTCTTCTCCAATCCAACCCCATCATTATGTATCTCCTGGCTAGGCACATCGCTCACATCACCCATAGCTATACATACATACAATCCCCCCCCCCTACCCCACATAAGCAATCAGAATCTAATCTACACCCCCAAACAAACCACCAAAACCACCCCCCCAAGCACACCCATCCCTGACTTTACACCGGGGGCAGCCCCAACACTCGCACTCGGACTCACCACCGCCCCACTACTCACCGACCCAGAACCAGATCCGGATCCAGCCACTGTACTGGACGGTGTGGCCGACGCCACCACAACCATCGACGACGTCACCGTCACCGACGGCACCGCAGTAGCAGTCTTAGCTCCATCCTCCGCAGCAGAAGAACTCGGCATCGCGATACCCGTTTCCACCATCGTGGGGTTGACTTTGATGGTTTCGGGGGAGATCGAGGAGTCCGAGGAGTCCGAGGAATCAGAGTCAGGGGCAATGACGATGCCGTTTTCGGTGTTGGTGGTTGAGGCGCGTTTCATCTTAGTATTGGTGTTGGTGGTTAGGTTGATGGGGGTGGTGGTGGTGGTGGTGGTGGAGTTATTGATCAGCCAGGTCGTAGAATTACCACCTAAGAGGTTAGATTTACTTTCGATTCTGGATATACTTGGGTAGATAGGAAGTAAAAAGTAGGTATTCTGGCTGTGTAAGGTACATAGGAAGTTGGAAAACGTACAATATTCCGAAGGAAATCCCGAACAAGGAATCCGACATTCCGTGGCGGACACTTGATCCTCCGCTGGAGGCAGCTGGTCACCGCAGTAACATTCATTGCCGTTGTGCAGGGCGAAGATGGGCTGGTTTTGCTGCGTGCAGAGTTGCTGGCAGTAGCCTTGGGATTGGAATTGATAGGTACCCGTGGAGACTAGTTGGCCGGGCGAGGTGTAGCAGCCCACGGTGGTGTAGGCGGAGACGCTGGTTAGAAGAGAAAGGATCGAGAGGGTGAATATGTTGGTATTGGATTTAGGCATGTTGATAACGAGCGAATATGCAGTCAATTCGGGTTGAAAGAGTGGCACGTATATACGTCGTAGTAAATACAGGATAGAAAGAACGATAGCACTGATTCCAAACATGGCAGCATCCTCCACCTATATACTGGTTGATCCTATGGTTGGCACCCCTGGAACTTGAGTTTGACAAAAAATCAGCGGGTGAAACGCAGCAGAATGCCGATCGGATGATCGCGTGAACGAACGCCTGTCTGGTTCTCCGGATTCCCAAAGGGTTCGTTCGGCTCCACGTCCCGCGCGTTGCGGTCGATCCCTTGCTGTCTTGGGGGTTTCATCATCACAATGCCTCCGCACGGTGTGTTTGCCGTTCGCCAGGTACCCGAGCGAGGGATGAGGGTTGGCCCGATGATGTAACGATCGTCGCGCTATCGGTTTCTGAGACCACCACGCGGCCGACTATCGATTGTCAGACGCTGGAGTTGGGTTGTGTCTGATTCAGTACCTAATTTGGGATTCTTGGATTCTTGAAGACCTGATGTCCCTGGAAGGCCCAAGTTGGGTGGATGGCTCGGGTATTGTTTTCCTGACCCATGGATCGGAGGGCGGGTGGCAGCGAGCGGGATGGACATGGGATCCATCGCGAGGTTGCAGTTTGCAGTTTGCCGTTGGCTTGTTTGCTTCGATCACGAGACTGCCTCATCCCCCTTTGTCCGGCTCGATGATTCTCTCTTCATCTTCGGGTTCTCTGCGCCTATCTTTTTCTAGTTCAGCCACTCCAATTGCTGCCGTCAATGCTCGAATGGCCCGCATAAATTACCGAACCTGCTAAGCGCCGATCATCACAAGCTTGATAGCGCCACGATGCACTGACTTTTCTCTGCAGACGATGCAGAGGTCTCTAACTAGTTATCCGAGGCTGCTGTGTCAGGAGGAAAGTGATCCCGAACGTGGGACTCCACCAGTCAAGGTCGCCTTGATGTCGGCCGATGATATGCAACAACCAAAGGGGTGTCGCGATCCCTGGTGAGACTAATGACGCACAGTGCGTCCCTTGATTTGTCACTCGATTGCAGCGAACGATGCTAGTCTGGTGGTGGCATTGCCCGAATAATACTCCGGGAGTGGCACTACCAAGTCATCATGGCAGCTCAGTTTGATGCCACCGAAGTCCTCGCCATCATATACTACCCAGCCCAAGATATCGCCTTCTCCGCCGCTGTCCCCCCAACGTCGCTTACCGCAATTTAATCTTTCTGCAACCTTCCTCCTATGGCAATCTGGGCGGCCCCGTCCGCTAGCCGACGGCCGACTTATCATCTGGCAGATAGATAGATACGACAGGCGGTGGATGGCGCAACTCCGCGATAAGATAACCCAATGTCTTGACGTACGCCCTGCGTCGGCCTTCCCCTCATATTATCCCCCGACTTCCCCTGGCATCTCTCTTCAGCAAAGCTTCCGGAGTTGACGATGACCAAGTTCCAATTGCTTCCTCTTGTCGCAGGGCTGCTCGTCCCCTCGGTGGCAGCCCTCAGCATTCCCACCCCACAGCAGATTCTCGATACCTTCACTGTGGGAGATACCAACGGCCTCTGCCCCCTGGCACCCAAAGTTGACGTTCCGGACGATGGGCTCTTCCCCGCTCTCAAGTTCGTCGAGGACAGCTCCTTCAAGTCACGCCAAGTCAATCGTCTCTCCAGGGCCGTCCAAGTCCCAACTACCGTCGACGACTACATGAGAGACCCTTACGACGAGAAGTTCGCTCCCTTCGTCGACTTCCAGAACCTCCTGCAGACCCTCTTCCCCCTCACGTACGTCTCCCATCCCTATCACACACCCTCCCCTAACACCACCCAGTCACTCCTACGCCCGCGTAGACCACATCAACCGATTCGGTCTCGTCTTCACCCTCAATGGCACCGATGACTCTCTCAAGCCCCTGCTCTTCACCGCCCACCAGGACGTTGTCCCCATCAACGATGCCTCCGACTGGACCTATCCCCCCTTCGACGGCCACTTCGACGGCGAATGGCTCTGGGGCCGCGGTGCCAGCGACTGCAAGAACGTCCTGATCGGCCTCTTATCCGTCGTGGAAGACCTCCTCTCCCAAGACTGGGACCCCACCCGCACCATCATCCTCGCCTTCGGCTTCGACGAAGAATCCCACGGCTTCCTCGGCGCCGGATCCATCGCCCAATTCCTCGAAAACACCTACGGCCCCGACAGCTTCGAATTCATCCTCGACGAAGGCGGCATGGGTCTCGAAACCGTCGACGACTCCGACGACACCATCATCTACGCCCTCCCGGGCGTCGGCGAAAAAGGCAGCCTCGACGTCGTCCTCACCCTCGCCGTTCCCGGCGGCCACAGCTCCGTGCCCCCCGCGCACACCGGCATCGGCATCATCTCCGAGATCATCTACGCCCTCGAGCGCGAAGACCTCTTCATCCCCGTCCTCGACCCCCACCACCCCACCCGCAAAATGCTCGAATGCCAAGTCCGTCACTCCCCCGCCCACGTCGAACCCTGGCTCGCCTCCGCCCTCCAATCCACCGACTATATCTCCCTAGCCGAGCACCTCGCCGCCTCCCGCGGCTCCAAATTCCGCTTCATCCTCCAAACCTCCCAAGCCGCCGACATCATCACCGGCGGCGTCAAATCCAACGCCCTCCCCGAAAAGATCTCCGCCGTCGTCAACTACCGCGTCGCCCTCCACCAATCCCCCGATCTCATCAAATCCCGCGCCGTCAACATCATCTCCCCCATCGTCAATAAATACAACCTCTCCCTAACTGCCTTCCCGGACAACGATCAAGTCGACCCCTCCCTCAACAACCACCTCACCCTCACCACCCTCAACGGCGCCCTCAGCCCCGCCCCCGTCAGCCCAACCGACATCACCACCGACCCCGTCTGGGCTCGCTTCTCCGGCGTCACTCGCTCCGTCTTCGAATCCGTCCCCAGCCTCCAGGGCAAGACCGTCGTGGTCAGCGGTGACATCATGACCGGAAACACCGATACGCGATTCTATTGGTCTCTGTCGAGGAATATTTACCGGTGGAGTCCGTCGCGCGCTGGTCGCGCCGTGAATATTCATACCGTGGACGAGAGAATTGATATTGATATTCATCTCGAGGCGATGATGTTGTATTACAGTGTGTCTACCTGCCCTTGATAACCTCTGATTGTGTTGGGATGTGGATCGACTAATGTGTGTTTATAGGTCTGATTCGCTCGTTTGATGGCTGGACGGACTCGAACTCTGTGACTGAAGAGCTGGCTCATGATGTGCTGTGAGGTGTTTGCTGGTTCTTGGGGCTTGGCCTGTTACGTGTGATGCTGCGTATGAGTCCCTCCTTTTATGGTTCTTTGCAAAAGTTCATCTCTGGATCTCGTCTCTGGATCTGAATTTCATCTGTTGGGTTTCTGTTCCCGATTTGCATGAGGCTTGGCATCCTTCAAAATATTGCATCTGATGACGCAATGACCTCTACTTTACATCCATTTATCATGCTCCCACTCATCACGCGATCAAGTTTCACAATAATCAGTATTATTTGCAGCGGCCTATCAACGAAATTATGTACTTGGCGGCCCCAGGATGCCACTGTTAGCCCACGGCACTAATAACAAGCAAGCAATCAGAGCCCTGCTAAAAATAAAAAGCTCGAATATAAATACGTAACGAGTGGCCTGCACGTCGGATGCGAAAGAATACCGGTTCCACGGAACCAAGAAGGGCATAGTACAAATGAGTATATATACGAACCAAGGATCAATCGCCTTGATTGAGTAGGAGCAAGGCAAAGGCGCCCCCCATAACGGGTCGGGCAATGAAGGTGCTTGATGGGTAGCTAGATAGGTCAGCACAGTAATACAAGGTTGCCGGGGCAGACTCACTCTCCGGTGGTTGTATCGTAAAGGTCAGTCATCGCACGGTTTGTGGGGGTGGCGCTTATCCACTCCGCAAGATCATCGATGAACATGTTCCGCGTGTCGGATGATGCAATTGCAGCAGTGAACATCTCCCAGTCACCTACACAGTAGGTTAGTAATTGGAGCATACCTGAGGATTGTGAACTCACTCTTCGTGTAAGTATGCCGAGTGTCTAGCGGTACTCCGTACTTCATCTGTACAGTGGGGTAGAAAGTACTTTGCATGTCGTACACCGATTGAGGAACCAAGTTCAGGTTCAATTCCCGATCGGCATACAAATTGTAGAGGAGACCTGCCTTCATCAGTATAGGTTGATAAGATCAGACTGGGAACAAACCGTGAGTATCGTTGGAGCCGTAGGCCAACGTCGTGTGCGGAGGGTTCGCATCCTGTGCAACACCCAGAACCTGCCATCTGTCGATGTAGTTATGAGCGATAGCAGTATAGTTGGCCGCGTTGTCAGAGTGATTGGTCTCGTTGCTAATGACAGCCATGGCTTCGATTCCGATGATACCTTTCAGGGCCAGGTTGGTCTGGTTCCTATAGCTAATGTCAGCATCGCTTATCATGCAGGGTCAAGACAGCACATACGCCAAGCTTCCTGCAAAGTCATCCGTCGAGATCTGGTTGGCGGGGTAGATTGCATCTTCCACGAGGTACGCGGTCCATTGGTTGAGCAGGGTATAATGCTCGGAGAGGTAGTCGGTTGTGCTCGCTTTCTGAGCATATGTCAAGGCCATAATGACCATGTTTCCACATTCTTCAAGTGGCATCGCCTCGTCATTGCCGTCCGGGTGGCCTGTCGCATTGGGATAGTTGCTCCCCACATCGTGCATGGCGTACCTGTTGGGATAGTTTCCGGACTCCTGGATCTCAAACAGTGGCTTCAACAGCAGTTCGAGAAGCTCTGGGTTGGTGTACAAAAAGATGGGATGCGCCGGGAAGATGACGTCGACCGTGTTCACGTTTCCATCCGAGGATATCTCTTTCATGAAAAGGTAGGTGTTGTCCGGCGTTCCAACCAGCTGGGTTGCACCGAAGGCTTGACGAACAGTGAGCGAAGTGATGGCCAGATAGTTCTGGCCAGCTGCAGCAATGGAGTCCTTGGATACCTGGTTGTCCAAATCCGAAGAAAGCGAAGAGGATGTCGTATAGTCATTATGGAAGAAGTCCAGCTGGATCGACGTCAGTATAGCTCTCTTGTAGCGATCGGTTCGGCTACTTACAGCATCTGGTCCCGTACTGAAATAGTTGGTCCACAAAGAAGGCAGAATGGTGGTCCCACTGCTATTCCCTTCGTATTGGATTGCGTCAGTCTGCGCCAGACCAATCGAGTATAGAACTCCAGTCGACGACTCAACCGATCCAAGGTCATGAGCAAATGCAAAGATCGGCCAGTTAGTTGAGATGCCACGATAATCGGTGTCCTTGGAGTCACTCAGGGTTCCGTTCGCGGCAAAAGCTTCCCGAACGTCGTCGGCCACTCCCGATTGATAGGTCATGCCTTGACTGTTGCCTGTTGCCCAATACCAGTCTCCCCATTCTCCCTGATCACTGACCTCGGAGAAGGCAAGCGGGGTCTGGCGACTGACCTTGTGGTAGGCGACACCATTATCAGTGACCCCATAGTCCCACGTCGCAGTGGTAGACCGGTCTCCCGACACCCATTCTGTAGCGAGTCAGACAGTTTATCACACCTGGAACGCCGCGGTGTCTGGGCACCAGTATTACAGGAACAGTACTTACCCGCTGAGATATCTGCGTATAGCTGCACATCGTGGGCCTGGCCATCGAGAGATTCAATTTCCACGTCCACATAGGAAAAGACAAGAGATTGCCGCTTGAGATCATTCGGTGTGATGGGAGAGAGGAACGTAATGTTCATGCCCACTTTGTCCGCAACGTTCATGGTGAAGACACTCTTCGTGGATGTGTACTCATATGAAGTCTGATTCACCGTTGCCGGTCCCGGAATTCCCATCCAGGTATACGCATTACCATCAACACGAACCATACCAGCCCAGCCAGTAATCTGACCCCTATCCATAGGGGTGATTTAGTATCCGTCGAGGCCATAGCAAGCAGCATAACTAGGAGTACTTACCCCCAGAACGTTGGCCATGCCCCAGCAAGATACCCACCATTACCTCCATCACTCCCCGCCGACAGCCAAGTGCTCAGGTACGGTGATTTGACAGCCAGTGGCAATGCAGGAGGCCGAGCGGGCGAGAACACGGAGGTGGCCCCGGCCAAGGAGGCCAGAACTGTCAAGAAGAAACCTATGAAGAACCGAGACATGATGATTTGACCGCTGGATACTCAACCCGCAAGCATAGTCCTTTATAACCGTGCTTCCTTTGTTTTTCCCCACCGGAATGACGATGCCAAAATACGTTAAAGTTTTGCAGGTCGGGAAATGTGGCGCCTGGAATGGGCACTGGAATGTCAGTGACGTTTAAAATTCGATGTAGTGATCGATCCCACATTCCAGGGGGAAAGGGGGGTATTTGAAGCACAAAGGCACACTCGGATCGTCAGGAGTCTGGTCAACAAAAAAAAATTTCCATAATCTCCACCACGCTACAGAAATGCATGATGAAAGCACCCCCAGCATCGTCTGACCTGTCAATCTCCGAGTGGAGGGCGCTCATGCGGCCCACATCCATATGTCCGAGAAAAGCAACAAGATGATTCATGGAAGGAAGGGGCCGGTATGAAGGCGTGGCGGAGTGTGATCAAGTCTTACCGAGCAATCTTTAATTTAAGGTATGTAGTAGTCTCGCTGCGATTGCAGGTCAGCCTCGGGCCAGACGCAAATAGCCAACCGAGGCGCGCACGACGTGATCAAGAGAAAGCGCCACTAACTCCGCCGAAATACTTGTGGTGAAATGAAGTTGAGCATTGGACTGGGCCACTAACGAGCGAGAGCGGGCTAGAAGCTATCCGGTCAGACCCCATGGTCTTCATCAACGGCCGGGGAATGCAGGTGACTACCTACTGGATGCGGGCATGAATGAGTGACAATATCATGAGTCCGCGCGAGCAATACCGACAGATTAAACAAGCAACAGGTGACAGGATCTTCCCCGAAGCTAGTACTCCGTGTCGTGAGAGAAGCAGGCAAACAGCCAGCCAGCCAGCCAGCCTGAGACCTGCTCGACTTGAAAAAGGAGGTTGTCTAAAAACGGCAGGAGGCAACATGGCGTTGGAGGGCAATCGATCCTCCCGCCTCTTCAGCGTCCGAAAATACACCTGCAGATCGAAGGCCTGCGGCCGAAAGAGACCTCGGTGGCCGCGGTGTGCTTACCCCCCGAATCGCCAAGTCACCGCCAGACCGTTGTCCCCATCGAGCCATCTCCATCGACCGCGATTGCACGACTCTTTAGGTAAGGGAAGCAGTCGGCCAGTATCGGACTGCTTGGCCTGCGGTGGGAGGGAACTAAATCGGTCAGTGTGACCGACATTTGTGATGGCATCATGTGAGAAAGTAACATCTCGGGATCCCCCTCATTCCCCTGCGTCCAGGAACCGCGAAGTCCACCAGTCAGACGAAAAGAAGGATGCAGGCATGGCTGCAGTGTGACCGGGGCTGACCAGGATCCAGGATGAGTCGGAGATGAATTGATGGGGGGGTGGGGAGCAATCGGATGGCGGCAGTGGTGGCACGGATGATGGCTCTGGCTTGCTGCCGGGGCCCTCGCCAGTACCCAACCCTTTCACCAATGCAGGTACCACGCAAAAGGAACCCCTCCTTTACTTTTTCCGGCTCCAGTCGGGTGCAGAAACTAGTACGCGCGATCTCACGGGCAAAAAGCAGGTCATCTCACCGATCGTAACAATTACCCGAGGTTATGGAAAGACCTGGAGATTATCCGTGTTCTTCTCGAATCCTGTGTCATCTTGGGGGGCTGCTTGCATAAGGTGCAGACAAGCCTCGGATCAGTTTCAAAGACGATGGTCTGGACGTTCCGCGTACCACAGTCCGGGGGATATAACTCGAACCGCAGTGGATGAAAAGGCTCAGCAGGGGGCTAGCTGTCGATGGGGTTACAACAAAGAGATACTCCGTCGATAGTGTGGGTGGAAGGCCTGCTGCGATAGTCCGACCCACCGGAGATACCAACTACTATGTATGCACAATGTACATAGTACACAACACCTCAACTAGTTAGAAATGCTAGGCAAAAGAAAGCACAATACGACCATTGTGCTACCCTCTGTCTCACTCCCCACATAAGGCATCGAGTAACCTCCATCCACCACCCAAAGATAGCTAAGAGTGAGACATCCGCAACCTTAGATTAGAAGATTGGAAGATAGATAGCCTCCGCTCTTCCGATTGCGCAATTCCATGAACCCATGACGTTTTCAATTCTTTGTTAGCTAGAGACCCCTAGGATTTAGACCCCCATGTTTATTCGAACGTGGAAGAACGGTGCTGTCACTGCTGTGAACCACGGTTCGCCTTTCCATGGATCCATGCCATCGGCTCGGTTGATACTATCTATTATCTAGATACATAGATGTGCAGACCGCCATCTGCCTTGCTTCGACGGAGTACATCCACAAGAACTGGGATTCCTACCAGTGACGAATACTTTACCGCAAGGTGCATCCCCCTGTCTATTCTAATGACACGACATTCTCGAGGCTAACTGATGCATCTCTCCATGAAGACCAAAGCTATATACAAGAATCATGCGACTTCTACATCGTACAAAAAGCCATCTTTTCTCTGTGGGTCGCCGACCGTCATCACGTCTTTAATCAGACCCATTATCTCGCAAATGGCTCTCTTCCATAGGGAAACTCTCTTCCGACGGAACATGGCGATAGGTCGGTGTCTGCCGGCGGCGGCGGAGCACCCAAAAGACAGCCAAGAGAATCCCGAGAATAGACGACCCGACCAGAATGAGGATGAGGAGGCTTCCGAGCCCGCGGACGACCTCGTATGCCTGGGAGAGCGCGCCCACGAGATCCTTAGTATCAGCATCCGACAAGGCAGAATGACTCAGAGAATCCCCGCTGGCCTGGCCCTCCTTGTAAATGGTCGACGGATTCATCGGAGCGAGACCTTTGGACGACCCTACGAAGCCAGCAGTCTTCCAGTTGTCAGGAGTCTTGGTGCGATGCACGGCGGAGGTGCCCATCACATTGCCCTCGTGGTCGATGGCCGCGACCGACACCCAGTCTAGGAAGCCGTGGGCGATGTACATGGTTTCGAAATCGGCCTTGTTCACATAACCGATAAGCACCGGGGCTCCGCCATCATACGCCTGGGCGTAGAAGTTCCAGCCAGCCACATCCGTGGCACCATTCCAACTCACGTGGAAGACGGTCGTCAGATCGTCCTCATTGGTGCCGTATACAGATGCCACCAGGTCAGGGGGCGCGCGAGGCCGACCAGTGAACTCGGACTTGTAGGCGCGGTAGGTTGAGAAGCGATCGGACGCAAACCGGGCAGTCATCAAGACCTCGCCTTCCGGGGAAAACTCACTCTGGTAACCTTGTTCGCTCCAGCCAACAAAGACATTGCCGTTCGGAAGAAGCTGAACATTGCCGCGCAGTCGTGATAGCTGTCCATCGGGACGGTTATAGCGTGCGATCAATCGGGCTGTCATCGGGCTGGCTGCCGTATCCAGCTCCACGAATAAGGCCGACGAGACGGTCTCATCCGTCGTGATCTCATCTGAGGCATTGTTCAGGAAGGAGATGATGTGATGCGTTCCGTTCGACTCGACAAATTTAACATCGTGCTGCTTGGAAAAGACAAAGTCCTGGATGAAGTTGCTCTCTGGTCCCCCCAATCGCCACATCACCCGGCCATCTACTCCGGAGATCATATAGATCGTATCCGTGAACCGCATCGAGATGATATAGTCGCCAGCAGCATTCTTATCCACCGCGTTCATGTGCACGGAATCCCATCCGAATGGGCCCATCGGTTCATCCCACGTATGGAATCGGTCGGTCTCATGCAGGCCCAGGTGGTCGGCCGAGTCCCATTCGAACAATGGAGCTCCCGTGGCCAGATCCAGCTCTGCAAATCCCCCCGTCAGGAAAAGCCTCTCTTCCCCTGGATGACCCACATCAGTCATGTCAAGCATTTTCGACTGATACACGCAGGCCAGTGCCGATTTGGCGCCGTCGAGCACTTTGAACTCGTGGACATTGAATTCCCAGGTGTTGGGCAACTTGAAGGTCTGCGACTCGACCTCGTAATGCTGACTCAAAATCACACCGCTTCCCTGGACCGTTTCGTCAAAGGACCGCTGCGCAATCAGGGATAGGTGTGGCTTGTCGTCGATATTGTGGATCGCCTTGAAATCGAAGACGTTTCGGTTGTCGAACATGGGTGATCCGGCCCAGATGAGAACCTGGTCGCCGCGAACGATTCAGTTTTATTTGGAAACAGACCGCAGTGGGGGGAAACTTACGCCATCTTGATCATAGATATAGGGTCCGACCTGATACTGCAGATACTTGCGTGTCGGAGTCTCCGGGTCAATCAGACCGTACGGAGCGACGAACCAGTAACCGGGACTCGCCCGGTCTCGATTGTGGTGGGTGATTTCGAATTTCAGGGCCCTGACTTCGGGGAGCTGGGGCGATCATGAGCACGCGACAATCAAGCCTCTACCGTGAGCAGCCACTCACCGTGACAAAGGACATAAGATCCTCATCTCGGCGCTGTGCAAATGCAAGTTGCCAAAAGAGCAACGCAAACAGACACGGATTCATGATTCATGGAGGGGTAAAGAGTGAACCTCTCCAGCACAGGCAACGCCGAACGAGAGGAACGGAAGCCAAGGAAAGGCGGAAAGGGGAGAAGGCAGGAAAGAAAAGGGAAAAGAAAGATAAGCCATCCCGGAAATGATCGAGTCTGATTTGCAGATGTCCGCCTTACACGGAGGCGCCCAGCCCGCCCAGCGTGTCCGCGTCAGGAAGGATATGTTGAACTGGACCCGGAGATCGGCCAAGGCCCCCGAGGATGGAACCAGGAGGACGCTAACTAGGCCCTGGCCTATCCCAACTTTCCAGACACACCTTTTCGTTTCAGCTCCCACACAATCTTGCGTCTGGCGATCCAATAGGGGAGAATCGGCAGCAAAGCAAAAGTTGTCTGCCATCCCGCGTCGACCACTAGATAGGCCTGGTGGCTGACGTTTGATCATGGCCACAGGACAAGAATAGTCGTGCAATGGTCGGGATTGGCGGGTGGCTTGCTCCGATTACGTATGCCGCTAAAGTGCTGGGTCCGATTATCGATATGCAATTCTACGGAGTACTGCCAGTGAGGGAGAGAGCACCAGGTCCGCATTGGCAGGGTCCTCAGGGTTCTCAGCTAACCACCTCTCCCTGAATGGGGGCTGTCAAACTCGGCTCGGTCGGCGGACCCGCTCATGATTGACTGTCCCCTTTCTTGCCAAGAGATCCTCGATCTGGGAGGGAACCGTGATGCACACATGTTTCCCCGGTGCGATTCATTAGTGGTGGTCCAGTCGCTCCGAAAGAGAAACCACCAACTTAGGTTCTGAGTCAGCCCCTGAGGCAAGACTCGGCTCTGGACTCTGGTCTCAATGGTCTGGGTCCGGGCCAAAACCAGGCCACGGCCGCACTAAAGCAAGCTATCTCCACGGTGGATGCGGCACGCGGGTGCAATTCGCAAGGCTAAAATTTCCTGGTTCGCCAACCAAATCTGATCATTTCAGTCCTGTCGCACTCGATTTCAGTCCAGTAACTCGTCAGGCCAGCACCATCATCATCATAATCATCATTATTCCTATCGTGGTCGTGGTTGTCGTTATCGTCATAACCATCATTACATACGCTCATGGCGAAATGACATACAGGCCCCCGTTCCCTCGTGAAATGCCAAAATCACCGTGTGGAAAGCACCCTCAGCTGCGGCTGGCCAGGGCTTTTGAGCCCCGGGCCAGCTCAATGCAGAATTCCCCCCAGTCGCTGCCTCCACTGCTGGTCAGGACCTCTTCCGCAATCGCATCTTCCAGTCGCTGGCCGTAGCGCCGCCGGAAGTCGCTCTTCACCCGCTCCAGGTGTCGCGGCTCCCAGTGGAGCCGGACCAGACGCGAGATCAGGAGCTCCGACCGCTCCTTGCCCGTCCGAGACTCGCGAAGGGCTTGGTGCAGTAGCAGAGCATCCCGCATGGGCCGGTTGATGGCCCCGTTGAGGATGTGTGCGAGGGTCTCGCCCTGGAGGCCCAGTTAGTGGTCCGCAAACGTCAAGGGATGGGGACGGGACACATACCACGAGGTTTTGAGACTTGCCTATCATGGCCTTGGCAAAATTGTGGCCATACATCTTCTCGTAGGCACGCAACACCTCCCGCAGGTGCGAATCGCTGCGTCGGACAATGATGCAAATCATCGCCGTCTCGCCTCCATGGGGCGTGACCAAAGCTCGATGGAGCTCGTCCACATCGTGATCCACCAAATGCATGTCGATAGGATCGCGCTCGCTCTGGCGATTCTCTTCCAAGGCAATGAGCACCGCTATGCGGAACTTGTCGGCATTCAGCTCGGCCTTCATACACTTCTCCAGGCTGTTGTGGTATCGGGAGTCCCGGAAGCACTCCTTGATCTCGCGGATCTCGCTGTTGGTGCGGCCGAACAGAGACTCGATCAGAAGTTCGCGCCGGGAGTTGCTCGACTGGTAATAGCAGTTCGCCCAGAACGCCTCCGACTCCCAACGGCCAAGCGCCGTTGCATAGCACACTTTGCCAAACGCCCCATTTGCCAGCTTTAGCCGGATATGCTTGGCTATGTTGACACCCTTCCCGTGGAGCTTCACGTGCTTCTTATACTCCTTGCGTAGCTCCAAGACCTCCTCGCCGGTTAAATGCGGCAACACGCGAATCAAAGCCTTGTTGTCGGTACGTGTGTGTGACAGGGCTTCCTGAAGCATCCTTGCGTCCGGCTCCGCATCGTAGAAAGTTACACGCTTGCGGCTGCTGCCGGGGGTAATCACAACGAGAGACTCTTCCCCAGCGGAACCCCGCTGCTCGTAACGTACGCGGCTGCTCTCCCTCTTCGCCCGGTCGGTAGTCAGTCCCTTGCGGTCTTTCCCATCCCTGGATTTTTTTCGCCTGTGCTCTCGTAGTCCCCCGTCTGACTCCTCTCCCAGAAGCTCCATGTCGGATATATCATCATCCAGTCTGGGAACAACGACTATAGGTGACGGCATTGGAGAGATAGTCTGGTACGTCCCTTTGTAGGGTTCTAGCATGGGGCTGGCAGGCCGATGGCTCGGGTCAGGGCCAGCGACCGAGAGGTTGTTGGCGGAAGAGACGGAGTGACTATGCGGACGGCTTGTGGCTCGGTTCCCGGGCGTGATCTCGACGTACTGAGGTCCGCTGTCCGAACGGGTCGTTGAAGGCTTGGAGAATTGGGGATTAGCAGAAAACTTGGCATCAGCGTACTGTGGCTCTTTCGTTTGGCTAGCATTAGTCTTGGTGGAATATTGCGGCGCTGCCGAATGTGAAAGTGGTTTGGGTTGACTCTCTTTTGCGCTCTTGGAAGTATACTTGACATTGGGATCAATGTGTGCATATTGGTATTGAGGCGGGGCAGCGTATGGTGTTTTAGCGGCCGCGTCATTCGAAGCAGTGCGCTGATGGGTTGAAGCCACTGGAGTATATGCATTGCCACCGGGCATCGAAACTGGGCGACCACTCCACGATGCATAGGAATTCTGCAGCCCCTCCGGCGTCACGTAACGTGTGGAGGAGAAGGCTGCTGCGGCGGTTGTCGCAGGTACATCTGGATGACTGGTGGTAGGAAGTGGAAATGCCCCAGGCATGGTTTGGCCTTGCCCCTGCGACTGCGGCGGTACAAAGCCCGGCTGCTCACATTCCGGGATAGGCGCCCAGTTGGATTGAGCAGATGACGCAGGATGACCTGGGTACTGGGACGAGCCGGGCCTGGTGTGAGCAAACTGAGTCTGTGCCGTATACTGGAACGGCTCTGGTTTCGCGTAGCTGGGGTGGCTACCTGTGACTTCGTCTTTCCGAGGACCTGCAGAGCGCGATGGCTTATTACTGTCAGATGCGTGGCCGTTCAGGGCCCCGGACATCATGGCGCTATCGCGACCCGCAGTTTGGGCACGAGAATTGCCTGTAAACCCATAAAAGCTACGCTCTGGGTCTTCAGGAAGATCACCGTATGCCAGCCCATCTTCGTCCGAATCTGAGTAGGAGGGGTCCGAAGAGCTGTCGTAGTGCACAGATCGACGGTGAGGTGAAGAGGGGTACTGCTTGTTATCGCGTCTTGCTCCTTTGCTGTCGCCCGAATCGGAATGGTAATAGTAATCGCGGCCATGTTCAGCTCGCAGGTAGGGTCCCCGTCCATCAGATTGGAACTCAGGACCGGTAGGTCCATACCGTAAATTGGATGGATGAGGGCCCCCTGGACTCGCGCCTCTGCTTCGGGATCTAGAGTGTCGCTTCCCATCCGCAAACTCAGAGGCGAGGTACCTATGAGTACTTTGGCCGGTCGCTTCAGCGGCGGAGGGAACGCGAGGGTCGCGAGATTTGGAACGCTCGCGGATACGGCCGCTTGGAGACTTGGAACGGCCTCGCGACCGTGGGTCGCCAACGTGGAGTGACATGGATTGAGGCTGCGATAAGTTCGACAAGTGTGATAAGTGCGACAAACGCGACAACAGATGGCCCACCAAGAGAGGGCGGGATAGACGGAAGAGTCGCGGTTAGACGCACAGAAGACACTAGTCAAGGTTATCAAGGTTAAAATTGAAAACGGGATTTAAACCAAGAAGACAGCCTAGAGGAAAGGGCCAGGAAGGAAGAAGAACTACCTAGCAGAGAGAGAGGAAGAGAAGCAGACGAGTGACACTGCTGGTCGGGCGTGCGGCCAAGGCTGGAGGGAAACACACAGCAACTGATCATCGACGGAATCGCGTCGAGTTCAGCTGAGCTGCGCTCCCAGGCGCGGGGCTGCAGGGCCACCCCCATCGTCGTGTCCAGTCATTCTGCTCCGAGACGCCTTTTCTGGCTTTCCCTCAAGAATCAGTCACTCGAGCACTTCAGCGCCTCTGGGAGCCGCACTCTCCTGCCTGCAGCCTTGCGAGCACAACACTGGCCCACCCAGCGCGGCAGTGTGCAACGAATATCCACCGGTCTCACGAATGACGGCGCAGCAAAGCTTGGGGTCCAGAGTCCACATTCCCACCGGCTGGGCCGTGAGTCAACCCGCCCCTCTCTGCCTCGGTTTAGTGCTCGTATATCCTCCGCCGGCACCTGGACGGAGCTACGAACCTTTCGCGCAACGGGCGGTCATTGGCTGTCGCGAGCTCGGCTTGGCCGATCCGGCGTCTTCAGCCTTCGCGCGAAGGATCAAGGGTGCAGCAACCTGGACATGGCGTTGGGTAAGCTGTTGGTCGCCTTCCACTGGCCCTCTTACTCTACAGGTGATGCAGGTAACTAACAATCAAACTTCATGGCTACGGGAGTGCCCTTTCCGGATCCGACTGGCCAGAAGCGAATGATCTGTTCTTCCTTCATAGGTGGAGACATGATCGACAGGACAATTCAGACAGATGAAGCAGAGCAACGCAGAGGCAAGCGGCAGTCCCGTCGACAACCAAGTGTCTAGGGCTGACTCACATCTGCCAGGGTCGTTGACTGGGAGACACAAACATGGGTGCCTGCGCGCAGGGAACTCAAAAGACTGGGCAGTGGCTCTTTAATTCTGACAAGCTGTGGAGGGGGGAAAAAGCTGGAGAATACAAGGGGATGGAAGAGAAGATAAAGGAGGACAGCAGTCAGAACAAGACGCGGGGAAGGGGAGACACAAAAGAAACGGATAACTAGTCCAAAGCAGCCATATGCTGCGTTGGGCACACAAGATTGGGCTTGTGCGGATTAGAAAGGCACGGAAACACCGAAATTGATATCACAGGTACGGTAGGAATGGAAACAAAGTCTCACGAGAGTCCATAGAGAGCCACACAACTCGGAACAACAACAAAATTACATAGGAAATCGGGCGCTTCTCTCAACTAAGCTCTCGGGACAAATGCGAAAGGCAAAATACGACGTCCAAGTCACGCGGCTTTGTAAAAGATGAAACACGAAATGCTGAGGCGCTTCGCTCCTGAGTTCCGGAGCCCATTAAGAGCAGACAAAGGGTATCGGTTCTTTCCATTTTATGAATGGTTTTCGGGCATGGTTCCCAACTCTTCTCCGAGAGGGCTTGCATAGTCATTGAGACAAGTCGGCATTAACGTCGTGAGTCCGGAACTACACGTAAACCCGCGGGTCCGGGACGATACACGGGCGCGACCGCACGCAGCAAAGGACGAAAAGAGGCGAAAATCAGTTAAAGCAGACGGAAGAGAAGATGGTTGGATGCTGAGGAGATCCTGAAATGATTGCAGGCTGCAAGTCATTACCGGAACCGACGCACATCTGGACCCGTTCTACCCGTAAATAGCTTCTTCTGGGGAGCAACACTAGCAGTAGCAACATTACGGTTCAGCCGGCTAGTTCTCCACCTTTCGTACCAGACCACACGGCTCGCTTCCCGAAGGTCAGGCCGCCACTCAGTGAAGACGGCCTCCTTGAGTTTGAGGAAATCGCAGTGCTCGGGGTCATATGGATTAGCGAAGCCCCACGGGTACTTGCGTCCAACGGGCTCGTCGCCGGCTTTTAGTGAATGGGGGTCCGGAGATAGGGTTGTGAAAGGGATGTGTTGGACAGCAACTTGGGACGCAGAAGACTTGCGCGTGCTCTGACTGCGTTGGGAGGGCGAGCGTGGGACGCCGGCCTCCTGCTGGTCCGCCTCTTGGCCTTGCGCCTCTTCGTCCTCATCGTCGCTCTCGGAGGACGTGTAATCTTCTTGGTCATCTAAAGCAAGGATCTCTAGAGGATCGATATTGGCTTTCTTCAAGCTGTCCCAGACCGCCATCCTTAGATAGGCCATGTGGGCTGCGGTGATTGTATCGGCCTTGCTGATGACCGGGACGACGGTGGTCTTTCCTACAATGGTCCGCAAAACCTGTACATCAAGGCGCTCGTCGAGGACTCCAATGACGGGTGTGTCAGTTGGTCTCGGAGTCCCCTGTGCAGCCCGCTCGGCAGCCGCTATGTTCTGATCCAAGCGCACTGGGTCCAGAATCAAGAAAGTGCAATGGATATGAGTGTCTCGGGCTCCGGGTGAGCGGACAACCTTCATTTCCTCGCTCAGAGTTTCCTCGAATTTGCTCTCCAGGAAACCCGTCACGCCGCGTAATTGGATGTCGACGATATTCTTTTCCAGTCCTTGGGAGTCCCACAATGTCAGACCCACCCGCTCACCATCGATCTCTGTTTCCAGATAGTGGGAGGTATAGCCTTCGTTGGCGGGAGATTGACGAGCTTGGTGTACAACTTCCTCTGGGAGGCGAGAGGGGTGCTTGTGCGGCGGCAATTCCAGAGAACTCTTGAGGAAATTGAGGAATGAGGTCTTGCCTGAGTTACTGGCGCCAATAACAAGCACACTAGAGAGCAGGTAAGCACTTCACATCGCCCGGTAGTCGACAGTAGAGAATGCGACTCACTTGTATGGGGTTGGGTCCTTGCGCCGACGCAGCCGACGGGGGTTGTTGACGGTACTGACCGCACTGCTCGCGTAACTATAACGCCCGCGGTGTGTCATACTCTCTGCTCGTGAATAGGGGTCGTTGGGCTCTGGGGCAACAGGCGTGCTTATCGTGCTGCGGGGCACGGCTTGTTGAGATGGGGCGGGCTGTCTCGAGAGAGCAGCAACAGTGTCCTGGCGCTCATCGCCGCCAAAGGTCTCAAGAACCGGAGCCGGGGAGAGGTCTGGAAGACGGGGTGGTTGCTGAAACATCATGGATTCGCGCTGACGGCGAGCGTCGTCCTCTGTTGGCTGAGGCTTTGGCATCTTCTTGCCGTTTTTGCTGCCAGATGACCTCCTTTCACCTAGGATTTCTATGGACTTAGAGCGACGGAGGAAACCTAGCGACGAGGTTCTGCGTTGATCTTTGGTGTCGGTGACGACAGGAGGGACTTCTTCGGAAGGCTGAGTCCGACCCGGGGTCCGGGGTGTTGGTGATGCGGTTGCCATTGGTTTTTATTCTGGGTGGCCCTTCCCTTAGTCCCGTTATCACTCGACTGGCTGTAACACAAATGGGGGGATTTGCCAAAGGAAAAAGTGGGGACTCTGGGAATGAATCGTGTCTCAGATATAGACGGCCACTCTCGTGCCAAAGGATCAGTCACTCTAGCGCACTCGCTTCCTTTCGAGCTCGATCTTGAAAAGGAAGGCTCTGGACGGGTCAATCGATCAAATCTCCTAACCAAAGCCAACCCAAAGTCAGTCCCAACCCAGATCACTCCTCTCGGAATCGGCGCCAGCAAGGTTATGCTGGGGATCGTGCAGACCTCCGGGATGGGCGCAAGTTTATGTTCTTCGGGTATAAGGTAGGTATGATCAACGTACCAAACTTACACGCTTATCCTGAAAACAGTCGCGTGTTCCTCCTCCTTTTCGTCAACTGTGGCACAACCGCCTCGCCTCGTCCACTGAATTGATTCTAATTCGAAAACTAGAACGGAATACTCGACCACCGCGACAGAGTCAATTCCCAAGGTACGGTTGAAAGCGCACCGAGTTGAGCGATCCCAGTATCGACATGCACAAGCCCAGCAAGCGATGGTCGATTAAGCCCACGTCACCTCTATAGAGCGGCGGAGGTTGGTATTAAGAACAAACGTTGGGTCTGTCCGGTGGCTCAGGATCCTACCAGGGAGAGTCGAAGAGATGCCTGCTCACAGCGTCCGACCAATGCGGCGCATACAATTGAGATAAGATCAATAATCTCAGAAGAAAAGAAGGATGAGAAAGGTGGGAACAGAAGGACACGGCACAAAAGGATGACGGCGCTGGCGGGCAGATGATGATCGACCAGTGAGAACGGAGAACAGGCGATGCTTTCCTCTCTCCGGACCGACTTCATACGCAAACAAAAGCTCAACTAGCTCTGCCCGTCACGCTCGTTGGGGTCTCAGACCTTGGTGAGCTCGCCGACAACCTTTGTTTTCGAGCTTTCGCTCTCTTTTTTTTTTCGTGGGGTATTTTTTTACCCTTTTCTCTTTGTCTCTACACCTCGTCGTCTACTGGGCGGAGAAGAAGCTCGGGAAGCTTTTTGAGCTGGATGAAATTCAGGGGCAAAACGGCAGCCGGCAGGGGAGCTCGACCTCTCCCATCTTCCCCCACTCAGCAAGCCCTCTAAATATATTAGGTTAGTAGTTAGGTTGTTTCTAACTCCAGACTCGGTCTAGGGCCGAACGGCTAGCTGGAAAGTTTGGTTCTCACGCTGGAGGGGCAGGTCGTTTTAGCGATTCCAGTCACGCCTCTTCCATGCACTACGACTCCTCGTGCGTCGGCATAACCCGGTGGGGTATATAGGGGGCCGAAGTCAGCTTATGTGGAATGGGGGTTTGCATCACGACTCTGCTTTGTTTCGGTTGGAATGCCGATAGCAATTCCAGAGCAGATTGAAAAGGCCGATCAGTCAATTTCCTACGGGCACGACTGTCTGAATATTTATGAATGATCATCCCAACGTTCATATCTCAACGCTCGTGCAGTACGGGATCCATTCAGGTTTGGGGTATCCGGTGGCCTAGAAGTTAGACCGGTATCTATCTACTAGTATCTGTTCGGTAGATACGGGCTGGATACGCCCTCATGCTGGCGTCAGGCGGTGATCAAAACTCCATCCACACGTGGGTATCCCGTGCTGTCGACTGTCATCCATCCCTTGAGTCCACCAGATTGTGGTTGCATAAGGCGTGCATCCATTCCTGTTGTCGTCACTCTTCAATCATCGCTTCCCCAGCATACTGATCGGACATGGCTGGCTGCTCCAACATGCGACCGATAAGCATTGAGACAGGGGCAAGCAGATACTGTACGAACAGTTCAGCACGCAGTTCTCTCTGCATTTCCTCTCTCCAATTGCTCTAGAACACACAACTGCCCCTTTTCTTTTTTTTGCCCTTTGTTAGTGCGGGGAGGCGCTCTCGTTCGAGAATAGCCCCAACATCTTACGTGGTCGGGTATCAATACGGTAAAGTAAGCCCATCAATGACAGCAGTGCAATCCCGAAAATTACACCTTGCCCGCTTGCTTGTCCCGACCAGCCCCTGAGTTACTATCGGACCATTATCAGGAACAGCCAAACCCAACCAACAAGCATAGCGTACCTAGTGGAAAACATTTGGGGCATTCGACCATAAGCTTCTGTAGTACAGACTACTTGCCTCGGGTCCCAAGTTTGCTCGCCTTGGTCGTATGTACTGTTTCAGCTGAAGTGGGCAAGTTGGTCGCAATCAAAACATCAGATGATCATGTCTAAGGAATGACTGAGACCAAAAGTACCTATCAGTATCTAGTATCTACAGCATAGCACTCACATACGGAGTAGTATAGCCTGTTTACTCCGTACGGTGCCCCAATCTCCACAATCCACATACCCACACCCCTCCCCCTTCTGATCGTCAGATTCTGGGTCCGTCTTCTCAACGGTTCAGTCGTGCTATCTATCTATTTACCTACCCATGAGTCAACAAACGATATAATATGATATGTTCATGCAGGAATCATCACTCGTCCGGCCTCTCGCTCTCATTCCAGATACGGAAAGGCAGAACAACGCATGGACTGCTTGGACACACGTTCGACCGTACAAGTTGTTTGAATTTTGGCCCGTTCGGGCCCGCAGTGTATTTCGCTTGTCCAAACAGCTCCGGACCTCCCGGCAATGCGTCGTCTCCCCACTGCCCGTTGAAGTGTAGCCAGTTGACTGGGTACCGCAGGTCGTAGGGCTGGAACGTCTGGCTGGATGCGTCGAAATTATATGCGTATGCGTTTGCAATTGGATCCCAAAGTGTTCCTCTGTCGGTGTAGTCCATTACCGGTCCGACGGGGAGGTTAAAGCGAGGGATCGTGTGGTCGTGGGAGCTATATGAAGAATGGATTGTCTCAGTGCTGTTTCACTCGGGGAAGTGCCGGGCCATGTTGAGATCATACCCGGGTACTGCGTATACGGCATGGGTGCCATTCGCAGAGTATGCGATCGGTCGTTTGCCTTTCTTTTCCGTTGCGTCGTAAGTGAAGGCTTCGCCTCCTGCGTGCTGGCTGTACCAGAGTGCTTGCGGGATTCCGTTTTTGAACCGAATCATATTGTGCTCCCTATTAAGTGTTAGTTCGGATATGGGAGCCCGGATATGGGTGTATTGCGCACCAGTCCCCGATGTGATTTCCGAATTGCATGCCCAATACTGTGTTTCCTTGGTTGTACCTTTCATTTGTTGAGTATGTTTTAACACTGGCCTTCGGTACTTTGGATCACTCACGCATAGAAGTAGAAGTAGAATGCGTCTACTGTCCCGTCTCCGTGGTCATGAAGGATTATTGTCGATGAGACAGCGCCTTCTGTTTTGCCATTCGCATTTGGTGTCACGCCATGAAGCCATCTTGGCTGTGGATCAGCGTCAATACCTTCTTTGGAAGTCAGGTAGACGCTGGTGTTTCCCAACTTGTTCAGGCTAGCCAGGTTATTGAGGGTTAGTGGTGATGGTGCTGCCTTGATTGTTGTCCAGTTCACCATTGGGTTCGTATGTACAAGCTGTTGTCCGATATCAGATGGCATGTACGTCTCCTTGCTATAAAGCCAGACAAGCGGTGCTCTCTGAGAGTTAGCATATTGTAACTGGATGTCTTCCGATTGCTCACCATATTCCACCACATAGCATGGCAAAGCGGTTGTGGTTACATTGAACGGGACTATCGTCTCATTATCCTTGGTCATTGACAAACGTAACTGGAGCATAGTAGAAAAGAACTGCAATATGAAGGTCCACATGTTGACCAGTCCGCTAGCATTGATATCTGTATTGGGCACGCGTATAGTGGCGTCCGATGAGATCAGATTGCAATTCCAGGCAACAGGCAGCAGGATGATCCCTATCAGTATCCCAAACAGCGTACCAGCGTAGTTATATCGCAGAGGTGTGTCTCGGACGTAGAGATATGAGGCCCGCCACACTGGGTGATACAGCGTGCAAGTCAATGCCTAGCTGACCTTCTGACACCTCTCATAATGTCAGTCATTGTCGCAGCCTTCTGTTCAACCCTCACTTAAAAGCCAGCCTAGAGATCGTGGCAGCTGATGGGGCTGGAGGGCAAATCATTGCTTTTTCCTTAGCCCCGTGTCAAGTACAGGCTGCAGAAAACGATGTCACCCGTTCGTGATCTTCATTGCAGGGATGCTCCCAGGGTCCGGAGCATTCTGCATCGATATTCGTCTCGAATAGGTCGTTGCGAGATAAGCATGATCTCAAGCGGTGCGTATGATGGGTTCTTGTTCGAGATCAGGGAGGGATGGATCGTCCAGGTCACACTCTGTTGGGTGGGAAATGGCCAGATCCCGTGATGCTGGCTGTAGCCAGTTAGACACCTGATCCCCATCCCATGCTGGATTCCTTGCTTCTGAAACCTTCCAGGCATACGGAGTACAACCTTCTCACCGAATCAACCTTCCGGTATCCTTATGCATGGTCTCGCATAGTTCATGCAAATGAGTAATAGCTCGATCAATTCACTTCTCCCTCTCATGTCCAAAGATAATTGTATGCTAATACGTTATTGGATATCATAAACAGTCAAGCCTTTCCAGCGTACCCTCCGATTCGTCGAAGTTATTCAGAGCCATATCACCACACCCAAGATCCGCCATCACGAAGTTCCAGTACGAATCAATCATAGAGTACCACGCCTACAGCTTCTCCCCCGCCGCCGCCGCTGCCTTTTCAGCTTCAAGCTCCTGTTTCTTCTGCTTTTCCTTCATGAGTTTGAACACCCGTAAATCGAGAGGAATTCTATCACCCAACCAGGTAGCACGTTGTGTGTGATTCCGCTCTTCCTCGGTATGTACCGTATTCGGATGGATCAAAGCACTCAAGGGGCCCCGATTGATCACAAGCCAAGGTATAAAGGCACCAAACTGTTGAGGTGTGAAAAGATTGACCTCGAACATGGCCACCGGGTGAGGCCCGATTGGTCGGTCAAAGAAGTCATAAATTCGTAACTCGGGAACTGCTCATGTCAGTAATGTTGCGCATCGGTAGATACTCGAGATTCGACCACACTAAATGCCCGAGTACTTCGAAGAAGAGGGGTAGCCGCTCACACTCGCGCCTTATTCTCTCCCATAGGGCTCTCGCAAAGGCAACTTGATCCGGATTGTTCTTCAATTGCGCATGTCAGTCGGAGAATCACGGTGACTAGGTACAGGTCAACCAACCTGATAGTGATAGATATGGATATCGAAGCCCCCACGGCGGTCCTTGGAAAGGGGGTCCGGGAACTCATCGTATGCTTTACTTAGAATCCCATGTTGAGGATTTTTCAGGGACTTTCCATCTTCGGTTTTCTCTCTATACATCACTTGTTAGCCCTATCCCATGTCACTCCTTCATCTCATCTCACTTACACAGGAAGCGGATCCAACCCCTCATACCCCTCCAGTGGCCACGGATACTCAAATGCAAATTGATCCGTCATTGCGGGCTTATCGGATAGCGTCTGCTCCGCGCGTGGATAGATGCAACAACCCGGTTGGCTCAAGATCGTTAAAGACCTTCCTGTAGACTTATCGCAACCTAGGCCCAGCTGCAAAGTATAAATCTCAAGCTCTTTCGTGATCCAAGCGTAGTCAGTGATCTAAGAACCCTCCGTCCTCATCCGAGTCCCTACCCGACAAGATATAAACACGAACATCCGCTATCGGATACCGGAAACCCGCACCTCAATATATTACTATTACTACGTTCAAAGCCATCCAGATGTCTAATATCTTACCAATCATGTCTTGGATCGTGTCACAAGTATTACCATATCGTCGGGATCTTGGCCACTCATCTCCCCCGCCGATGAGGCCATCATTAGATGCTTATGCAATGGGATTGCGAGATTCCGCACTTGTGACTAAAGTGCGGAACGGGAGGAGGGGTCTGGCTTGGCGGGGAAAAGCTGTCGGTAAGTAGGTAAATTACTTGTACTTCGGAATATGGGACGGTTTTTCTGGAATGGTACAGAATCACGAATGTTTGCATTCGTATTTTCTTGTATAGAGATGTTCCTAATTTAATAAGCTGGGAATTGATCCTTATTGGCTGCATAAAGTCACGATAAGTTAGTTCATTGAATCCTTCGGGAACATGTCGGCAGAGGTAGTATGATATATTTCCGATCAGGATAAAGGTCACTAATTGACCCCACTAGCAATATCGGAGATGGTTTGCAGGATAATCTGTGCTTAGTTGTCTAGTACTCCGTAGTAAAGTCATAATGGGCAGATACACAGCACGTAGCCCGTATCAATGGATATCATCGTAAAAATAAAGTGGCCTATAGAATACCGGGATGCTGAAAGCCCACCACTTAGGTAGACATGCATATACTCCCCAAACCACCAATGCTACCAAGAAGCCTTAACATCAATATGCCCGTCCTCGTCGACAAACTTGCCCCGATCCCACTCTCGACCCTCGCCTTTCTTCGACCACTTCACGTCCTCTAACCTGCCCTCTGAGTCTTCTCCTGGCGTGGAGGTAGTGTTACTCTTCCACCGGTCTACGAAGTCGTTACTGAAGCCAGCTTCCCGCAGCCTCTCCTCGCCTCTCTGCTTCCATCGAGCCCGATCACGCAGCGCTTCGAGAGCAAGTTCCCAGTCATCATCGCCATTCATTAAACCTGGGACGGGCCGGCGAGTAGTCCTGCTGCCTGCCTGCCCGCCATCCTCCTCCAAGTGCACATCCGTAGTGGGGTCGTAGTCGGGCGCAAAGTGTGCATCAATGTTGCTCATGTTGGGCTTGTAGGCACCTCGACCCCGGGAACGAATCGGCGCAGGATAGTCATCATTATCATCTTTCGCCGGTAGGGGCCCGACAAGGTCTTCTAGAGGATCCGACTCATTATCCGAAGGTGAATTCTCCGGGGGCGGCGCACGAAGCGGCGATTGCTCTTTGAGTGATGTTGTACGGTGCCTTTTAGAAGGCTCCTGTCCACGAGAACTCCTGTGACTCCCGCGCTCACGATCTTTATTCCTGCGCCTGTCAGAAGCTACCGGGGACCGGGAACGGGATCGCGACAAAGAATCGTAGCGACTGCGATACCGTCGGCGACGACTGCGAGAATCGGCATCCCGATCCGCTGGGGATCGGCTTCTAGACCGGGAATACGATTGATTGCGACGACTCTTCCTAGAGTATCTATACCGGTCGTCATCGGTATCCTTAGCTTCGCGTCTTCGTCGGCTCCTGTGTGATTGGTCCCTCTCTGTAGATACTGAACGACTTCTATGCCTCCTCCGGTGAGAGCTGGATTTTCCCTCGCGATCTCGCCTCCTATCGTGCCGCGATTCCCGATCGTCTGATGTACGTTGGCTGCGACGCTGTTCGCGTTTCGCATCTTGCGACGAAGAGGACGATGCTTGGGTCTTCAACTGTCGCATTCGCTCCCGGGCCTCCCGTTCTTCTTTCCGTTTCAATGCTGCATTATGATTGTCTGTTTCTCGGATGATATTTCGGAGGAATCGAGTATTCGGTTTAGGAGCGGCACCTGTAGGCCTATAGTAATGATGCGTCAGCTCGATCGCCACCAGCTCTTCAGCAGAGGAAAGTCGGTACCTTTTGGGCATATACGCTTCTAATCCATGCGCCGAATATTTCAAGGAGCTATCCCGTGCTTCCCGTGCAAGGACCTGTGCAACATAGGCATCGTCGCTGGGGTCGCCGACTGCTTTGGGAGGCATGGTGTCGGGTAGTGGCACTGAGGGTAATGCTGGGGATTAAGCAGTCGCGGGAAGAAAATTATATCATATTAGGGTCTAAGATTCAGCAAAGAGCCAAGTCTTCGAATTGCGGTATCCAATCGAGTATATCGAGAAAAGAAAATGGCCTCTCGTCGTTAAGAGTGGGAGTCACGATACAACCGGCGATATTCACTGTCGCTGCTCACCGGTGACTTCACCGCCCGGCCGATAAAGTGGTGGGTCCGATGAATCTGTTTACCTCCGCATGTTTCTGCCGACGCGCGATAATGAATGGTTTTTGCAGTCACCCCTCCCCCCAATTCAATAGGAGACGCGGCATACTCATCCCCACCAGGACTATCTGATTGAATACATTGCAATCTTGACACAATACTCAGCTCGGTCCCACACAATGGCCGAGTTAAGTCCTGCGGAAACACGAAAACAACTCCAGCAATTAGGAGACGATAGCGGGGACCTGAAAACGCAATTGAACATTCTGCGCATCAGCGAACCGATCTTCTCTCCTGATGATGAAAGTCGACGCTCGTCTCCGTCGAAGCGCAGGTCAGATGTCTCTACCTATGAAAACCCGACGCCAGCTTCGTTAGAGGCGGATTTGACGCATTATAAAGTACGAGATCGATCCTCTTGTCTGGAACGCGCAGTAGGACCATCCCCTGGTGCTGACATGTTATACAAAGGAACTGTTCTCGAAGTTGCGCTTTTCATATGTCGAGCAAGTCACGAAGGAGAAATTCTTGCGTGCAATCGTGGGCGACCCGCCCCTAGTAGTCGGTCACAATGAAAATGTTGAGATGGAGGCGCAGTTGGCGGAAGTGAAAGCCGACCTTCGTGCGCGCAAAGAGGAAGTGCGATCCATGGTGGAGGAAATGGAGAAGACCGGCAAGGATTTGGCAAACAGTGAGTGTTCTCTTCCCTCGGTCCAGGACTGGATTCCTGTCATTAGGCCCTCAGAGTCAAGTGTTCTGACAATTTATGTCACTGAGCAGGGTACAAGAATGTGCAACTACAAATGACGCAACTGTCCACTCTGCCGGAATCGATCGAAAACCTCGAATCTACTATTGCTGAGCTCCGTGCGAAACAAGGAACGGATGCGAACGGTTCAACAACGCAAAATCTTCCTCTTCCTGCAACATTGAGTCTTCTGTCCGAACGGGAGGCGGAGCTTGCGGCTCTTGATCGACAGCTTGCTGCCGTGCAAAATGCCCTGCCCCGCAAGACACGAGAGGCCGAGGCGGTGGAGCGCGAGCTAAGTGTTCTAGAACGACGGAAGACAGAGGCGATCGCGCAGGCCCAGGAAGTCAAGAGAAAGAAGGAAGAGGGCGAGAGCGACGGACTGGTAGAGATGGGGCGATGGTACCGTAGCGCGGAAGAAGCGCTCAAGAAACTAGTCGATTTTGAAGGATGAGGCCCTTGAGACGGCGAAATGATTGATGATACTGGATGTGGGGATACGGCGTTTTCGGCCCATACTGGATTCGGATTACGTGGGTGTTCAAGAGGGATAATTTACTGTACAGAAGCTAGTATTGTGGGAATCGAGCCGTAGGCTACTGGTTCATTCATGGAATTGCATGATCGTACAACATTATACGCTATGCTGCAGCCACAGAGCCCCGCGGTTTTATTTTGGCTAACGAAACCTGTCCGTACTCCAATTTTTAATCCTTTACTCCTCATCCTCCTCAGCCTCGTCGTCACCACCGGCAGCAGCGGCAGCCTTCTTGCGCTGGACACGGCCAGGGCGGCCACCACCGTAGGGGGAGGTAAGGGCGAAGTCGATGTGCTTCTGGGAGTCCAGGCGGACCATGTAGGAGGGAACGTTGACGATCTGCTTGCCGACGCGGATGTGGCGCTGCTTGATCAGGACACGGGCGTGGTGGATGGACTTGGCAAGACCGAGCTTGTAGACGCAAGTCTGAAGACGACGCTCCAAGAAGTCCTCAACGCGGAGGGCAAGGACGTAATCGAGCTTCATGCGGGACTCATCGAGGACACCGATGCGGACCAGACGGCGAATCAAAGCGTTACCTTCGAAAAGACGCTTGGGGTCCTTCTCGTCGAGGGTGAGAAGCTCACTGTGCACAACAGTCAGCGATTGTTCCATCACTTTCTCCGACCCAGTTTCGAAGTCGATCGTTCATCCGAAAGGGCGCATACCGAGCAGCACGACGAATCTTGGACAGGGTGAGCTGGACACGCCACACCTCACGCTTGTTGCGCAGGCCGTACTCGCCGACAACCTTCAGTTCCGAGTCACTAGCGATAGACGTTAGGCATGGGAACACGCGACATAAACAGAAGCACGCTTCTGATCAGTGGCCGGAGAGTACTAACAGACGGGCCGACTCGAAAGCTATATCGATATATTAGTATCAAAACGCATGCCGAGAACTTCTCAATTTCGCAAAACTGATAAGAGGACTTACGACGACGGGGGACCTTGTAGGTCTTGGAGTAAACGCGGCTGTTCGCAGAATTGACATTAGATGGGTGCGACACAGATGAGCTTCATCGCCAGTTGTATACTCACGGAGCGGGGGCCATGACTGCTGATTGCGCGTTGTCGCGAGATTGTCGTACACACCAAACTTCACGAAAAGCACAGAGGATCTGAAGTTGAAGATGCGTTTTGGAGAAGGGAACTAAGCGAGCGAAGGTGGAGCCGGAAGCGGACTAGCGCAAGGGCTAGCCCTCGGCGGCGGAGAAACGCCGCACTAAGCACCCGAGAAGTCTACACCATCGCGAAGGGCGGCATAGCGAGGCATTTCTTCGACGTCGACAAGTTCTCAACACCAGCACCACCAACACCGCCGACATGGGTCACTCGCACGGTTTGAGAGCCGGTACTCGGGTATGTCGATATCGCCCAGCTTGTTACTGCGCTTTTTCGCTGGTCCGGAACGCGTCCCGCTGACGAACTTTTCAGTATGCCTTCAGCCGTAACTTCAAGGAGCACGGTGCTATCCGTCTGTCGACCTACCTGAAGACCTACCGGTACGCCGAAATTTCTCGCCGATTTGGATAATATATGGGTGGATTGCAGGATCTGATAGTTTTATAGGGTTGGCGATATTGTCGACATCAAGGTTAACGGTGCCGTCCAGAAGGGGTCAGTACAAGTTCCGCCCGGTGCAATAATGGGAATCCCGACATGAACGGATTTGCGTGTTGCATCTCGAAATTTTGAGCGAAAGATGGTTTGCTGAGACATTGGAATAGTATGCCCTACAAGGTCTACAACGGAAAGACCGGTGTCGTCTACAACGTGACCAAGTCCTCCGTCGGTGTCATCATCTACAAGGTCGTCCGCAACCGCTACCTCGAGAAGCGCATCAACGTCCGCATCGAGCACGTCAAGCACTCCCGCTCCCGTGAGGACTTCATCAAGCGTGTTAAGCTCAACGCCGAGAAGAAGCGCCAGGCCAAGGAGCAGGGTGTCCACCTCCACCTGAAGAGACAGCCCGTCGGCCCCCGTGAGGCTCACCACGTCGAGGGTGCCGCCCCCGAGACCATCACCCCTATCCCCTACGACACCCACATCTAAACGAATGAAAAACGGTCCGTGCGGTTGTTTGGTGTTTGGGGTTTTCCAACTTGGGGTAGCCTTTGCAATGAGACGAAGCAAAACAGAGGGTTCCTGGATGTTCTATCACATCTAAATCCTGTGCATAGATTCCCCCGAATGAAAGAAAAACAAAATTTCCATTTCCCTGTTCAAAATTGATGCAATGGGTCGCCTACTTTTTGCCGAATACCCGTGATGTTAGCGATACTGGCGACACCCTCGGAGTTATGAACCAGGACCATAATTTGACCCTGTTATTACGGCTTTCGAGATCTCTGGGGCAATGCACGGGTTGCCAATACGGGGGACGCAAACATGCACTGGAGGGCATGTCACGTAGTCCGTTCCGAGTCCTGCGAGCCGCTAAACGTCATGTAGTCTGCCTGGTCTTCGATGTCAATGAACTCGTACGTATAGGGCTGACGTACGCTTCCAATCGTATTGTACATTTGCGGATCATGCCGCGCTCAGTTCCCCCACAGTGGATATAATCGTGTAGTAATCTGGAGTAGTCTTCTGGTGTCCCCAGGCTTAGATCTCCCCCTAATCTTTTGCTTCTCCATGTGCGGTCTTAACCTCTTGGTTTTCAACCACATCCATGCCGCTAGGATCAGTATGCGATGTGGGTTATGGATGATTCCCAGGCCGTAAGACGCTTCTTGATTAGGGTAAACGTCCCGCTACATTTGTTTTCCACAAGCGAACTTTTTGAACGTACTTACTGCAGAATGATTTTCTTATCCGTCATTGGACTATCGTGGTAGCATTCCTTTCTCGGAGCCACTCAGTTGACAATAATATTAGAGGGCATACGCTATTCAGAATCAGGACATTTACTGACTGTTATTCTGTGTTGGCATACTACCTTGTGGCAGACTTTCTTTTCCCCAGATGGGTTCTTCAAACCGTTGGTTCTTGGACACTCGTGGCGTTGAAGTCACATCTGTAGATGGGATATCTACAAATGTCCAGAGGTCAGTGCTCCAGTGGCGCATGGCCGTCGACAGTCCCTCGTCGCTACTGGGGACCACATGTAGAGTGATAGACTACACCTGCCGGTTAGAGGATGTTATGCACTATGACCTGGCCCCAGTATACGACAGATACTACTACTATTGCTAGTAGTACTTGTAGTAGTAGCCAGGTTCCGAGCAGGCTGCAATGCTCCATCGCCATTATACAGCCATCGAGCAAGAAACGTTCTTCTTGGCAGCCGCTAACATCATAAATAGATCACATTTCGGAGACCACCAAAACGGTAGGCGCCTGAGCACCCGTGTTTCCGTACTGCTCAGGGGTACATCAGCGGACGAAGGGAGGGTCCGGTTACTCTTTCTTAGATACCATAGAGCATGTAGAAAGAGTATCGATAGTGTATTGGTGCCAAAATGAAATCACCTTTGAGCAACCACCCCCGTGAAGACATAGAACACAGGAAATGTGGAACAGAACGGGCCTTTCCAATCGAGACGTCGGGCGTAGTACAGGCCGGGCTGGGAGGTCACGAGGTTAGTCAAAGCTGGAGTGGCCAATGTACTCCGTCGAGTCACTATAAATGCTTAGTAGTATAGTCCGCATCATGTGTAGTCCGCAGTAGCCCATAGTGCCTGCGTCATTAGTGTCCTCATTCCCCAGGTAGAAGGAAGTTCCTATATTCACCACGTCCGATGCTTGACAGCAGCAACCGGGGGCTTCTCGCCTGACAGGTATGAGGAAGATGAAAACAGCGACTTCACTCTGGTGGTGAGACAGGAGGCCAGTACCCCGGGAATGAGCCCGATGCCGTTCCGGCGAGGCTCGATTCACCTGTCCAGTGAGGGGGTGCATAGAGACATCCACGGGAGCCACAGCCCCAAGAAAGAGGGCAGAAGGGGGTGGGGTCGCCAACCTGCCCCTTTCTGAAGCCCCTGGAGCGTCGTTGGAGGTTTAAATTTGGAGAGCGAGGCGAGGAGTGAATCGGGCGGTGCCGGTGGACGAGGAACTCCAGCACGGCTCCAGCCACAGGGTTTGCGGGAAGACCAGCGCGCTAACCGAAAGCAGCCGCGGTAGTGCCTCAACCTGAACCGTCAGTCATCGTCCATGACTGCAGCCATCACCCGATCACCAACCCCGAGAAGAACACACCTCCTTCGATCACGACCTCCCTTTCGGGATTCTCTGGGCAGCGGCCTTATACCATCATACTGCCAGCCTTCTTGCGCCCCGCCCATATTCTTCCTCGGCCTTTCCTTCGTTCTGAGCTCCAAGCACTGCTCCCCTCTCCGCCGTCCACCTGGTCGTTCGGAGCTTTTACGGCTCAAGTAGTTGAGCTTACAGTTCAACCGTGGCGACTCTTGGTACCTGACAATAGGTATATTCTCAGCCCATCCCTTCTCATGCATTCATAAATTCAGGATCACAGTCGCCACTTGTTTCCGTGTTTACAGTTTCAGAACACTGGTCTAACAGATGTCGCACCCCGTTGGCCTCACAGACTCGAGAATTGTTATGGCAGAGCAGAGCAGCCACGATGTGGTAGACCAAACCCTGTCGGGCGGCGAACCTTCGCCTTCCGACGTTCCTGCGAGCACGACCGACAATAAATCTGCTGGAGGGGACGTGGGGGAGTTCAAAGATACCACTACTACTACTACAACAACAACAACGACACAATCGGAGACGAGCCTGAGTGATCAACGCGGTGAATTGAAAATGGGTGCCGCTGAACAACCAGAAGAGAACGGAAAAGCAAAGGATGCCGATCAGACGCCGAGCGTGAGTGGTACCGATAACGACGTCGCAATCTACCTACTGAACCCGACCCAGGATACCCCGAAGTCTGGTCTTTTACCGGTCGCCGCACGGGCACTCGAAATGAACGGAGTGACGTCCGGGTCAGATGCTGGGGAGGACACAGCCTCTCAGGGAGGCTCAGAATCCGACGCCAGTCGAACAGAAGGCAGACTGCGCGCCGGTTCGAAAAAGCCAGCCTCCTTCAAGCCTGTTAGCTTCGCCAAATTTTCTGTCCCTAAGGCCCCCGGCACTCCGCCCATAACAAAGGCTTCCGAGAAAGGTATTTGCATTCACGGGTCATGCAGAGGGAAATGTCTAATTCACTACAGCTCCCCTGATCTCAACCACTCCGCTGGGTACGCCGCCGCCTTCCTCACGCCCTCGCTTAGTTGTCAAGACCACTAGCAGCCTACGTGACTCGTTGTCAAAACTGGGGGCAGGTGCAGCCAAGCCTGGCGGAACTGGACCCGACCCGAATCAAGTTTGGAACAAGAATCGACGTAAGTATACACCCCCGATGAGTCTCGAATATGCTTCTGACTATCACGCCCATACAGCTGTTCAACAAACACCTCCAAAGCACCTGACCGACGAGGAGTTGAAACAACAGTACGGAATTCACATGACATCGCGGATACAGGAAGATGGTGGGGGAAGCGAAGCGAAATGGGCCGATATCGACGATGATGAAGATGACTGGGCTCCCGAGACGATTGAGTGGACCGATGGCACAAAGACCAACCTCGCCCACCCAGAGCCTGCGCCCCCGGTTCCGGTTCCTAGTCAAGATAAGGTGACAACAGATTTCAAAAAGGATTTTCCTCCCGTGGAGCAAGCTGCAGCTATTAAGGAGCCACCGAAGTTTGTCCCAAAGCCTACGACTTCCATTGGACCGAACCCCACGGTTCTCCGGCTTGGAGCAAATGCAGAAAGACAAGCAAAGAGTGCTAGTATTGCTGCAAAAGGACCAAACGACAAATCACCTTTACTATCCACAAGTCCAGCTCCTCCCCCCGTCAAATCGCCTTGGGCACCTTTACCACCCGTCGAGAAGATTTCCCCTGTCATTCCTCCAATCCAGGTCCAACCGCCGGTGCGGGCTCCTGTAAGGGAACCTCACGTGAACGACGGTCCTGGTGGACCTCTGCCCCCGAAGGAAATCGCTGCAGATGATTTCAATAGATCCTGGAGGGAGATGCAGTCCGGAACTCGTGAGCTCTACAATTCGCGATCGGGTCGCTATGAGCCTGCTCCGGATACGAGGAAAGGACCCTGGCGCGCTGAACCGAATCATCGCACGCCAGCCTTGTTGCAGAGGCCCCCACACGGTGAACCCACTGGGCCGGCAGAACCCTCACCAGCATTTCAAACACATCGGTCAAGCGGCCAAGATGGCATGCACTGGACGCGGCGGCGCACATCATCTAATGTTAGCGGAGGAAGTGGTAGCTTCGGACGTCGGATGTCGATTGGTAGACCCGATATGACCCAGAAGGTGTTCGAGTCTAGGAGAGGGTCCCAGGTGAATGGCATGATTGAATCATCGATACCCACCAGAGACCTGCCTCTTTCAAATGATGCCTCTTTACGCGAGCCCTCGCCTTCCCGGCATGGCCCTGGTCCCTGGCCCCCAAGAGGTGCTACAAATGTGCAAGACAGAATGACCAGTGCACCCGGTGGAATTCCACAACCACCTCCTGTCCAAGCAATTGAAGAACAGATAACAGCACCGCAGGAACTGCAGGAATCACCACAGGCACCACAAGAAGACCCTGTCGCGATGCAAGAACGCATCATGAAGGAGAAGAGATTGGAAGCTCGCCAACGGAGGCTAGAGCAAGAGGAGCGGGAGGAAGCTGCAAAGCGTGAAAGAATTCGGCAGAAGCTCGAGGCTCTTGGTCCAGCCCCCGAAAAGCCGAAATCAAGGCGTAAGGAGTCCCTGGACGCCGGTAAGCCCGAGGCAAGTATCGCGCAGCCTACCGCGCAAGCTGCCCATTCTCCTCCGAAACCACCAGTACCCGAGCCGAGCGGTGAGCCTAAGCAATATGGAATGATGAAGGTTCATCATCCGGATACTGTGAAGAAGCTTGTGGAGAGGGAAAGAAGCGCTACAGATAAAGCCTCCGCTGTGGCCCCTGTCCGACGCGCCCCTTCGCCAGCTCGTGAGGCTAAGCAGGAATCTGTCATGCCCAATGGATCTCAGCAGCCTGGTGACCTTCAGGCACCGAGCTCAGATCAATTGCCAGAATCTAAGGTCGATGAGCAAAGCCCTCAGTGGAGAGGTAACCTGAACACCACTAGCACGTATCTGCCATGGTCCCCCAACCCAAAGTTTGTGGCACCGGCACCTCCTGCGATCTCAAATCCTTGGAAGCCACTTAGCAATGACAAGACCTTGGGGAACGGAATTTTTGAGCAAGGCCTCGGAGGCTTCCCAGGGAGGGATATCTCGCTTCGCAGCCACCTGGGACTTGATCAGCCGCCCATGGCCCCAGGAGCACCGCATTTCTCCGCTCCCACGCGATCTCCACAGGAGAATGCATCTATATCTCCCTTGCCATCGCCCGAAATCAGGCATGTGTCTTACGACGCCATCAACCCCATGCTGCGGCCCGGGCCGATCGGACCTCCAAGCTCTCACCGGCAACATGAGAACCGCGTAGCTGCTGGAACAGCGGCTTGGAACAATTTCCATGCAGTCGCTGCGAAACGCGAGGCAGAGGAGAACGAGAAGCTTCGCAACGAGTACAATACGATGCGTGAGGGCCCTTCTGCGCTTCCGGTGACCTTCAATGAAACCTGGCGGCAGGTCCGGACTGGAGACCAGGCTGGGCAGAGACAAGTCGTTGCAATCTCCAGGACTTCAGATAGCACCGCGCCTCTGGCAAATCCCCTTCCTGGATTTGACCACCCGGTTGGCTCTTTACCTTTCGCAGAAACGCCCGCTCGTCCTCTTGGCAGCGTTCCAGCTCGGAGTTCACGGTTCTTCCCTCAAGCAATGGAGAATCCGAGAAAGCCAGCCACCGATGAAGGAGACTATTTCCGGAGTCCTTCGCCACCTCCCCCGGAAGAAATGTCGAGTCACCCTGTATACACTGGTGATTCGAACAGACCATTGGTCCACCTTCCTGCGCCGAAGCCTATCGTGAAACTGCCTCCCAAGGTCGTTGCTCCGCCGCCGCCGCCTCCCACCTTTGCATCGATGGTTGCTGCTCCGCCGCCCGCCGCACCGGCGACATCCTGGCAGGAGAAAATCAACACGCTGTTTGGCAAAAAGACGGTACCGGAGAAGAGGAATGCTCTGGCGGTCACGTCCGCGACCAAAGAACCCCTTGATGTGCAGCTACATATTGCTTCGGTTTCCGTCTCTCTTCCTTGTAACGGCGAGTATCATGTCGGAGATGGTGAGGTGACTGCGAAGCAAGTCGAAGAGGCAGAGGAGATCTTTGAGGACCGTGAAGTAGGATCTCTACCGGTCGTCCGAGTTCCGACTCGAGCACCTCCAGCAGCGTGGCAGGCTGCACGGGCGCCTTCGCAGTCTCGGCTGCGGTCCAAGCACCTCAAGTCAATGCAGGTCCATAGTGTCGAGCCATTCATTGTTGGATTCCACGACCGGGATCCGTCCGGAAGCGTTAGGGTCTCAATCCGCGTTCCAGGGTCATCCATTACGAAGACTATCACTCTTCCGCGAAAAGCAGGAGCCCATACTCCCCGTCCCCGTGGCCCTTCGAGTTTCAATAAGCCTCGAAAGAATACGAAGCCACGCGAAGGGACCGAGAATTCGAACCCCAAAAAACCTGCCGCAACCCAGCAAACCAACGGCAACAGCTCTTCGCGACGCCCGTCCCGGAATGCATCCTGGGGTCCCCGTAACTTCAGCGGGTCCCAGTGAAGTCAATTGTTTTTCTATGCGCAGTGAAGTCTCATGATTCGAGTTACAGCTGTTAGCCTTGGGTTGGCTTTTGCCGGGTTTCGGAAATTCATTGAGCGTTACATTTCGGTAATGATGAGCCACGCTTGCGGGGAAATTCGATCGATCTGGGTTTGGTTTGAATTCTTAGTATTCCTTTAATGTTCCTCTTGTTTGCCGTGTCATATTCCCTGCGTCTGCATGTGTCAGTGCCCCTCCCAAGTAACAACACTCCTCCGGTCGAGCGGGTCGATGCCTTCCTTACATTCTACACAACTTCATTCTCACCCTCTCACCTTGTTCACTGCCACTTCCTACTCGTTATGCATCTTCAGGTTTCGGGGGTCTTACCCAACCCATGTCATGTCTTGCCGGAATCCCCTCCACCTCTGCTCGCAACCGTTACCCTTATCCCCTTTCACAAATCTTGACCTCGTGAAACCTCTCTCTGTGCCATGTCGCAGCAGCACTCTGCATGCAACACACCACAGACTCCTTCCTCCTCTCCTACGACTCACCTAACAAACCCCCTCATCTCTCCCTTGTTTCCGTGCTCCGTCGACCATCGTTGCTGTCGTCGTCGAGCCTTTGGATCCTTCTTTTTTTTATACCTCTGTGTAACCGGAGCCAAGATTCTGGGAAAGAATATCGGTGCGGGAGCTTTGTGTTAACGTCCAGAAACGTGTATCTAGCTTTGTGCTGAGGTGTGCATTCGAATACTTTAACATTAGTCGGTAGTTTTCTAGCTGGGGTGTAGCTGTAGTTGTAGTTGTAGTTGTAGCTGTAGTAGACTTTGATTGGGATGCTAGGGTCTTGTTGAATGATGAGCTGACATTTGATACAGATTACAGAGTACACACAAGAATCTTTTTGACATCTATCAAACCTACAACTGAACTACCAACTCTCACAGAACAAGAAAAACACCCACAACACCTGTCCTGCTATCGCTAGTCCATGCTAATCAAACAAACTCCCCACCCCAAAAGTAACTAATATACATCCCGTGAGTCGCAGATTAAACAATAGATAAGAAATAACTCCAAAACGAGAAACGAAATCATCAACATACATTACACCAGGGACTCCTTCCAAATTGGGTATCAACTTCCGCCGCCTTCCCCTTCCCCTTCCATAGCATCTCATCCCGTCCATCATGATAGTCATTGATGTCTTACCAGTTCCAGGTACGGGATGACGCAGTGAAAACGGGAGGTTTCCATTGCAGACGTGCGGGGTCGATTTTGCGAGAGCCCTTGATCTTTTCTTTTTCTAGGCGCTTTTTGTGCTCTTCCACCACTTGGTCGGTTAGAACTATGACCCAGTTTCCTTTCTGTGGGTGGGTAGGTTAGTTGGTGTCTTGCTTGTAGGGTAGGGAAGGGGGGGGGGAGTAACGTACATGGTATCGAAGCATATTGAAAACGACCAACGTCTCGTGGACGTCTTTCTCCGTCATAGAGGTGAGCATGGAAAGATCGTGCTCGCTGATGGCCTCTCGACCGGCATCTAAGAGGATTTCCACGAGAGTCTCTCGCCAATACTGTCGATAACTGAGGAGACCAAGATCACTGAGCGGTTTCTCAGGCGATCCAAGCTTTCCTTCTCGCTTGCCGAGCTCGTAGCTGAAGGAGATGAGGAGACGGCCGTACCCGCGGCGTTGGTATTGAGGGAGAGTGAGAATACAGGCCAAGTTGTAGCCTTCCGCGGAGTCTTTTTCTTTGGAAAAGTAGCCGACAAGATGGCAGCCGGTTTCGTCGCGACTGCACATGCAGTAGAAGAGGAAGGGGTCGACGTCGTAGTAGAGAGTCTTGTGATCGAGGAAAAGCTTGCTCAGAAGACAGAGGTTGCGGCACCAGGTTCGTTGGCGTCGGCCGTCAACTTCGAAGAAGGAAATGTAGTCGTCTCGGTAGATTTCGTTTCCCGGAGGATGCACGAGAGTGCATTTGGAACGATGACGCTCGAAGGAGCGCTTGTTGTCGAAGTATCCCAAACAGAACTCATCGATGTACACGACATCTGCATCGGAGAATGATGCAGGGTAGGGGGAGAAGTACCATGGTTCGATATCATATTTACCCATTTGGAGACGGGTCAAGTTTCGCACACGATGAATTTCCGTCGGGTTCTGGGTCATACTGCCACTGGTGCGGAGTCGTTCGATCTCTTCTTCACGAGACATAAGGCCAAGCGCTTTCGCCTCTTCCTTCTCATCCTTGGAGAAGCCGACATCGATCATGTCAACATCATCCGAGTCAGGCTTGGGGGTTCCATCTGCGGAGACAGCTTCTGAGCCCCCAATGGAAAGGTTCAAAGGGGTCTCGTCGCGATTCTCCTTCCCGCCTGCTTTGGATGGACGCTGGGCCTTGCCAACATTGGTGTTCTTGCCCGTCAGAAGATCCGGGGTTGCCGATACATCACGGCTTTCAGCTCTCGCACGCTTCTGGGGGTTCTTGCTGGGCGCTTTGTTGCCGGGGCCGGTCTTCTTTTTCTCTGGTTTCTCCGGCTGGGGCCATTCGACCTCATGTGACAGATCGATTCTTGTGGAATCAACCCATTCTGCACTCGATATGAGCACGAAGAGCATCAACAGACCAATCAGCTCGACTTACCATCAAGACGCTTGTTGAAGTCGACATAGTGAACGCTGCGGTTATCAGCACCAATATCAGAAGGCCCCAATGCAGTACATAACATACTAGAATGAAGGACCATCTTTTCGCTGCTTTATAGATAGAATCTCCGCCTTTCGTAATTCCCCATCCTACACAGATACACTAGTCAGCAATCGCCCCGATATCTCTCAGGCCAGCATAGCGATGTCATCACGTGACCACCACATCCGAACGCAAATGAGGTCGACGAACAACTGACCTTCTGCACCATGGCCTTCACACCGATCCTATCGCCTTGATTAGCACACGCGACCGATGAAACCCGGACCAAGGATCTCGGAGAACGGGTTTTGGGAATTTCTACTACACTTACCGGATGGTATTGAGGGTGGCGAACCCCTTCTCGACGGGGTCCGGGGTCCCCGTGGCCTCGTCCCTGCCGCCCATAGTGATGGAGGTATGATTCTCGATGGGTCTATAGAGTGAATTTAGATGGAAAGCCTATGGGGGGGCCAATTGCGCGATGGAAACGCGAAAGGGGATCGTAGGGGGTGATGGAGGATTCTCCGTTGCAATGCCCCGGAAGAGACCGCCTTTGACTTTTGCCATCCGCTTTTGGTCATCATCTTCCGGTCCTTCCATCCATCGGATTCGTCCTGTGCTGGTTGGAAAGCCTGGTTTTACACATTTACAAGATTTGATGTATGGCAGCCAGGGGATGTTCAATATTGTACTACCAGCTGTTTACGATACTGAACATAAGGTATCGCGTTCGTTGATGAATTGCCTTGTACTAAGGGCAGATATTGAACTTTATATTTACACACGGCAGCAAAGGATGCTAGGACAGGACAACAGCGAGGCTGCAAAAGTATGATTACATTCTGAACTGCAGGAATGCAGGTTGAAATTCAAGCTAGGTATCTGTTCTGAAGGGCTCAATGCCATCCATTAACCATCCCCCCTGTTCCGGCCACAAGCTCGTCGAGCTCGTCCTTCCTGGTTCTATACAGGTCTTGAGCTTCGCGCTCTCTGCGCATGACAAATGCCACATCATCCCTCAGTCTTTCAAGTCTCCGAGAAATAGCAGATTGTTCCGAGATCTGGAGCGTGCGGAAAGCATCGAGCTCATCTCTAGTCTTCTCCAGGGCTGTGTTGGCCTCCACTATCTTAGTTCGGAGCATCTTGGCCCGGTTCTGATAACCGCCGTAATGTAAGGCAAGCTTCTTCTCTAGCTTGTTACCTCGCTCCGCCGTGGCGAGCAGGGAGTTCTGAACGTTATCGAATGCTGCGATCATCCGCTGTTCTTGTTGATATACATCCTCCTCTTCGTCATCGGCATAGTTGGAAAGACCGGGCAGTGTGTTGGAGTGTTTCGTCGACCATTGCTCATCAAAGTCCTCCTGCCATTCCTGCTGCTTTTCAGCTGCAGTCGCTTCCGCTGCGATAGCCGCACGAGCTTGCTGAATGAAACTGTCATCGAGCTGCTCCAACTTCCGAGCCTTGCCCTCCACCTTCGCACCCGGGATAGGGAATTTGCGCGCATCGTGCGCAATAAGAAGAGCAGCTTCTTTTGCGACCAGACCCGAAATGGGATCCGCAACATGAGATACCCGCTCCATCAATGCGTCAATATCAAGTACACTTGGCCGGGGAAGGGCTCGCTGATATACTTGCGTCTGACGCTTGAACTCGGCTTCGGCGGCACGCTGTCGAGCCTCGTTTTCTCTTCTGTCGCGCTCAGCCGAGTCCTCTTCTACGTAGTCAGTTGCGGTGGCTGGCTCCGCAGATTCGGAAGGAAGCTCTTCCAGTTCCCACTCCGTTTCTTTGGGCTTTGGTAGAGCTGCCAGCTTGCCGCGGATGCTTTGACGTGCAAGCTTCTCATTCATTTTGATGTCTCTGGGGGTGCTTCCGATCAGCTGTCCAGCTTCTGCCTGGTTTAGAGCGAAGTGATCCCGAGGAGTCCGCAAAGGAGTGGCACCAGGCCCAACACCACCTCTCATAGGGGTTGCACCAACGCCATTGGCTTGCCTGAACGGTGTGGCCATAGGGTTCGGGGTAAAGATCTGCTGACGCCGGGGAGCGATCCCATCAAATCCAGTAGATGATCCCCCCTCATGCAAAGGAGTATTTTCACCACCCAATAGCGATGATTGAGTTTCAGTCAAAGCTCTGATGTTGCGGATCTCGTTGGCGATGTGGTCTTCCTCTGGCGCCGCCCGGGGCGTTCTGATCGGAGTTCCACCGACAATAGCAGAGTAGTTGCCAATCAATCCTCGGGCTCCTTCCTCGTCTCCTGCCATTTTACTGGCTCTGTCGCCTGCCATACCCATCTTGATGATGTCTTCCATTTCACCTTCGCTGACCTGAGGGCTGGGAAGAACAAGCGCTCTTCTCTTGCTGCTCTGCTCTGCTTCGCGAATCTTCTGCATCTGGCCAGCGCGGGCAGCGGCGGCAGATGCAGAATTACCATTCTTGTCGTTCTTCCGCTTCTTGCGCTCCGCATCGTCATCTTGATCTCCTTTCCGCTTGTTGGCGAGCTGCTGTTTGCGGGGGTCAAACATCTCCCGTTGTCGCTCGTTTCGGGCTTCTTCCTCCATAGTATCATAGAAACCGGGTGCTGCAGGCTTTTCGAACGGAATGTCGGCATTGTAGTCCATTTCACCCTTCTTGCGAGTCACGACCTTGATATTAATGCCAGCATTTTTGAGTTCACGTCGTTTCTGAAGGACTGCAAGTCGTCGCGACTCTTCCAACTGTCTTTCTCTAGCCTTCCGCTTCGCCTTCTTTCCTTGTGTGTTCGCCAGACGAGCTCGGGCCTCACTCAGCATCTCCTTCTCATCTTCGTCAAGGTCAATCGTATCAGGACGAGCGGGTTTGGATTCCGGGTCGGGGTCCAGTTCACCGGGTCTAGAGAGAGTCAGTTTATGCGACAAAAACAGGACAAAGCATGCAATGTCAGGAGCCATACCGTAGCCGTCGCACATCGTCGGCACTAGGGGCAGCCGACTCGGCACCGGGACCTTCCAGACCCAGCTCATCATTCTCACGCGCTTCTGCTTCGTCCAGCAACTTCTGGTAGCGTTCCAAGCACTGTGTTGCCGTGCGTCCCACGATAGGTGCAATGGTGCGCCACTGGGTTGGCATCAACTTAGCCAGATGTAACAGCTTCTCATCCTCCTCCCTCGACCATTCGACCTTGCGGATGCCGGGATCTAGCCATTCCACCCATCGCGCCTTGCATTGCTTGGGGGTCTTTCTTGCTAACAGCGAGGAAACACGCGCCCACTGGTTAAGACCGTACTTGGAGACCTATTGGAAACTGCATTAGTATCACCCAATCGGAGAATAGTCGACCCTTCGGAGAGGGCTTAGCTATCCACGTACCGCCGCCCGAAGCACCTCATCCTCAATATTCGTCCTAGCTACAGGTTAGCGGAAAAGCCAGCAAAGAGTAAATCGCAAGGCACTTACCAAACACCACCTTTGACGACAGGCATGGCTGGTGTGTTTTGCAGCCGCTGACAGTACAAAATTGGTCAAACTAGGAAGGTATATAATACAGGGGCAATTGATGATGGAGAAAAAGAGATTCACAGCTGGGACGACTTGGTCCACGCTGACCAGAGTCGATAAGGAACCGACGCGGGTGAAAAGCGAGGTCAAGTCCTGAAGCGGCGTTCGTCACTTGCCCGCGATAGGCGCGCAGAGCCTTAGCGCGGCAACCGCACTAGCTTCGCCCCGCGGAGTCTTACGTAAGCGGGTCCAGAATTTTGGTTGGAATATTCAAAAATTAGTACGCCGAAAAAAGATCAATACCAACAAGAGTACTCTACGTTGAACATTTTCGGTAGAGTCTTCGAAATGTCTGACCCCGTCGGTGCGCCAAAGCAATACAAGCAGCCTTCTCGCAAAGGCAAGAAGGCCTGGCGCAAAAACGTCGATATCGACGAGGTCCAGGAAGGCCTCCGGGTTTTGAAGGAAGAAGAGATCAAAGGGTATGGATTGGCCTACATTTCTGCCGATATCTGCGGCGATGAGCTAATTCCTGTTATTATTCATTAGTGGTCTTTTGTCAGAGAAGCCGTCCGATGAACTCTTCGTGATCGACACAAAAGGTTCAGCCGAGATCCGTGATGCCTATCGCAAGAAGCACAAGCCGTTGAAGTCGGAAGAGATTCTGGCACAAAGATCCGCTATCCCAGGAGTGGACACCCGGAAGCGCGTCAACTCTAAGGTTACCGACGGAGTTATCGAGCCGAAAAACAAGCGTCAGAAGAGCGATTGGGTTACACGGAAAGACTGGCTGCGCTTGAAGCAGGTCGCTAAGGAAGGAAACCCGGTTAACAAGCCTGCCGGAGATGCCCTTTACGACCCATGGGGAGACGTTGAAGATGCCGCCCCCGTGGTCGATCCTAAGTTCGACTTCTTGGAGAAGCCCAAGCCTAAGGTGGAACCTGTGACCCTGAAGCAGGCTCCGATTTCACTCGCTGCCAATGGCAAGCCCATCCCTGCGGTCGGTAAGCCTAATGCTGGTACAAGTTATAACCCGACGTTTGAAGACTGGGATCGACTGCTGCAGGAGCACGGAGAGAAGGCGGTTGAGGCTGAGAAGAAGCGCCTGGAGGAGGAGCGTAAGGAAGAGGAGAGACAGCGCATGATCGCTGAAGCCAAGGACGATGACGGCCAGGTGCGGTCGGATGATGAGAGCGCTTGGGAAGGGTTCGAAAGCGAGTACGAGAAGCCCGAGTGGCTAAACAAGAAGCGTCCGGAGCGGAAGACGAAGACACAGAGGAACAAGATCAAAAGGCGCAAGGAAGCAGAGAGGCAAGCCAAATGGGAAGCGCAGATGCAGAAGAAACAGAACCAGGTCATACAATCCAATGCTGCCGCCATTGGGATTCAAGAAGCAGAGTTTGATCTTGCTGAGCAATCAGAAGGCAGCTCCTCTGATGCTGATGAGAGCTCTGAGGAGGGCGATGATACTGCTCTGCGCCGGAGACCTCTTGGTGGAAAGCTATAGTAAGTGTTTCCACTTTTTCTTATATGTTTTACTGGCTTGCTGATTCAATCTCTAGTGCTCCCGAGAAGCGTCTGGAGGTTGTGTTGCCGGATGAACTCCAGGACTCGCTGCGTCTGCTTAAGCCTGAGGGCAATTTGCTCGATGACCGATTCCGCACGTTGGTGGTCCAGGGTAAGCTGGAGTCTCGCAAACCGGTAACCCAGGCGAAGAAGCCCAAGAGAAAGATCACGGAGAAGTGGGCTTACAAGGACTTCAAGGTCCCGGGTCTGTAAATAAATTCCCTTTTGGCGTTTCCTTGTGTCGGTTCTTCCAAGATAGATTTCACGTAATATGGGCTAGTGCTGGACATAGAAAAGTTTGTATGAGCCTTAAGTTAAATCCATGAACTTTGATGACATCGCCTCGTTCCTTCAGGCCAACAGAGTCTACATATGCTACCCTCCGCCCGTTGAGCAACAATATATAGATAGTTGCAGCGTTCGAGACTTGCAAGTGGACCCCGCCGAAATTTTAGCGCGGATTGTTAAGGTTGCTTTTGGAAAGTTGCCGGGCCAGTCTCCGCAGCACCCATCTTTTTTCTCGGGTCCCTTTTAGATTCTCAGACCCCCCTCACCATGCAATAGTGTGAGACCTGTCACTGGAATGGACTTGAAAAACCTCTCCAGTAATTGGAAGAAACTCCAGGGGACGCTAAAAAAGGATAGTGTCTCCGCTACGAAACGGAAGTCGTCGGACCGCGAGACGCAGAATGGTGTGGTGAAGAAACGGAAAACAGAGACTGTCGAAGGGAAACGGAAACTCGAACGACCACAGATTGCACTGAAGAGGAAAAGAATGTCGCAGAACGGTACAGATGGAGGCGAGGATGGCGCCCAGGAAACTACCAAGAAGACTACATCTCGGAGGAATTCTACCGCCGCTGTTGCGGTTGCGGAGACGAAGCCGAAGGTCAATGAGGGCCGTTCAACTACGTTAGTATCCCCTCTTGCTGTTACTTTCTAGGGGGCTGTCTATTCTGGACTGGTATCTGATATTCGCCTAGTACGGAACTAGGTAAATACGTTGCGATGGATTGCGAAATGGTGGGCGTTGGCCCGAACCCCGATCACGACTCCGCTCTGGCGCGGGTCAGTATTGTCAACTTCAATGGCGACCAAGTATACGACTCCTACGTGAGACCTAAAGAAATGGTTACCGACTGGCGGACACACGTCAGCGGCATACTTCCGAAGCACATGGTGGAAGCGCGAACACTCGAGCAGGTCCAGAAAGACGTCACGAACATTCTCGACGGGCGAATACTTGTGGGACATGCAGTCAGCAACGACTTGGATGCTCTTCTTTTGAGCCATCCCAAGCGTGACATTAGAGACACCAGCAAACATGCCCCGTACAGGAAGATCGCTGGCGGTGGCTCTCCGAAATTGAAGATTCTGGCTTCGGAGTTCCTTGGTTTAAACATCCAGGACGGTGCGCATTCCAGTGTGGAAGATGCTAGGGCTACGATGCTTCTCTACCGACGAGACAAGGAGACTTTCGAGCGAGAACACCTCAAGAAATGGCCGGTGCGAGTAGTGGTCGAAAAGAAGGAGGATGGAGAGGATCAGAAGAAAAAGAAAAAGAAGAAGAAGAAGACCCGCAAGAGGTGATTCGGTTTCTTGGATGCAATGGCTGGTTCTGTTTGATATACCCCAAGTTCATGAGTTGAAGGATATCTATAGAGAATACACAAGTATATAGAGTTTTGGAGCATATATATTCTTCATGGCAGAAGTTGTGGTCATGTACATCTCGTAGTAAATGTACATCGTTCCGCCCCGGCCAGTTGGCACTTAAGCGGACCGCGGAATGAACCGCTTTTTCGCGACTACGCGTCGCGTTCCTGTTCCATCCTTGCGGCATCACTATTCAACATCTCCGATCCAATAACAGGACCAACTACACGGCATCCTCGAGCAACATACTATTTCCAAATCCTCCGCTGACCATTCTACAATTCCCCCACTATTTATCAATATGTTCGCCATCCAACCAGCCCAGAAATCTTCCTCCAACAACGAAACATCAACCGATCAATTCACCCCCAACATCCTCCCCTGTCGCATCCACCACGATGGCCCGGTCGAGTCATTAAAACGCTACTGGACACCTGTATCTGATGAGAACGGTAAATACCAGGCACCCCATGCCATAATTTTTCCTGCATACTCACAATCGCAGACCAAAACCAGCAAACGGCCTACTTCCGCGGCCGGAAGCTAAGAGGCCGCCGAGTCGCAATCCCCGAAGGCTACGAGGGTGAGTTGTGCCCCAGATAACCATCCTACCTAAACAACATACTAAAGCATTAATCAGGCGTCGTCGCAACACCCACAGACCGTGTTATGCCCGCTACCCCGACGAGCGCGGACGTTGAAGTCGAGGAGGTTATACCCGAAGAGCCAGTCAAGATACTTGAGAAGCAAGGTACATTCGATGAGTTCGTGGTCTGGGGTCATGAATGGGTGCCCGCGGCAGATGACTCCTTTGTTAAGGGGGTAGAAGAGTGGATTAAGCTTGCTGAAGCGGTAGGTGAATCCTTTCTTGTGGATTGTGCTTAGGCTAATGGTGGATTAGATGCACACTACCCCCAGCAGTGAGAAGAAAGATTCTACTTGAGCGAGTCGATATTGCGGACCATAGAAGCTCATGATGAGGGTTGCTGCATACAACTATATTCCTTCACCGTTCAGTCGATTGCTCAAATGGCTTCGTCGGTACATAGGTCTCTTCAGACAGTCTCCCGCCAAATGCGTCTCACGCTGGAGCAATGCCATATCTGCCGATAGTATTCGATTCCGGTGCGGACAGAATTGATGCTAGAGGCTATGGTACAGACCCGGGGCGGGCTATAAGTTGCAGATGACGTCCAAGATCCGACGAGGGTACACTTTTGCCAGCTGCAATATTGGACATCTGGGAAAGGCTACCAACACGAACAGGAACTGGCATGGAAACGCCAGTGGCTAGCCGTGCGAGACCAGGAAGTTCCCTTAAGGAATTATCTCTCCACTGCCATATAGTTAGCTTCCATCCATAGAGCCAAGCCAATATCACCGTACTGTGCGATAGTGAAACCATAGATAAGGCTGACCGCCCACCGATTCTGCCGAAAGAAGTAGAAGATCTGGGGTAAAATCAACAACGCGCAACACTCTCATCCAACCCCATCACTCCTCAGCAAAACCCTCAACATGAGCACCAACGACTCAAAACCCACGCCCGAGGCCCTCATCTCGAAATTCGAGGTAAGCCGGCTCCTCAAACAAGGCAAGCCACCGTCCCCTCTTACTGAACTCCCACCCCTCCATCACCCCTCCCTCCACCCCTCTACACAGCACGGCCACTAACCCAACCACCACCCCCAGACCAGAATGGCCGCCGCATCGCCATCCTCGGCACAATCAACAACCAACAAGGCATTCTAACCGCCGAACGGGCAGCCTTCGCCACCGAAACCCCCGAAGCTCTATCCGCCTTCCACGCCGCAATCACCCAAGTCCAGAACCTCGGCGACAACGACATCTACAGATGGTACCTAGCCTCCTCGAGCTCCGGCCCAGGGAGCCAACAACCACCGGACCTCAAACTCAACCTCATCTGGCCTTGCACGGACCAACACATCAAGAAATACTCCGAGCAGGTGGTGCGGATGGTCACCGAGACGCCGGGGATTTATCGCGACCATGTGCGTCCGTATATGAGCGCCAAACGGGAGGAAGGGAGGTTGAACTGGGTGTTTAATATTCTGGAGGGTCGAACGGAGCAGGAGGATGTGATTTTGAGGGACAAGGGGAGTGGGAATGAAGAGGAGGAAGGGTTCTTAGTGTTGCCGGATTTGAACTGGGATCGGAAGACGATGGGGTCGTTGCATTTGTTGGCCCTGGTCCTTAGACGGGATATTTGGTCGTTGAGGGATCTGAAGAAGAAACATGTCCCCTGGTTGAAGTATCTCAGGGAGAGGTTGTTGGAGGATTTGGTCAAGGTGTATCCCCAGCTTGAGACGGATCAGTTGAAGCTTTATGTGCATTGTGAGTTTTGTCCCTGTTCTATGGTGTTTGGGTTGGGTTGGATTGCTGATTAGTTTACTTGGGGTGCTTAGACCAGCCGACGTATTATCATTTCCATATTCATGTGGTCAATGTGATGTTGGAGGCGGGGGCCACTCAGGCTACTGGGAAGGCGTTCGGGTTGGAGAATATCATCTCGCAGTTGGAGACGCTGGAGGGGAATGAAGAGACTGGCATGGCAGATGTCAGCTTGACTTATTATCTGGGTGAGGCCAGTGAGCTGTGGTCGAATGTGTTTGGGCCGTTGAAGAGGGGGGAGAAGCCGCTGTAGATTTGATACGGTAGATTATGGTAGACGCTAGACGCGTTGAATGATGAGTTACGATTATGCGGAATGGTCGGACGTAAGATCTTGTTGTGTATAGGTATGGATCTCTCCCCTGATGGCAGTCTACATCGTGTATCTCCGTGGAGGTCGATCTATATCGGCGGGCCGGCCGTTTCCTAGACCCCGCAACACCGACGTCAACCCCTCACGGCTCCATCCATCCACTCGACTTTCTTCACTTCCACTACTTCCCTCCCCTCACTCACCTACACTACTCACCATCAACGATCAACGATAATACCCAACCCCACAAGCAGCCTAACAACCACCACAATGAGCGACCCCGACGCCCCTCAAACCAACAAGGCCTTCGTGCCTCTCGGTAACCCCTCCCCTCCACAAAAGCACCTCACCAAACCAAAACTAACACACCCAGAAAACAATCCCGAAGTAATGACCCACCTCGTCCGCCAACTCGGTCTCTCCCCCGCCATCGGCTTCACGGACGTCTGGTCAATCGACAGCCCCGACCTACTAGCCTTCGTCCCGCGTCCCTCCTACGCCCTCCTCCTCGTCTTCCCCGTCTCCCAAGCCTACGAATCTGCCCGCATCTCCGAAGATACTCCGCTCCCAGAATACACCGGCTCCGGCCCCTCAGAGCCCGTGATGTGGTTCAAGCAAACGATCCGGAACGCGTGCGGGCTGATCGGACTTCTGCATGCGGTGTCGAACGGCGCGCCCCGGAAGCATGTCACGCCTGGGTCGGATCTAGATGCGCTGTTAAGGGAGGCGGAGGGGCTGGCGCCGATACAGAGGGCGGATTTGTTGTATGAGAGTAAGGCGTTGGAGAGTGCGCATGCGGGTGCGGCACGGTTGGGGGATACGGAGGCGCCGCAGGCGGAGGATGCGGTGGATTTGCATTTTGTGGCGTTTGTGAAGGGTGAGGATGGCCGGTTGTGGGAGTTAGATGGGAGGAGGAAGGGGCCGTTGGAGAGAGGGGTTTTGGGTGAGGATGAGGATGCCTTGAGTGAGAGGGCGTTGGAGTTGGGGGTGAGGAGGTTTTTGGAGATTGAGAAGAAGAGTGGGAATCCGGATGTGAGGTTCAGTTTGGTTAGTTTGGGGGAGGTCTTTGATTAGAGCGCGGAAGTGCATGTTGTATTCGTATACCCGATTAGGTTATGGTAGATTGAAGCTGGGGGAAGGTTGCGCGCTGGGTGGATATGGATTTTGAGGGTATCTGTATGAGTATAATCCTCACTTGTCGTCGTCAACCCACCATTCCTCTGAATTGAATTTGAGAACGTCATCTCCGCAGGCCCACCATCCAGCTGTGAGGTTGCGTGCAAAGACCTCCAGAGCAGAGTATGGCATGCGATCACCTGCCGGAGAGCTGAAAAACATCCTCTCGAAGAGTTCCTTCAGGTTAGGCTTCCGTGAGTGCACATCAGGAACAGCCGCAACGACCCTCCTGGTTATAGCTCCCTTACCATCACCAGTCTGAGTCGCATGTTGCACTCTCTTCCCTATAACAAGAATTTCATACGGTTTCCGCCATAGCCCTCCCAGCGCCGAGATTGGTCTTCCGTCCGTGGTCGTCTTGAGCCATACCCATTCTTCGTAGACAACAAGCCCCGCACCCTGCATGGCATCATAGGCTGCCTTTCGTGCCTTTGCAGAGTTGGTGATCCAGATCGCTGCCATCGAGCTTTGGGCATCGTTCTGTAGATGCTCCCCAGTATCTCCTCTTTCAGAGGCATCCGCGGACGAAATAGAATCCTCTCGCAAGTACACCTGTAGGATATCACATAGACGCCGCGTAAGAAGTTCCCAGCCCAGATAAGACTGCGTCTGGTAATGGCCACTGCGACGAACGGAGCGGTTTGTCCACGGCGGATCAAGGAGGATGAGATTGAACTTCTGTTCCGAAGAGAGACCAGGAATGGGATCGACTTGCGTGATAGATTCAGATATCGGGATCCTGCAACGCAGGAAATGTGACAGCGGGGGCACATAGAATGAATGATAATGATATGAGCGTTCTTGCTCAGATATCTGCTCATCATCGGGGTTCGAGCCCAGATGGTCTGTTCTCGATTGACACCGTATCTGCACTGTCGCTGGCTCAGAAGACGTGTTTTTGACCACGGCATTAGAAAGTTCGGACATGCTTTCAAAGGCGTTTGCGCCAGGTGACAGGATTAATGGCGGGTTGCCTATATCTGAAAGAGCAGAGTCCGACTCAGTCCAGTCTGAGCTAGATCCCTGACCTACAGTCCACTCTGGACATGTGCTATCGCTGCTTTGCCAGGCACTCCTTTTCCTTTTTCCTGGTTGAATCTGCTCATCATGTGCCGCATTACCTGGACCATCTGGTGCATCGCTCGCTGTCAATATACGAGGCAAGCACCAGTCGAGTCCGACTTGGAATGCCTCCTGGAGCTCCGATAATTTTTCCGCCACGAGCGGCTCGATGTCTGAGTGGAAATGCCGTTCGGCGAGCGGGATCCTCTCTAGAACTCTTGCCCGTGCGGCCTCAGACTTGGGCTCCGTTGATGGCGGATAAGGCTCCCTCGGGGGTGCTGAAGAAAGTAGGATACTTTTGCCTAGATTACTTGAGGCAGAGGCATAAGTGTCTGAAAGGGGTGGTGGCGGCGAGGTTTGTCCAGGCAGCACCTGTGCAAGCGCAATGGAGCTGGGGATATCAACCACAAAGGCGGTGGCACTGGGGTTTTCGTAAAGGATTGAAGACTTCGGGATCATTGTCACTCATGGTTGGCCCCAGAGCTTGCGTTGACTTAAGAGTTAAGAGCACATGTAACGGTCCGAGTTTGCGGGAAGGACAGTGATGGAAGGTTGCCCGAGACCTGGGGACATTGCAAAGCCACCATCCTTGCCCAAACTCGACTACAGCTTTCTTAGAAGAATCTTCATGGCAACCCATTAATTATCTGATTAAACCGACTTTGTCGGTAATCCCAGGATCCGCGTATCCCAACTCCCAACCAGTGGAGCAGCTCAGTCTCAATCCCATGCAACGTGAAGACGGGTCATTCTCATCCCCTAATACACTCGACAGGAAGCACTCAAAAATGGCCAGTAAATAAGAATAAACAATACCATCGGTTCTCATATCCAACAGAATTAAGGCAGCGCAACGCATAACCAAACCACAAGGTGGCAAAAATCACTTGAATGCTTATTGACAAAAGGCAACACCACTATGCTCTCAGATAAACACAAATCGCAACACTTTTTTCTCATCTCATGCCTTCTTCCTCCGTTTCCAAGACGATCCAGCGTCGGTCTAGGTGTGACAAGGGGGTCATTTCGTGCATATAGCCATACTACTCTCTGTATCCCGGAAATCGAAAAAAGGGTAAGGACAAAACTTTATACATCAGGTTGAAGTCAATGGCGAATTAAACAGTTATAAGAGAGCCTCAATGCTGGAGGTCAACCCGCATTAGCCTCGTTCACGCAGGCAAGCTGCATGCTCTCACATGTGCTGGGGATGACTCACACGTCCACGTCGTCCCCCAGCAGGCTGTGTCTGAGCGGGCTGTGCTTGGGAATAGAACTGGGAAGGATATTGATACATCTGAGCGGAGCTCATGACAGGGCTGAATTGCTGAGGAGCATAGGCAGGCTGGTTCATCATAGAGCCGGGGTTGATCTGGCCAGGACCTCCGCCCAAAGGAGCAGCTGGGGTCTGCAGGGACCGAAGATTATCCGCCGCAGGCGTTCCAGCCGGGTACCCAAATCCGGAGTTTCCCAGGCTCGGATATAGGCCTGACGGCGAAAGACCTCGTGATTGAGCCGCTAAATAAGCTTGATACTGGATTTGCTGCTGGGTCAGAGGTAGTAAGGGATCCTGGCCGAAGCCCGTACCATTGACTCCGACTCCGCCAACTCCATTTAGAGGGTTGATACCACTGGCAGAACCAAGGCCGTTCATTCCATTGATGCTGTAAGGGTCAAATGGAGAAGCGTTTGGCTGCTGTTCAGGAGCAACGGGTCTGGGAGCGTCCAGACTTTGGCCAAGCATGGTCGGGAACTGTGCGCCATATTGTCTTTCCATGGAAGGCTGAGCACCGTAGTTCGATGCTGCCTGCCGTGAAGTAGGACGATGCTGTTGTTTTTCCGCGCCAGCGTGATCACGCCCGTGGTGATTATCACGAGCGCCTCCCCGAGAAGACAAGCCAACTTCGTCCATCAAGCGCTTGTACCCTTGACTGGGAGTCGCCTTAAGTTTGGTGAGGACCTTGGATACATTCTTCACAACTTCTGCGCGCATCGATTCGTCAAAGAATGGTGTGGTGAGAACCTTGAAGATCAGCGTCGCTCCTGATGTCTGGTCGCTCAGAATCTTCTCCAGGACCTCATCACCTGGGCTGAAGAACAGAGCCTTCAACACAATCTCACGGGCGTCCGGTTCGTTACGCTGGTTGATCACCTTCAGGACGGTAAGGTAGGCAACCTTGTGGGTGCAAAGATGCACAAGGTGAGGAACCAGCCGCGGTGCAAGCACAGTACGGCGCCGGGGGAAAGTGCACGTATCCAAGAACCAAGTCAGTAGCAAAGCCCCGTTAGCATTGGTTGCGAGTTGTACGCTGTGAAGAGCAATGGCTGCGGCAAGCATGCGCTGCTGATCCTTCGAGGCATGGTGGCTCTCAAGGCAGGCTCGCATGGCCCGGGCGCCGAAGCGGCCCTGGGCAATCTCCCACATCCGACTCAGCATGGTCTCGAAAATGAAGTCATTGAACGGAGTACCGAAACGAAGACAGCATTGAAGAACATAGTTTCCATACTGGTCGAGGAACAGCGGAACCGTGTATGGCCTGAGAGCATCAACGATCGCGTTCATCTGGTTCGGAGTCTTGGCGACATCGATGATCTTCTGTGCTGCCCAGGTTCCATTCTTATGGACGCCAATTTCGGCAAGGTGAGGTGCAATCGGGATGAGCATCTGCTCTTTCGTGGATTCCGAGCAGAATTCGAAGAGCTTCTGGACGACGGTGTTTCCGAGATAGTCCGACGAGAGTTCCGCAATTTCAGGAAGCATTGCTGCTGCAGTCTCCTCAATCTCCTGGACTGAGCAAGCTCCGTTGTCGATCCTCTTCCGGATATCGCGGAGACGCGGAGCATCGAACATCCTAGTCTGGCTGGGCTCAGAAATCGGAGGGATCTCGTCTTCGAAAGCATCGAAAGCAATGGCTCGATGGATACTAGCACTGATATTGTGTCCATCGTCTTCAGTAGCGCCGAAGTCTGTGACAATCTGCGCCATCTCGGGCTGGAGCTCAGGAAGGGAGGGAATCTGGGGAACATGGGTTCCACTCTCCGGCCTTACAATACCATCAGGCCCATTCATGTTCAGATCGGGTGTCGGAGACGACTGAGCTCCGTTGACGCCAGGCGTGCCGGTGGCAGAGGTACCAGGTACCTTGGCATATCCGATGCGGACAGGGCCCGCACCGGGGAAAATCTCCTTTCCGTTGAGAAGCGATTTGGCCTGGATGGCACTCTCGATGCGCTCGAAGTTGACAAAGCCACAGTTCTTGTGGGTCAACACGCGGGTAGACTCGATTTTGCCGTACAGGCTGAAGATCGCCTCCAAAGATGTGACAGTGGTAGAAACGGGGATGCTGCCAATCCACAAGGCACGAGTTGGGCCATCCTGATTGTTCTCGTCCGCCATCTCTCCGGATTGCCGCATGCCCATGTTAGTCCCGCTTCCACCCAAATGCATCAGCTGTACAGCTTCTGACAACTCATCGTATTCTCCACCTTCCGCGATATTGAGGTCAGCGGCGCTGAAGCTGTTTTCAAGTCGGGATGGAGTGGCCAGGTAATTACGAATTGACGAGCGCTGGGGAGGGGCCTCCAGAATCCCGGCGGTCCTGGCACGAGGCCGGCTGGCCGATGCGTGACTGGCAAATGCCTGTACAGCCAGGTTGTGTTGATGGATTTGAGCCTGGGTCGCAGCCAATTGGGCAGCTGTTGCAGCTGCAGAAGGCGTAACGGTTCCGGAAGGAAGTTGCGAATAGCGACTCTCATACTCCAAGTCCTCATCATCTGCGTACTTCTCTTTCGCGTTCACGGAATAAGACCGAATACGGCTGTTGTTCTTCATCATAGCTAGTTCCGCCAGTAGAGGGGGCAAAGTAGACTGTTGCTGTTGCTGCTGTTGCTGCTGCTGTTGGAGGAGCAGATCGACGGAGGGTCGCACGAGTGTGGCTCGTGCCTGTTGCGGGGTTTCCGCCAAGCCCAAGTAGTCCAGCGTTTTCACATCGGTATCAGCAAGTCCATCTCTGGAGAAAGAGGAGTGGCTGGGAGAAGCAGGTCCTTCGGAAGAGCGAATACTTGTCAGTGTCGTGGCGCGATCACGCCCAGTTGCCCAGCTGGTAGAAAACAAAGACGGTCCGAATGGACCAGACGATCCCAAGAAGTTCGCTCTCTGTGGCATCGAACCAGCTCGGAGGCGGGAGAGGGAACCTGCGCTGCTTCCACCAGCAGTGGTTGCAGTCTTTGCGCTTGTGTCGATACCGGAAACGCCGGATGGACGAAAAGGGCTAGTTGACGGCGTAGGGCGGGAGGTCTGGGGCATGTACGGTTGTTGCAGGTTCACCTCGTTCGGCGCACCAACAGGGGAAAATCTCGAGGGAACAGTGCCAGCCCTTGCTCTCCGGGCAGGGCTGTTGATAGAGCCGCTGGAGGTAGGCACCAAGTCCGGAAACCCTTCTTGACTTGGAGACTCAGGGATGTTTTCACGGAGAGGAGTAGAATGACCGCTGGTCGGGGGTCCCCAGATACTGGGCGAAACGCCTTCCTCTGCTTGGATCTCTCGCGCACTAGTATGGTAGATAACAGGCGTCAGCTGGCGGAAACCGAAGGAGAGCACCTCATGAGTATAATGCTGCTTACCGTTTAGAGTATAAACGAGCCCCAAGTTCATGAGAAGGGGATCCAGCCCCTAGCCTCGCGCCACCAATCGAGCCTGCGGCACCATTCAGGACATTTGATGAGCCAAATGGCGACTTGATGACAGAAGACGCAGTGAGGTCACTTGGAGAGCTACGCCCCGTACTGGTCCCAGACATTGGTTGAGTAGTAGGGATATAATTGAGGTTCATGTGACCATCCGGTCGTGAAACAGGGAGCATTATGAGTTATTTCCCTCCACCTCGAACGAAGGCGGACACCGAACACCTCGTGTATGAATATGAGAAATGCAAAGCAGTTGTCCAGTCGGTAAATATGCTGCTCAATCGGAGGTTTGCCTCACGAGAACCATGTGTCAGTCCCGTCTTAAGAGAATCAAATGGCAATGTTTATTCTCCAACCCAGCAAAAACGGGTATATAGATCAATGGACGTGGCTCTTGACGCTCGAGGAAACCGGCGTTCTGTGTGTTCAGGCGCGAGTGGATGTGCTCGTGGCGGGGTTGTCGAAGGACTGGGTCCAAATGAATACGTAAGCTTGAACGAGCACAGATGTGTTCGGGATTCGGGAATGAGACGAAGTCGATGGAAAAGCTGTCGATAAGAGGTCCGTTATGCGTCAAGGCCGGTCAGGGAAGATGATCTTTGGACTGGTGTCCACTGTCTGTCCAGGTTCAACTGCCACGATCCACCGTAGTAATTAGGTCTTGACTATTCGAAAATATCACTAATCCACAGGGACCCGCTCGAAAAGACCGTACGGACACGAGTGAATTGCCTAGGCAGGAGGTCGAGCGAGGGGGCGAAGGAAAGGAACGCGGCGGTCGTAGTAGTGTACGGGGAAAGCCGAAAGGGTTGACTCTAAGGTGGCTGGAATAAATTGCGCGGCCTCGGGCAGAAGCCAGAAAAAGATACAAGAATGGAAAAGACCGACGATGGGCGACACTAAAAGGGATACTGGATTGAAGGATTACTCAAAGAGAAGAGATTGGGGGAGGGGGTGCGGAGGGAGGTAAGACAGGAAAGGGGGCATGAAAGGAGGAAGCGTAAGAAAGAGATAGATGGCGGTGGGTGTGAAGAAGAGTAGCTGCTCCTGCGCGGAGGGAAAAGGTAAAAGGTGGAAAAGAGACTTCGAGAGAAGGAGAAAGGCGGTTGGAGCTCTCAGGTTGCCGGATCCCGGGGGGCATGTCATATCCACTCGTCTGGTTGGTCGGTCGGATTCAACCATTTCCCATTGATTCGGGTGAACAAATAATATCAGCGATACTCCGTATACTGCCCCTTTCTAAGCACATCGGTGTCTCGTTTTTTTGGGTCACATTTGGTTCATCCAGTATGGTCTTCTTGTTGGTGAAGGAATCCTGCCATCCCCATCCTCATCCCTTGGTGCTCGTGCCCACTGCCCAACTGACGATCAACCATTTCGTGCTGCGCTTGCTCGAACCCCGGGAGGGGGGCCAGTCACTCGGTTCGGTTCGATCGATCCCCTCCTGATCCCGATTTTGGAGATGCTTCTAAATAGCGCAATCATCCTCAGGTTTCCACAATCCCACACTCGACTTCTGGAATGAAGGCTCCGTCGGAAATCTCGGATACTGTGTGCTATAGCTATTCTTCCCTAATATTCACGGCGTTGTTCTATATTTATATCGCCGCCACAGTGGCTACGTGTGCCTTTTTCTTGTGGTCTCTCCTCTCAAGTGTTGCGTAAATCTCCATGATTCTCAACGGGTGTCTAGTGCTAAAAGCGGAAAGAGATCAGGCCAGGTGGAGTCGAGGCTTGGATAACATCAACAATTCTGGTCACGGTCCAGCGACCCAGTGACCAGTAGACAGCCGAGCTGGCCACCCTTCTTGGTCCGAGACTGTTCTCCCCTCTTCAGTTTCGCTTCATCTTCAAAATGATTATGGATACTCATGACAGTCGTCAAGAGGCAGGGGTGCACTACAATTATGAAACGGGATGGTGTCCATATATATTATACGACAGCTCGATCTAATGCGGATCGGCCTCTCATACGGCAATGGGATGCGTACCAATGGCCTTTTCGACACCCTTGTCGGAGCTGAAACGGAGGAATCCGGCCCAGCCTGGATGATTGACACCCTGAAACGTCCTAAACCCCGCATTCCACCGTCCGTCATGTGTTTTGACATGAAGGTCCTGTTCATGTTGCACCCCCTGAATGAGGTAATGGACTTGCCTGAAACCAGATCTTTTCGCATGTCCTTGGTGACGTGCAACTAGGTACACTTTCTAGCATTTACTAGCAGTCTACAGCTCCAAACGGCAGCACAGCATAAGGCTATGGATCTAAGTTCATAGGGCGAATGAGCCAGCCCCTTCCTTGATTCCAATGAGGAGGGAACGCAAGGGATGAAGATCTCTGAGACCTGCCCTGTTCTCCTGTTCTGATACCAAGGGACAGAGAAATCCTACTCCGTACTACCTGCGATGTGAAATCATCGGCGGAGCTCTATGCAGGAACGCCTGTGCTGTACCCCATACAGAGTAGATACTCCGAACGCCGTACCACAATCCTTTCGGGGGCCTAAAGACAAAGTCCATTCAACAAAAGCAGTTGAACAATCGGGTCGCAGTGGACCCCATTGAAACATCAATAGTACCTAATGGATCTAGTATGAACCCTAGTATCGGTTCACTCCATACCTGCAGCTTTATATACCTAAGTACCGCAGGCGGTGCACGGTACCTGACCCAGAATATTCTTGAAGCGGGTTGGATGCTCGCGGTCCCTGAGAGATTCAAAATGCCCACCATGCTATATCACAATGTATATAGACAATCTGGAGTCCTCCTTATACAGTAAAAGGTGTTCACCTGGACATTGAAGGGACATTACTCCGTGTGGCACCTGGATCTCGCAGTCAAGACGTTGCAAAAAGCACGTGATTGGTACATACCTGAGGCAACAATCGTCCACCGCCACCGCCCTGCTCCGTATTCGCAGTCATTTTCGGCACCGCCTTTCGAGAGCTTCCATGCATATAATCCGAGCTTTACCACCCTGCCCTTCTCCCCCCCTTTCGATATATGCACGTGGTTACCTGAGGTGCTACGACTCTCTATGGATCTCTAGATTAATTAAATGCATAACAGTACTCGAAAGTGGTACACCCGATCGTCCCATAAGCGCCTGATCCGACTCGCGTTGTACCGTGATTTTACGGTCGGCATCCGATAGACAGCTAAAGTCCCTCTTTCGCCGGGGGGAAATTCAGTCTCCTCGTCACGACAAATGGCAGACGACCATGAGAGCCCCTCCTCCGTGGAGGCGGCGCCGGTAGAATCGCTCATCCAGGGGCGTGCGAAGCGAAGCACTGCTGGACTTCATATGTCAGCCCTCTTGGACGCCGCTGCAGACGATGACCTTGCGCTCTTGTTCGAGGAAGTGGAGGATGATAATGAGTTTGCAATTGATGCAGAGGAGGAAGGGGGAGAGGAGGATGATATGCGTTTTGAATCTTCCTCGGACGACGAGGACGACCAAGGACCCGACGCGCGGGCGGACGAACTGGAGGGCGAACAACAGCTACAGAAGGAAGAACGACAAGAGCGAAAGAAGCGACGGGCGCAAGAAGATATTCGGTTCAAGATAGCCAGCAAGAAGGTCAAAATTGACCCCACGGCCGTGTCCGCAGTGCCCGCCCCTCGCCCGAAAAAGAAGTCAGAACGTATCTCATGGATCCCTACGCCGGAGGAAGGGCCCACGCGGTCGTCCTCTCGTCGTCAGACCATGCAAAACAAAGAACTTACGCATGCACGTCTCAAGGATAGCGAAGAAAAGCGCATTCGCCTCATAGCAACAATGGAGGAAGCCGCCAAAAGGAAAGCCCAGTTCAAGCCAAAGGAGATGACGCAAGCTGAGCGTCTTGCGGAAGCCGAAAGAGTGGAAAGACACAACAGCAAGAGTCTCAACCGGTGGGAGGAAATGGAAAAGAGAAAGGCCGAAGAACGACTTGCGAAAATCGAAGCCCTTCAGAACCGCCGCCTTGAAGGCCCAGTCATGTCGTATTGGAGTGGCATAGCAACATGGGTTAATGGTCGCTTAACGCGCATCGGCAAAGTCGATGTAACGCCAAAGCCAGAGAAGGAGGACAATGCACGCAGGAAAAGCAAGAAGATGGACAAAGAAAGCAAAAATGTGATAGAGCAAAAACCGACCGAGGATGCTGCTGCTGCTGGGTCTGCCACGTCGCAAACAGCCCCTCCTTCCACCCAGACTGAGAATTCAACTCTACCACAAACATCTACCGACGGAGAGCCGGTGAAGCAGAACCACGATCCTGAGCACCAACAAACAACCTCCGAACCCAGTCAAACCAATGGCGCAATATCGCAAGACAAACCCGCCGATGCTGTAGTAGAGGCTCCCGCGTCCACTCATGCGCCTACGGAGACTAATGCTGCTGCTGAGCCTGTCCAACCATCCACATCTGCGCTCAACGATGGGTCGGGTACAGAGGCAGCACCAGACGCAGCTTCTCCAAAGACCGAACCCGAGAAGTCTGAGGGAGCTGCTGAAGCTCAGGCTACAGATGCAGCTCTACAAGAGGGAAAAGTGGATGAAAAGCCGGATATACAGCAACCAGATGAGACGCCTATACACGCAGCTGAAGCTCAACAGTCCACGTCGCAGGTGTCTGGTAAGAACTCAGCAATTGAGTCCGAGAAGCAGCCTGACCCAGATCCACCATCTGCAGATGCGAATTCAGGTGATGCATTGACAAAATCAGCTCCTGAACCCCCCGCAGCCACTCAAAAAGTGTCTGAGACTGCATCCACGGCGCCACCGCAGGTTTCCCCTACTGCAACCCCGGATGCTACTGATGCCCCTCCACAGCCCGCTCTGCAAGAGACTGCACCCGGTTCAACAGAACCAAGACAAGAGGCCCCAGAGGTATCTGTGGACCAGCCAGCTGTCGTGAATGAAGAAACTCCACAACCACAAGTTCCAGAGGTCCCTCCAGTTATAGAGCAGACAGGACGAAACCTTACGGTGTTGGAAAACTTTGATGACAAGACTGCCCAGAGTCGCGAGTTCAGCATCTATTTCAACGCGAAGAAACCTCCTAGGCTAACCAGTATGCAAAGCACCTTATTACCCCACTGTATGCACGTGTGCCATGGTCATGCTAACACTACCGAACAGAGATTTCGTCTTCGCTCTGCGTTATTACATCACTTCCCTCGCGCTATCGGGACCCCGAAACGTCGTTGCCCTTCGCAAACTCCTACGCTTACAATGAAATCCGACATACCGTGGCGCAGAAGTACAGCTGGAGCCCAATGCTTGGGTGTTACGTTGGCCCTGTCGGGGTTGCTGCGCGAGGAGTTCCAGCGCGGTTTTTGGGTGGCGCTGAAGCAGAAGAGGAAGCTAAAGAGGGCGAACAGAGTGATAAGGACGGCAGCAACGAAGCTGCTACAAACAAGACCGAGAGCGGACCAAAGGCGCCCTCCGGCGATGCTCCCACTCTATCTACCTCGAGCCCTTCAGCTGCAGCTGCAGCTGCACCCACACCCGCTGCGGCTGCCGCGGGCGATCCGATGGAAATTGATACATGATTATAGCAGCCTGACTGCGAGGTCAGGACGAGCAAATGGAGCGTTGAGTCATTGTTTATTATACCAAGTCAAAGATACCCCCTTCAATTACATGTACCCCCTCCCATCTCGCGCAATTGATACAAAACTTCCATCGTCACATGCCTCCAGACATATCACACGTAACATCGATAGATAATCTGCCAGGGCAAAACCTAGCTACCCTGCCGGAGCGCATGTACTTACATGTAGCATCTACTTATGCACGCCATACCCCTCCCTCGAACAATCCGGGTATCCAGTTCATGCACGACCCTCCCATCCATCCATCCATCCATCAACCCAACCCAACCGAATCAGAATCAAAAATCCCCATCCAGCCCGACAAATCCGTACAAATCACACATTCAAATCCACACCGTGGTACAAACCTACGAATTGCCCGAAAATAGTAAAACCAAAGAATAGGAGAAAAGAAAACGCAATAACCCCCTATTGGCACGGAAACTTGCGCAAAACTTACTAAGTCCTAGGTAAGGTACATCGCTCCTGTGGTTTTGATTGGGGGGATTGGAACCTAACTGTAAATGATGGTGGAGGGGTAAATAGATGATGATAGGTAGTGGTGGCTGAAGTTTCTTCATCCCTCATCTGCTTTTGGTCATTCGACGGAAGCCGACGGAAATTGTGTCACTGGTTGCGGATACCACGGGATTCAAAGTTTTTATCTGTCTATCTATCTATCTATCTGCGGAGTGGAGAGGTATGTATTTGTGTTTCCCCTGCCCCTCTTAGGTTTTGTGGTCTCGTGGGTCTATGTATGTATGTATGTATGTATGTATGTTGATGGTGGGATGGATGTTGCGGTGTGGGAAGTTAGATGTGGATGGGGTTGCTATTTGTTGATGGGGTTGCTTCTTGATGAATAACTAGGTGAAGTTTACTGATAATTTAAGTTTTCACTGATAAAGAGAAAGCCCTGAAGAGAAGGATGAAGGAATGCCGCCGCACGAAACCGGGAGGTTTTCTATCTGCCCTAATGCGGCAATCTTCCATGTGACGTGGGGATGAATGAGCGATGCGTCTGTTTGTTAATCAATCTAGCCTATGAAGGCAGGCGACTAAGTCGCAATGGCTGCTGGCTCTTCGTATAGATTTATATTGATTTGTTCGAGCTAGATGAATAATGAAGTTTCCGTAGGGATGAAGGGATGGATGTCCCTGCGAAACCCTCATTCGGGTACAATACATCATAGCACAGCACCAAGGGTTTCACGACCTTTGGCCCGCGGCATGGACGGGGTCAAAGCAGTGCAAAGCGCTCCAGGCCAGATTGAAATCGAATGTGATTCGCATTGCCCTGTATGGAGTACAGAAAGTGAGGCTGTTGTCCACTTACCTAACCCGACCTCAAAAGGACCACATCTAGATGGTGGAGGAAAACGTCAGCAAACAAGCCCTTGAGGAAAGTGGAGGGGCCTCTTGGCTCCATCGTCAGTCCAGACTCACCGCCACGGTCGAGACAACGTGCAGACACATGGGGCCCTGGATTCCGAACATCAATGTGAATGGTGGTGTGTAGTAAGGCAGAAAGAAAAGAGGCCGATCCCTGGAACTGCCGATGGGTGGGAATCCCCATCCGTCAGGAGTTAATAATAACACTATCCAATCTCAACGTCGGAGGTATAAATATTTGCTAATGGATGAAAGAAGGTGATCCACAGGCCGATCAAGGACAGATCACTTCAACTTTTACACCAGCAAAACAGATTATTCACCAGGGGCCGGATTAGTGAGGGTTCTAAGTATGTAGATGTCTGTCATTGCGCGTCGGTGACATAGCCCCACTATCATTGACTCAAATCTCTGTAGCATCATAGACTGATCTGAACGTTACAATCGCTGATGGCATTGTAATCCTATTTTGAAAAATCTGTCAATAATGGGACTGGCGAAACAGAAAGAGATGGATATTTTTATTTTTGCCCCAGTAAATTGTCTCAGCTATTTCCGGCTATCAAGGACGGCTCTGGCTTCGCCTCATGACGATGATGATGATGGCCAGCTGAGCAGGCCACGTCCAGCTCAGCCTTTTGTTTTTGCTGCCTAGCTTTCCCCTCTTCTCTTTTGCCTTCCATCTCCTTACTACGAGAATAGTTCCACCGAAAAAGCAAAACCATCCGAGGCATTTATGGCGTCACCCATTATATGCGGTGCCGAAACGAGGGAAGGGAATGGCATTTCCCTGTTTGCTAGCCAAGGTTAACTCAGGGCTGCCTCCCTGGCGTTCAGTTCCGAGTCCGTGATCCCGTCCTGCCATATGGCTCGATCATTGGATCTAACGGCGGTTGATCCTGCCGCACAGATCCAACTAGGGGACGCGGATGCTGCAGAAAAGGACTGGACGCTCGGTGGAGCAGCAGTCCATGTGTAAGCCTGTACGTCAAGCATTGGCCGGTCCCCCTTGAACCCGGCCCCCGGAGCACCGTCTAGACCAGCAGCTGTGGAGCTGGAGGGGGTTTACAGCTGACGCTCCGTGTTGATGATGGGTGCCCGATTTGAGGTGCCAAACTGGGCTACTGGGCTGGTCGGCAGTGATGATCAGAGATTCAGCCAGGCCCGGGCGACATGTCATCCGGAGGAGACGAATGATTGGGGGCCTGGGATTCTTCCATCCCCCGATAAGCGTGGTTCGGTCGGTTAAGGGGAAAAGGTCCAACGTCGGAATTGCAAGGAAAGCCAGCCGGGCAATTGAGGGGCAATGCGAAGGGTTTCTATCGTTATCCGGACTCTGTCATGCCAGTAATCACGGTGGACGCGGCGGTGGTTACCTTATCGCGATGGTACCCCGCCTGGACAAGAAAGAGACCCCTCCCGGCTACTAGTGTCCCTAAGTGCGTACGAGTACCATATAAGAACAAGGAAAGGAAACAACGGATTCGGAGAAGGTTGGAATCGCTTTTTTTTTTCTTTTTGGTGCTTCGTCTTCCATCCACCCTTCTCTTCCCACCGGATCCAGAGTCACAGCTAAATATAGCCCATCCACAAGGGGACCGCCCAAGAGTCGTTTCAGCGGAGCAATTGCAACGTTCCCCAGTCATTTAACTACTCCGTACGCGGAGTGGATTAGGTCATCTGCGGGTGGTGAGGTAAGCCATTTTGTTTGTGTACCTTCCCCATCCAGAAGGGACGATTGCGCGTTGAGTTGCCTGCCTCAGGCACTCACGGCAGTCTAGAACTTCCCTTCCCCAGTCCAATGGCGTGACTCCATCCGAGTCTCGCCTTCCCGCCCGGGCCTGACGTGCTCGGGCGTCACATCGCCCCGGAGGGTGAAAGTGGTCACGGTAGCGAATGGGCCGGAGGGATGGATGGACGCCTGGGGATGCTCAAAAAGAGGCCAAGGCTAACCCGGGTCCCCATCATGCTTTCTTCACGTAGGTGGACCAGAGTTCTAGAATTTCCGTTGCTCGATTCGATTCCCCAGCTCTGGATATATCTATCCGGCTGGTCGCTTGTTTCTGCCTGGGGGGGTCTTATCGTAAGACGCAAACAGCCTCAGCTCGATTTTTCAACTGCCACAACAGAACGACTTTCGGACTACCCGTGTATTCTTATATGCCCACGCCGGCATCGCTCTTTCAGTACCGCCCATCTATTCTCCGAGCGATTTTTGGTTTCCAACCGGCTGCACGATACTCTCATCACCGCCACTTAATAATCCCGCATAACACCACTCCGCCCTTTTTTGGCATCAGGCCAATTGCACGTGCGGTGTACCTTGGAGGAGACGGCCACCCTTGTTTATAAAAGGGGGACACCAAAAAATCAGAACAAAAGGGCCATTTTTTGGCAGGGAGAAAATAAACATTCCTTTGGTATGTACTCCGTATGTCCCTTTCCTCGCCGGCTATCTATATTTATCTTCACGGTCGCCTGTCTATTATTACCGTTTTTACCATCTGCTGGGCGGGTTTGGCTTTTGTCCCTTATCTCTCCCCACTCAGAGGCCGATGATAACGGCCCAGGCAGCCCGGCCCCCCGTTGTCTGGTATTGAGACTGGTTTCATTTGTGACCTATCTGACCATTCTGGTGCCACAGCAGATACACACAGAGCAGGAAGCAAAAAAGCTTATCGTCCTGGTTATTATCATCACCAAGAATTTGCACTTCGCCCGCTACATATTTGCCTCATTGCCAGGGTTCCCGAAAATCACTCAGGCCTGTATTTTCACTCGCCCGTCCACTGGGGTCATTCGGCACATGCCATTTCTCTGAACAAGGACGAGGCAATATTACGAAACTATAGCATCCAGTACGACCGTCCGAGACAATTGGTCCAACCAATTGCGCCGTCGGATCCCTGCTAGACGCAAATCCCTCATACTTCTGACCCCATAGGGGCCGGCTCTCGTGCTCCACAACTGGCGCGGTTCGGCGCAAGGTACCATCGCCGAACTATCTCAGATAGATAATTTTTCTTTTGGACGAGTGTTATATTTATACTTAACTAAGCCCTCACCGCCATCAATGACTCAAAGCAACAACCATCATCGCCGCACCTCCTCGGGCTCCAATGTCCCTAAGCTGAGGACCTCCCGGCCGGCTCTACATCGGAAAGGCACATCCTTTGTGAACCACTCCATCTCCAAACTAGGTTCTGGACAGATCACCAGGCAGTTGGAATCGGAGGACGACCGGCAGCCCGAAATGGCGGCCAGCTTTCTCAACTTTTGGTATGTGCTACTGATCTCCCGCTATGTCTTCCATCCTTTTTCCAGCATTGTTGCTTTTGCAAACCTTCCCACGGCGCCGTTAGTCTGTCGCTTACTTCCCTTGCATGTCAAATGCTTCGCTTATCTTTAGAATCGAAGCTAACTGATCTACAGCGCCATGTGCGAGAAACAGATAACAGTGCCTGACAACTCTCTCCTATATTGCAGCGAAAGGTATGGATCCCTCCTTATCGCGCCACACCCTTGACACATGCACAGCCTCCGTGGTTGGTTTAAATTCCAACGAGTGCCCCTGGTCCTTCTTTGTCTTTCCATCTTCACTTCCCTTTCCGGACCATCTGCTAATACCTCCTTCCCCTCTCTCTAGCTGTCGCCGCAAAGACTCTCACAAACCTCTTTCCGCCTCCTTCTCATCAAACTCCTCGATGTCTTCTCAAACCACCCCTCCTACCTCTCCTCCTATGTCTCCTCGGATAATTGTAGCACCCATGACTCCCACGCGAGGTGCCCTCAGATCGTCGTTCTCTTCCAGGATAACCGGCGAATGGAATGATGCCAAAACGGATCAGGATCCATCCGAATGGAAGCCTGTGATACCAATGGGATCTGGTGCAAGTTCTCTGGCGTCCTCGGAAGCTTGGCAGTACTTGTCCCAGTTTCACAGTGATGATGCCGTGATGCCCGCCCGTCGCCCCCGCTTCGAACACCGTAGTTCGACAAGCCTGTCGACGCTCTTTAGTGCCACGGGGCCTGTTCCATCGCTGATGCACACCCCGTCTACCGCCGCATCATCGCTCAGCAGCAACGGGTCGGATTATATGAGCTATGCGCATGACACCGCATATCGCCCACTGCCTCCTCGGCACAACCCCTACTTCTCTGGCTGCTCAAGTGCCACGAAGGGGGTTGAGCTGGTAGTGCCCCATGTTCATAATCCCACGGAAGATGTTTCCGCTGTTGGCATTTCCAACGACGGTTCGATTTTCCCTGCCAGTAGTGCGCTGTGGGATGAGAAGCCTAGTGGAAAGGCACCTACCTTGAGTACGGTCTTGGGTTCTGCAAACTCTGACGTGCCTGCTCGTTCCCTGGAGGAGTCTTTGTGAAGGCTATTATCATGATTCTACAGCGCTTCAAAGCGACCCATACTTCCAAGTATTAGCCGACATTGCGAGTGCTCAGATGCTGTGCATGTGTGCCATGCAAAGGGCTAAGCTCGGCATCTTTTTTCTTTTCTGTTAATGTCCTCTGGTCTTCTGTTTTTAGTCATTTGGTAATATGCAGAAATTGAGCGGGAAAAGGCAATAGAGTCAGCATGAGAGATACGAAGCGACGGATGATAGGCGTGGAAATGGCACCTTCCTTTCGGAAACTGAGCTCATAGCGGATGCTTGGGATAGATACTTAATACCACACGGACTTCGGGCATTGTATAGACGAGCAGGGATTCCTATATAGAACTGAACAAGATTCAATTGCATATACAAAGTGCGCCAATTAACTTGTGACATGTCTTGAGACCGAATCAAGGATACCCTTGACAGCGCAGGTGCAGAATTAGTTAGCTGTCACCTGTCAGGCAACTGCCGGATGCCCCAGGCTGTCATATAGATGACTAAGCACCTGTATATTTGTGCTCCACCAAAGCACATGCAATACACAAGGCATTGAAGCAAGGGCACCGACTGAAAAAAGATTCAATAAATGTATATGTATAGTATGTCAGAGACTGCCGTATGAGAGAGGCACACTGTTAAGACAACAAGGGGCCCCCAAACCCCGGCGTCGAATGAACATGTAGAAATTCCGGTAGAGTTGTCGGCAGAGCACTTGGTTCTACGCTTTTTGTTTGGGAGTCAACGGCTAGTGGATACTATAGAGTGGATCATCCATCTTTTGGGGGTTTGGCTGTGGTGTAGTATAGTAGGGTTTGCCTCTTAGGCTCATGATTCATCTTGTTTCATCTTCCTATGTCGACCAACTGGATACATTGGACGACTTGATGGATCGATATTAGCCATCGAAGGGCACTGGATGCTCCAGAACTTAGTATCATGTAGCAACACAGTACAAGTAGGTGTGGTAAGTCATTGGGCATGCCTTTGTGAACACAGATCCTGTCACTCTGCGTAGAAACGGAGACTCCTGAGGCCTACGAGACATATCAGGAGGCATTACGATTGATGAAGCCCTGTAAGTGCGTGCAAATACCTTGTCCAGAACAGAACGGGCTGCAGGGCGAACGCACGAAGGTTAGTTTGGTCAACTTGTTTGGGCCGGCAGCACATTCGCCCTGCCAGCCGGAGTTCATTTCCATCCACCCCCCCAACTGAACTTCTCTGCATCCCGTTTTTTCGGGTCCTTCTTCTCAGCATCACTCCCTTATCTGAGAATACACTGCTCAGCCACCTTAGAGATGCTTGTGAGGGCTTGATGTCGTTCATACCTTGTTTTACTCACCTGCCAACACATATCCATCAGCTTTTTCATCAATAATCTCATCATCTGCTCCCCTGTCCTTTTCCGAGCCACTCTGTTCAGATTTCCAACTGCCTTGATCAAGAAAACACTACAATCTGGTATTATATGTCTCAACGCCTTGATCTGGAGTGCTGGATACTTTAGATGTCACAGCATCATCGGCCTTGGTGTGTCCATGGCGACTAGTACGGGACTCACCACATGTTGGAATATGGCCACAACGAACTTCTGAGTCAACGAAACACTCCAACTCGACACAGAGTGGTTTACATACACGCCTAGAGATAGAACAATCTGACGTACGTGCTGGTTAATGGGTAGGCCTGAAGATTCTGCACAGTGCACCGGCGGCCGAAGGGGGATACGAACCTGACAGGATCTGGGTCGGAAACCTACAATGGAAACAATTAGTGCTATCCGTGGGCCAGGTTTTTCAAATTACCCCTCTCTTCGTGTATAACATTTGGTCAACCTTGGGTTCTGTAATCTAGTACTGACAAGGACCCCCGAGAGTTCGCAGGCCAACTTCGCCCTTTCTCTTCGAACGACCTATCCTGGCAGTTAAAATTGCATATACCGCCATACGAAAATCCAGAAGTGTTATGAATATTTTTCTACCTTCAAATTGCGGGGACTTCTTTATCGGATCTAAATGCAGGTTACACAGACTTGATCCACCCACCCCGGCCGGGTCTGTCCCATGGTCGGCCATGACAGGGACATCACCAGAATCAGTACATCATGCGTGGCAAGCAAGGTCTCCACCTGAAGGAATTCTATGGATAGAGGACGGCATGAGAGGCAGGGGAAGGAAACTATTGACTCACGACCATACCATGTCGCCCTATCGCGAAAAACAACGCCATCTATGGTGCTCTGATGCGAACTTGGATGTTGTTCATTGCACAGACAACCTGCCTATAATACAACATCGAATCATGCAATCGGAACGGATACTACGTTATAATTTCAAGGAGAAGGATATCTACATATTGGGGTTTGACGCTTAGGAAAAGATGTTGTGAGGGTCGCTGATCGACAAGTTTCAGGCTTCAGGTATCAAGTGGCGAAACGACTTCATCGAACACGATAGCAACGGTCGTTATTCTGAAACTGCCCCCTCAGCTATTTTGAGTGTCGGCATACAAGATGGAGTAAATGAAGGGCTTGGGGATGTGCACCGAGAAAGCACATCCTTCCTTACGCGACTAGGGCTGCGCTAACCTCGTCCACTCTACCGGGCTTTGATTGGGCCGGCACTTCTCATCAACAGAGGGCATCGAAGGGCACAAGCAATAATGCAGTAACGAACAGAAACCATGCGACCGACTCATGCATCAGCTAGGATAGGTGAGGCTGATAATTGATTCATGTTGTCGAGTTGCGATGCTTCCTACAAGTAAGGCATCTTTGGGCCTGTGCTCATACAGACGCAGTGTCGAAAGTCTTTGTGGACGCTTTCAGTCAATTTGTGAATCAATTATCAGGGCTAGCGATCTTCTTCGCTTATGTGCTTACGGTTGAAGAGCATCTTTGGTTCTTGGCAACTCTGCTGATACGACACACTTCCATCCAGACTCGCTGATTAAAGGACCTTGGCCAAAGCCTTTCCGATTCGAAGAATATACATGCTACGAGGTGTTTGGCATATGATAAGCTGGATGTGCCACATTTTGATATATTGTCAAAAACTCATCCAGTCCCTCCCCTTGATAAAACCCCGAGTCCCCGAGACACATATAGGCAATTAAACCTCACTGTCGTCGATGATATCGCCGTCACCAAGGATGTCTCCATCAAAGATGTCTTCTGGCATATGATCTGCAAAAGCACCCGCGTCGTCATTCTCAAGGCAGCACATATAGCAGCCAAGTGTTGCTTGCCACTACCGTTTCAATCAATAAGGGAATTTACGACAGGATCTAGGACGAGCGCTTACCTTTGGCCTGTTGCATGGAAGATGGGAAGGCTCAGGCAGACATTGACCCGTACATAGCTCGTTTCCAGTATCAATCCCGTGGGGACGGCCCTGAGCATATACGTGAGACGCGAAGAGGGCGAAAGCTGTGACAAAGAGACCGGAAAGCTGCATCTTGCTAATTTGATTGGAAGGAGCGGCAGATGATTAAATTGAAGGAGTGGACACCGCGTGAAACCGGCAGGAGAACGAAAAGCAGACAATATTATGCAAGTACTCGCTCATATGCGTGGCAGCGAGGCAGAAGTCACCTTATAAGTGCACTCCCTTGCTAACTGCGAAGCAAGGGGCCCATCTGAACCTGAAATGATCTTGTCGCGTCACCAACCTCAAGACTCGGGGAACTGGTTTACTAACTAGAGTCAACAAGGCTCAAAGAATGCTGATTCCCAATCAGCGAGATTCCAAGATGGCACGTGCCGGTATGCGCGTAATTCAGAAGCCACAAAACCAAAATCTTAGCACCTACAAACACATACGTCCTAATGCAAGAATGATTGATCGTTCCAGAAACGCATACGAATACAAAACCTATCGGAGATACGTTTATCGGACTGTGTCTTGACTACGTACTAGATAGCCCTGGTGATGGTCGTACATACTGAGGCCATGCTATGACCCACATTCCCAGCAAATGGGTTTACACGGGCTATGCAGTATACATAGGAGCCCTTGATAGGGATGAATTACTAATCCGAGCAGGGATAGCATTATAAGGACAAACCCCTTGGTGGTCATTCTTCAACTGAAGGTTATGTAATTGTGTCAAAATCATGCTTAAACAGTCCACATTATTTCTCTCATAAGACAATGAGAGCATGGAAAGTCAACTATAAGTTAAAAACCGTGTGAAGCGCTTTCCGTTTCTTTGCAATATGCACATGGACAGTGACATTCATTGGATTATCGCTGATGTTGGCCAGCAGAAACACAATCTACAAATATGTGTATAGAGTTCTCAAGACAGAGGGGGACCTTTTGCACTTCAGACTTATATGGGTTCAGGGGTACTATAAAACACTGACATTTGATGACATTGATGAGATTCAGCTCGTGCGCATAAATCTATAGAAAGGTGAGAGGCAGAGACGCATAAAACACACATGGCAGAAAGGCGAAGATATGACTGGATCGCCTGACATGAGAGATATTTGATAAACCAGAAATTTCCTATCCTATGTGAAGTAGACTAACCGAGTCAAGCTCATCCTGGAGAAGTAAGTACCATCAGCCAAAGGAAAATGTTCTTGTGCTTTGTTACAAGGTACAGGCCATCTGCATATACCCAAGTGTGATACACAAAAATCGACAAAAAATAAAGGGGTGGCTCCAAAAGACCCACAATCCGACATGGTAAGGGGTGCGAGTTGCGGAGCTGACGCTAGTCCTAGATATAGACAGGTGTCGTTTTTTCACGAGCTACTTGTAACCTTGAGAAATTGTGCCCTGCTTCGGTTTCCTCGCACATACTAGAAGCATCCTTTAAGCCTGGGGTAAGATGTACCCGTTTTCTGGATGCCTCTTGTTTAGGAGGTGTTATGGCAGCTAAATCATTAGAATAGTCATGTAACCTGGAGCGATTAGTATGGGGTTCGGTATACACCCCGTACGCTAACATGGAAGCCACACAACGTTATTCGGTATAGTGTTGAAGAGCTGTCAAACACAACATGAACCTCGACAGCGATCCGGAAATTATTTCCGACTGCGAGGCTATTGTATGTAGCAGATTCGTGACGCAGTGTTAACGAATTTGGCCGAGGTTGACGTGGAGAGCTGAGGTCTACAGCATAATCCAGAAGGAACCGTGACGGGACCACAATAGCCGGAGTCGAACAAATCACCATTGGCTTGTGTTTGTTTCTCTTTCCCCCTTTCAAGTGGATGACAGAACATCCCTTCATGAAGAATGAATGAACTCAAGCACTCTGCGCTATATTACTTGACGATTCTCAAAGCTCGCAATAGTCAAAGAGAAGAGCGACATGATCAGTGGGACTTCTCACAAACCGCACACGTTGGGGAGAACCTTTTTGGACGGTTAAATCTTGCACTCTCTGGACCGTAGCCTGTTATGTCACAGACAAAACCTGTTAACCGAGTGAAACCGACCAAACTTTAAGGGTGGAAGCCAGGGCATGAGGCCAGTCCGTCGGTAGGCTCTCCGCAAGATGTCAGGGATCAGAAGTCCGCTGTCATTCTGACAGACAGTGCCGAGCCTCTTTAATAGTTGACCGAGAAGTTGCAAAGTTGTCGAATGTAGTGAATGATAACACGTCCCTGGGTACGCCGTAGACATTCTCAGGATGTTATGTCCTGGTTTCTTTCGTGTTCGGGAGATGACATCGGAGGCGTCCAGGAGTGCCCAATGAGGGTTCCAGGATGTATTTTCCTTCGCTAATGGGGACTCACCTTGGCGCTAGAAACCACCAGGCTCGTCTGCTTGCTGCTGCCCTTGCCCTGCTTCCCTTATCCCCACCTTCCTTCAGGTAGGTGTTCCTCATCCCATTCGGGCTCTAAGGTTGCATCTTCTAAGTATTCAGTGCTTTACCTGGAGCCCAACTCGCAGGTAGTAATGATTCTTGGTGGAGAATCTTTGGATCGATCGGGAACCGAAGGTGATTCTCGGCTTTGACCCAGATTTTAGGCTCCTGCAGAAGTCTGCACCGTGAAAAGGACAATATTGGACGCAAATTCGCCTTCTGGTTGGGGCCTCGGTTAGGACTGGAAGATTGTCATCTACAGTATGTTCTTACCTCGCCGTTCAAGAGGGTTCGATCCGCGCCCCGCCATAGCCAGCTTTCTCGCGGCGAGCGATGGACCCTTCTCGTCATTGTGGATGCTGCCAATACCCGGAAGCGACGTCCGACGCGGGACGAGTTAGATCATCCATCGCCCAGAATATCAGATGCACTGCATCTACCCGCCAAATGAAATGATGGGGAGTGGTTCTGTAGGGCTGGATGGTCTGTTGGACTCGACACCCAGAACTTCAGCGGACCCCTTATTCATCTGAGATAAACACTCATGCTGGCAGGTGAGCAAGGCATAGCAGATGATACAAAGCCGGCTTCGCCTCATATGCAATCCTCTATGCGAGCAATCTTCTATTGGTCGTCGTCGGAATCAGTCAACCTGCCACTCATCAACATAGATCGCATCACACCCAGCAGCTTGCCGGTCCAGCCCCACTCAATCCACATGGTTTCCTAAATCATAAGCTGCCGGGTTTCGTTATGTGAATTCGACAAAGATGCCGTACATGGCATCCTGATGCCATCATATCAGAGGAGTGATGATTTCGGATACCGGAAGCCCACGCTAAAGCACACTAGCTCCAGCGACATTGTCTTGATATACCTGAGCGCCGTGACCGAACAGTTGACTGCATAACCATCTACGGCTGCAACGGCGATGATAAGACCGACACTATAAATTGAACCAGAGCACTGCAATCCCACAGCAGACGGTAGACAGGTTAGGTGAAGCCCTTCGTTCCGAGTGCTTATAATGTAGACTTGCGAGGCAAGCTTCAGGTCCATAGACGCATTGGCTCTCTGATATGAAACGCATCGATGGCCAGTGCTAGGCCTGTCTGCTGAGTCAAGGCAGACTATCAAGCTTAGCGCTGTTTTGAATATCGGTCAATACCGCATGATTGAGCCCAACAAAGGCAAATACCCTGATTTTGCGAATGTGGAAACTGTCCGAATATGGTCAGGTGTGTTCTTCCTGTATCTTCATCACGAGCGTCCCAGGAAAGCGGGAGAACTTCTCTCCCCAGTTATTGAGGGCAGTATTCATCTGAGCCTCCGATTTGCTTGGGAAGGATGGCAACTTCGCTTCTTCAATCCCTGGTGATGTTTTTCACTGAAGCCCAGTGAACTCTTTTGAAAGCCATTTCATGGATGCTTTCGAAAATCGCCATGACTTGAGCCTAGATCTCGGCTCTCCAAAAGAGACAATATGAGCAAAATCTGTGGGCACAATCAGTGTAATGCGGTCTTTAGGCCGACCAAACCTTGGGGACACAGTAACTAGCTGGACACATCAGCTGTCACTGAGCTCGCCAACTCGAAGGCAACTTGGTATGGGCATTCGCCAGTGCCTGTGAAGGGAAATGCACAGCAAATCAGATCATTCTGCCATGGGCTCACATCTGACCCAGCGTCTCTCAAACTACACCAGAAAGGTTAAAGCCTGCATGTACCTGTGATTTGTCTCTGCTGTCACTGCGCTCTCTTGACACCGTCCTTGTTATTTCGCCTTGAGGAGTTTCGTTGATTGAAACGGTGGCGATTTGAGATAGCCATGTGATGCGCCCGAATCTGGTCTAGGAATCATTTATCTCGGGTCATTGTGAGAACAAACTATGAGGAGCTCGGACGCGACTAACCTTGAAGGCCAAGGACAAAGTTGGTTTCAGACAGTCAGGCTTGCGCCTAATGCTTGTCATCGACACGTCGCTTTCAAGGAAGACAGCATGCGGGGGGACATTTGCTCCTTAGGCGCCAGTGCATTTCTTCTATAGCAGAGTGTGCTCTTGAGAGACCACTAATCATCAGGGTTGGTATGTTGGTCAGAACAGTCGTTGGCCCCGTTTGTCCGCTGACTTGGCGTGCCAGAAACTCACTGCAACACAGATTCCCCAACGTCTTCGGAGAATTTGGCACGAAGAAAGAATATATTCGATCATGAAAGAAAACCAGAAAATGCAGTAGAGAGGAGAACAGCAATTCGGCTGACGAATAATCATGACACCCGATGCCTCGGCGCAGTACAAAAGCGATGTTCTCCGCGGCGGAGACGAGAGAGTCCAAGGGATTGGCTGGGAGATTTCTCCGCGAGGTCTGTAGCAGAGGTTCATAACTCAAATAACTGGGTCAACCTGACAATGCCTGCTTTACGGGTAGCTTTCTTCCATGGTCTTTGGCTGGTACTGCTCGGTGAAACGCGTCTGCGGATAATAAAGTCGCCTGCAAATTGGACACGAACGGTGCTGGATCGATGGGAGCCATCGTGGAAGCACCCGCGCCCAGCCAGAACGGTGCAATGATGATCCTTCCTTGTCTGTGGCCCTTGATTGCCCTCGGGCTGTGGCTCCCAACTCCTAAGGGCCTTGGGTTCAATCTGCTGGACTCCCCAGTAGACTAACACTTGACCAATAACCCCTGTTCGCGTGGCTTAGGTCATAGGATGGACGCTGTTCCCCTTCTGAACCGGACAGCTGTCTCTTCCTAGCCTTGCTTGTTTGTGCTCAATTCTACCCTTATGGGGAAGAATCTTGTTGGGTCATTGGGCGGTAATTTCTGAGTACGTGGTTGGACACAGCGTCGACCCAACTGCCTGGGAATAGCTTGCCTGGCAAAGTACCTAATCCCTTCGGCCTCAAAGGCACCACCAATATTACGGCGTCCAGCTGTCACCAAGCTCACTAGATCGACGGACCTTCCCATCTTGTGGGGCACGGTTCAGACTGGACCTTCCTCGATATCAGTCGCCACTTCTCTTCACCAATTTGGCCTTCATCGTTCCTGCAGCTAATATACCCTCCCCCGCCGGGCAGGCGTCTCAACAAAGAATAAAGGAGGGGTATTCTCCGCAGACTGTGCCTAGACACCATCGCATCCGCCTGCAACAGAATGAGGCAACAGCACAACGGCTCGCAACACAACGGCGGTCCCAGGTAGGTACCTCACCGTTAACATCTTTGCGAATTTGGACCGTATTCCTTTGACAGTATTGATTGACCGTTTGATTGCCGATAGTCATCCCAACGAAAGCAGTCAAAGCGCGGGCCTCGAACCTTCAAACCCCCCCTCTCAAACGTCTGACCGACTCGCCGAGGAACTGGTTTATTATCGAAGCTTTCTTGAACAGCTGTTAGGCTTTGTACGAAATGGAGATCAGGAAGTTGTCAACCGGATGGTCTCCATTATTCGTTCGGACGCTTCACACCAGGAGATCCTGACAGCCTTGTCTGAGAACGCAGCAGACAATACTCAATCTGTCCAAAGGGATCGTGACCGGAATAATCACAATCAGAATTAGAGATTCACAGCCCGGTCTCGCTCCGCATACAGCAGGTTGTTCGCATGATCACTTGAGGAGGTCTTTGCTCAGCTATCGTGGTCCCCATTATTGAACACAGATGGGGGTGGTGGGATACAACTAGACGACTTATACGTACCTCTTTCTGTCTAGTATTTCGTTAGTCGACTCTTTGAAGACAACAAAGGTCTACCTGTCTATCATCTCTCACCATATATACCAGAAGGAGCCAACATGCGCAACTAAGCAGCTGCTGTGCGCACAAAATATGTTGTGTACGCTTCTTAAGACCAGCAAGTGCCTCCCATTTGTTCCTGTGCTGCAATCAGGCCAATCATCGTACTGGTCTGTTGCCAGTGGGTGGGCATACCGTATTCTTAGACAGGCCATGGGGTAGCCTTTCATGTGGACAGGGGCCCACCATCTCCTGGGAGACCAGCCCTGGGGCGTACTGTACTGCCCAGCGAAAGACATGTTTGTCTCCGTGCTGCAATACGTGGGCACATGTCCTTGCATATCTGCTCTGGTGATATAGAATGTTCAGTGGGTATGGTTGACTCGGTTGCTCTTCGCAGGGAGGCAGCATGAAAGAGCTATCCAACGTACCCCGCTGAGTGATCATTGAGCGCTATGGCATGCCAAAGAATGGATAAATTCCTTATCGCACTTGGAGAATAATTTCAGAACCTAGAAAGAGGGGGTGCAATAGTTTAATGAAGAACTCAAGTGACCATCAGGCCCAGAGAGGCAGTCGCTGCCCGTGATGTCGAACGGAGCTAAACCCCCTTGAGCTTCAGACCAACGGCATCCTTGACTGTTCCCTCTCGTTTGTGCCATACAATTATGGAGTTTCTTTAGATGCCCGATTGTTATTCTCCGCCTATGACACGTTTCGAAATCATGTGCTGGCTTGCTGTTGATCTTTGGATGCTTATCAGTCGCGCCGACAAGGATGAACTACAGGGCAAAGTTCTGATCTCTTGCGGTATCCACCATAACTACGCCAGTCACCCTTCCATTGTGAATGTGAGGCGGCCGTAACATGCATCTACTATCCTAATGGTCTTGATAGGGGCGCATGCTGTCGTCGAGAGCTTCCTCCATGACCCGATCCGACAATTCGACGATGGCATCGTCTATTGACAACAACAAGTTAGATATCGTGTTGTTTTTGTGCAGATGACCCAAATGCTGCTCTAGCAAATCTTGTGACTACGAGGACTGAGGAACAAGATCGTTTACTTTCATAATTGATATTTGAGATCATTATCATGACTGCCGACGCCAGATCTCTATGAACTGGAACGCCACATATCTATAAATCTTGTCTAAAATATCAAAGCGCTTAAGGCGTGCAACGTCCGGTGAAACGGGGGTACAAAGAGCAGTCGCGGACGGTATAACGAGCGCACAACCAAGCCAAGAAACGCTCGAGACCGAGACCGTAACCACCGTGGGGAGAAGTACCATACCTACATTGTAGAAACCAGTCAGTTATGCATGTCTAGAAAATGAACGAGGTGGGAGGGGTTAGAAAGACTTGACGTACTTGCGCTGATCAGTGTACCAGTAGTACGGGGAGGGATCCATGCCCTCGTGCTTGTAGGCGCCCATGAGCTCATCCCAGTCGTCCATTCTCATGCTACCACCGACGATCTCACCCACACCAGGCATGAGAACGTCCACACTTTCGGTGACACGGCGGTCCTCGGCATCCTTCTTCATGTAGAAGGCCTTGATCTCGGCGGGGAAGTGGGTCAGGAAGATGGGTTGGTTGATGATGTCAGTCATCTTGCGCTCAGCAGCCTCGGCAATATCATCGCCGAACTCGTGAGGCTTGCCTTCCTCGTTGGGGATGTCGTGCTCCCGCAGCCAATCAATGGCATCGGAGTACTTCATCCGCTTGAAGGGACGGCTGGGGGGCTTGAAATCGGGGTTGAGCTTCTCAATGAGGGCCTTGGTGGCGGGCTCGGCCAGAGTCAAGTCAATGACACGGCAGATCACGTTTTCCAGGTGATCAAGGAGGTCGTTGAAGGTGATGAAATCAAGCTCAGCCTCGATGTGAGTGTATTCGGACAGATGGCGACGGGTGAGAGACTTCTCTGCGCGGAAAGAAGGGCAGACACAGAAGACGTCACCAAGGGATGGGAGGCAAGTTTCGAGGTAGAGCTGAGAGGACTGGGTCAGATAAGCATCCTCGCCGTAGTAGTCGAACTTGAACAAAGTGCTTCCACCCTCCACTTGGGTCTGCACCATGGCGGGAGGAGTAACTTCCAGCATACGGTGCTCTTCGAAAGTCTGACGGAAAGCCCGAAGGGTAGCCGCGCGAACCTTCATCACAGATGAAGCGGTCTCACCACGAAGGACAAGGTGGCGGTTGTCGTAGAGGGTTTGCGGGTCAGCGTCGTGGGCCACCCGGGTGGTGATAGCTTCCTTGTCACCGGCAGCGCGACCGATGATAGTGTAGAAGTCCACATGAAGCTCACGGTCGTTGGGAGCGTGCTGCTTGGGAGGGACGGCACGCATCTCACCATGGAGAGCCATCGAGGTCTCAAGGGTAAGAGTCATGGCATCGTAAGTCTTGACCAAGTCCCCGGTCAGAACACACTGCAGGTAGCCATAGCCATCGGTGAGAGTGAGGAACATGACGTCCTTCTGGGCACGCAAGCGGTGGACTCTTCCAACAACTCGGACGCGTGTTCCAGGGGTCTCCGACTCGGGAGATCCCAGCTTGATAACGGCCGGGTCGGTCTCATCGAGACGGATCTTGACGGGCTTGGGAAGCGACGTGTTCTCCTTGATAACAACCTTCTTTGCCTCCTCAAGGACAGCCTGACGCTTCTCAGCCTCCTGCTTCTCACGGATAGCCAATTCCTGTTCCTTTGCGGCCTTTCTCTTCCGTTGCTCATACAGGTTGGTGGCCTTCTTGACCGCCGACTTTGTGGCCGGTTTCCACTCCAATTTGGACGCAGGGTCAGCGCCTTCACCCGTGGGCTCGGTTTGGGACTTGCGCGTCAGGTACTGGTTACCATCGGTGGGAGGGTGCTGCATGAAAGCATGGATGAGCGTCTTGTAGGGGGCGGATTCGGTTCCGTTGGCGGTCGAGTCGTCCCGGCCGACATCTTCGTCAATGTAGATGGAGGCCATTTTGGCGGCGCGAATGTGGGTTAGGGTCAGCACGAGCGGAGCAGGCGATATGAGCTATGCTCTGGTAGAAATGTCAGTTGGGAGCAGTTGCGGAGACACATGTGAGTCACACAAAGTCTTATCGGGAATCAAGGGCATTGGGAGATAAGACATGGTAACAAAGATCACTCACGTATGAGCCAGTCAGTCTGACCAGGAAAGAGCCGATGCTGCGCGTCCCGTGGAAGGGGAGGTCAAGATGTCTAAATCGCACAGGGTAAAAGCGAAGGGTGGAGGGGTAAATTTTTGGATCCCGATATCCCCACGTATGACTCAGGCATCAATAAGGCAGAAAATACTACGGCACCACCATTTGGAGAAATGGGGTAAACATCTATCGGACTAGTAGCCACTGTGTCCGTATATCACTCTGATGGTTTATTTACTCGAGTCGGACCCAAGTTGAACAAGGGTTTAATATATGCACAGGATTCGCAGAGTACACTGTCAAGCCACTCATGCTGATATATAGGGTCCAGTCCACATTTTAGAGATTAAGGCATGACAAAGATACGGCAGCCGACCATACTTCTTTTAGCACTTCACTAATGCTACAGTATCATATCCGTACAACACGAACGAGCATCAAGAGTTAAGACATTCACCATGTGGATAATGATCCGTCATGGGAGGAAATTGGCCTGAGGCGCCAAGACCAATGGCCCTGCAGCCGGACCGGGTCAACATAGGTTCCGACCGATTCAAGAGCCTCTGCCCAGGAAACCCCACCAGCACAGATCGTTCGTAGACGCTGTGGCTGGTTGAAAAGTCTCCTACTAGCCCGATTCCATGGCACAATTGTTGACTGATCCATCCATTTACGGCCAGAATGACCGATCGCGGATTGGAAAAAGCAATTTCCAACAGATGCATCTCAGCGCATGACGTGAAGGCCTCCGGCGATGACACCGCTGCAGGGCGATAGAACGAACTATAGGTTTCTCCCCGCCTGCTATGACCGAAATTATTCAGTCAGTCAGACCTGTTCATCGATCATCGCTTGGAGATGGATCAGAATAGAATTTTTTTCGGGTGCGGGTTGTGCGTACCCTCTGAAAATGAGGGCGATTAACGGCATACGACATCGCACCCATCTGCGAGCAGATGTGCTGACTGCTGAGTGGAAAGGCCACTGCTTAGTGCTCTGAAGGAGATGGATGACATTGACAGACGGTTGGATGGAGTCCTTTTCCCCATCTTTTGCCTCAAAAGTATGGATCTGCTAAAACCTTTCACTCCACAAGGGAGATGACTACCTACGCTATTTCTATTATTATCCATTGGATTTTTCCCGCAGCCATGATGATGGTTCAGGTTCACTATGGAGCATTGGCTGGTTGAGGAATCCTCCTGCCGCCAATTCCCCTTTTTTCCCACCTTTTTTTCCCCTGCGATACATCGATTACATACTTGCTACTTTGGCTCGGCCCATTCCTTGCTTACCTTATACCCTGCACCAGTCTGTCTCTCGCGTTCTAGGATTGTTGGTATCCCCCATAACAATTCCCTTGGTCCAAGTGTGACCTTTTGCTTAGTTGCTCTTGATTGATTGATAGTATTTTCATAAACCTTCTTTTGGTTTCCATTTTAATACTGTTATTTTCACGTCCATAACATACCTGGAGAAGCGTGAGAGGCGAGGGACTGAAGGGTGCTCTTCCGATTGCCTTCCTGCCGGATATCGTTCATTATCTTAATTTCTCCTCACAGCTATTTATCGCGCTTCTGTCCCCAAGCACGCGCCCCCCTTTTTCCCCTACCAGGGGCCCTCTTTTTTTTTCCTCAGCCTTCTTTTCCGCTGAACTTGTACTGGCGGCTGTAACCTTCTACTACTAGTTTAATTGTCGTTTGCAATTACCTTCTCTCTTTCCCTATTCTTGCCTCTTCGCCTACTGTTGTTCCCACTTATCCCTTTTCAGTTTAATTGTCGGCGGTCTTTGGATACCTTCTTTGTCACCGTTTGGGTCCGCTGCAACCTGGCACTTTGGCAGGTCTGGGGCGTGCACCCTCTCCTAGTACTCTCATTTGACAGGGCCACCCTGATTTGATTGTTTGGATTTATCATTATCTTTGTTCTTGTCATTCTCATTTCGATTCGACCTCAGCTGGAGCGCCGCCTCCCTTGCTCTAGTCTCTCGGCCTCCTCACCCGCAAAGCCCCCCCTAAAGCAACTAAACCACGAACCACCACAGGTTTGTCTCCGTTTCCACCAACCCAACCATTCATTGTCCATGCACATTCCAATTGACCACCGGGATCCTCTCTAGACACGTCTCCATTGGCAGCCCTTCTGCTCCGTGCTCTGTTCCGTCCTTTCTGCTTTTTCTTCTCATTTTGGTTACCTTCATTCTGGCCTCTCCAGGTCTCTGTTTTCTTTCTTATTTTCCCCCTTCTCTTTTCGGGGGTGATCATCGGGCCCGGCCTTTTTTCTCTCTCTCCTGGCCATTCCTACCGTGTTGATTGCCTAGTACGTCCTTCCCCCTTGACTGGGTGATATCGATCATTTCATCGACGAACAACTCACCTCGTTCCTTTCTCTTATTCTAGGGGACAATTGTCCTGCTCGCTCCCTTTCCTCGCCATGCAAACCTCCGATGCAAGCATCCCGAGTCGTCTGATCCCCTCCAAGTTTTCCCACCTCAACGCGGACAGTACCGGGTTCTCTCACGGAGCATACGCCTCCAACAACCTGCCCCTGCAGGGCCTGACGGACCGGAACGCTCGTCGAGCTAATATCCCTGCGATTAATACCTCTGCTCCCGTCTCCGACACGATGGCCGCCTCGGGCACCGCGTTTGACATGAACTTCACGCCCCTCCTACCTTCTCAGCTGCTGCTTGGTAGCCCCTTTCAACCGGGTACCCCTTCCGCGTTCGCTTCACCTCAGTTCGCCAACTTTGGTGGTTTCTCCCAGACCAATCCCTCGGCACATGCCCAGAATCCTCCGAGTCACCACCAGTTGGGAAGTCCGACTCAGCCTTCGCAGAATGCGAGTCTATATTCCGGTATGATGTCGACGGATGGCATGGGTAATTCTCAGATGCTGGGAGCTCCTCAGTCTCCTGTTGGTGGTCTGGGGGGTCTGGGCAATGCGGCGTTTGGAAGTCCCGCTGCCTCGATAACCCCTGGTTTGCTTTCGGGTACGAGCCGAACCGTGTACCTGGGCAACATCCCGGCAGAAACCTCCGCAGAAGAGATTCTGAACCATGTTCGGAGCGGTCAGATCGAGTCGGTGCGGTTGCTTCCCGATAAGAACTGTGCTTTTATCTCGTTCCTGGACAGCAACTCTGCTACTCATTTCCATTCGGATGCCATCCTGAAGAAGCTTGCCATCAAGGGCAACGACATTAAGGTGGGATGGGGAAAGCCCTCGCAGGTGCCTACATCGGTCGCTTTGGCTGTGCAGCAGTCCGGCGCCTCTCGTAATGTGTACCTGGGAAACCTGCCGGAGGAAATGACGGAGGAAGAACTGCGGGAGGAGCTAGGAAAATTTGGACCGATCGACACCGTTAAGATTGTCAAGGAGAAGGCGATCGGTTTCGTTCACTTCTTGTCTATCAGCAATGCGATGAAGGCCGTTTCTCAACTTCCTCAGGAGGCCAAGTGGCAGGCGCCCAGACGCGTCTTTTACGGCAAGGACCGGTGCGCTTATGTATCCAAGACGCAGCAACAGAATGCTGCTCAGTTCTTGGGCATTGCCCCAGGCTATGCACACATCCTCAATTCAGCGGACCGTGACTTGATCACCAACGCACTTGCTCAGCAATCCGTGGCCGCTGCAGCTGTGGCTACCACAGCTGGTGGGGTCAACAACCTGGGCAACCGAACCATCTACTTGGGTAATATTCACCCCGAAACAACTATCGAGGAGATTTGCAACGTCGTGCGTGGTGGCTTGCTTCATCATATTCGCTACATACCCGATAAACACATCTGCTTTGTCACTTTCATTGACCCTACATCGGCCGCATCCTTCTACGCCCTGAGCAACCTGCAAGGTCTTATGATCCACAACCGTCGTTTGAAGATTGGTTGGGGTAAGCATTCGGGTCCTCTCCCGCCCGCTATCGCCCTGGCAGTGAGTGGCGGTGCTTCTCGGAATGTATATGTGGGCAATCTTGATGAGACTTGGTCGGAGGAACGCCTTCGCCAAGACTTCTCCGAGTACGGAGAGATCGAACTCGTGAACACGCTTCGCGAGAAGAGTTGCGCCTTCGTCAACTTCACCAACATTGCCAATGCCATTAAAGCCATTGAAGGGATGCGGAACCGCGACGAGTACAAGCGGTTCAAGATCAACTTTGGAAAGGATCGTTGCGGAAACCCGCCACGTCAGGCAGGCAATGGTGGTCCTCAGGGTCGCAATGGATCTGGGTTTGAGGGACCTCAGTCCCCTTCTCCGGCATTGAATGGTTTCCAGCAGAACCTCAGCCAATCCGGCTCCAGTTCGAGCCCAACTCATCCCGCACTATCCCCTGCGCCAGGATCTACGGGCTCTCAGAACGGCCACCATCACAGACACCCCCTGCAGACCGTCTCGTCTCCATCTGGCATCCTCAATGTTGGTGCAAACAACCCGTTGACCATGTACCTGAATCAGATGTCCGCCCAACAGGCCCAGGAGCAGGAGAACCGCTTGAACGACCCCATGACGTTGGCAGCTCTTCACTCGCAGCCCCAACCACCGCAACAGCAATCGCTCTACAACGGCACCACTACCGCCGAGCTGACCAATGGGAGCATCGAGGCTCCGTTGCATCAGCACAAGCCGTCGACCAACGGCTTTTTGAACGTCACCAATGGATCCACGGGACCGGGTCATCATGCCACGGCTAGCACCAGCACCTTGAGCGTGCCGCGGGCGCAGCACTCTCGGGCCGTGAGTCTGCCCTCGTTTTCTCAGGAACCTTTCGGATCCGTCTCGAGCCAGCCCACTCGCTCCGGGATTGCCCACCAGCCGCAGAGCAGTTTTTCGAGCTTCACATCCGCTCTGGGCGGACTCAGCCATGCCGGCTTCGGATTGGCCATCCAGAACGAGAGTTCGCTGCCTGGCTGGGCTGAAGAGGAGATCGGAGCGAAATGATTTGCACCTTGCCGTTGCGAGCATAAGACTCGCTGTTCAACCCAACGAATGTAGCCCTTCTTTATTCTTTACTTCGATCTTTATCGCCTTGCTACTTGACTAATTCCTTCGATGTCCCCATTCTGATTCCTTTCTTTGTACTGGTTTCATTTCACCTTACTGTGGTTTTTCTTTCCCTTAATTGTGCAAATTTCGTTTCTCCGCCACCCCCTTATTGGTTTTTAATACTCCCTTCCTTCCTATACCATCACTTGTATTTCTAGCTGGGTATGATCTTCTTCACCTTCTGCTTTTCTTTCTTGTCATTTCCCTACTTTTGATTCTGTTTTTGGCCATTTACCGTTTCTGATCTCCAGTTGGCTACGACGGCGGGTGGGATCTCCGCGCGACCCTCGACTGGGTCTGGCGGGGGTCTGTTTATGTCTCAAGCTGCTCATTTGCATATGTGATGCCATTTCACGGAACTAATCCCGAGCATACAGCTCCCCTGTTGCATTCTGGTTACGACAAGGGTTTATATAGCGGCGGAGGTAATTGATCCTGGAAGATAATAGTGGATCCGCCATCAAGGAACATAAGAAAGACGAGAGGAAGAGTACCCAGAGCATAGGAAATGACAGACATCTGGTTACATGTGCATTGTTCTGGCCTCGGCGGGCCTGTAGAAACTGTGTCGTAGAGATGCGCCGTCGAGATATGTATCGTCCTACTACCACCCAAAGGAGTAAAGAGTCAACATGCGGGTCACGTGAGCGTATACCCGCACCGGGTGCGCTAGGCCCGATGGGGAGGAACCATGGAACCAAAAGAAGCCGCTGCGATCATCATCACCTTCAGACTTCAGCACCGGCGGCTTCCCTTCACTCACTCTGCTTCAACTGCACCCTCGACGCGGTCCCTTCATATTTACTGCTGCACGATGTCTTTGCCCCCTGAGCAGATCAATATTAAGCGGCGCCGCGAAGAAGAACCGGTCGAGACATTATGTAAGTCAGACTTACGCCCTTGATTCGTTGCATGGGCGGTCTCGTCTAGTGAAGAGGCCTCTGTTGGAAACGATCGGAGCTGTCCCCACGCCTTGATTTCACCCACTTCTTCACACTAATGCAAATTCCCAGACATCCAGTCAGAGCTGCATCAGACCAAGCGTCGATTCACAGACTTTGTTTTCCAAAGGGTCCAGATCAGTAGCCATGGCCGTGAAGATGGTTCGCCCAGCCCATCGTCCTTCACAGCAGGACAGAGGAAGCTACTTACTCCCCGGTCGGTGAGCAACACCGTCTTTCCGACCACCAGAAGCGTGACCAACCGCGCCGCGGGTGCAGGAGCAACTGTCCCCTTGGTGAGAGCCACGTCTCCTGGGGCGGAGATCCGCGAAGAACGTCGCCTGGCGACCGCTCGAAGGGAGAACGAGGAAAAACTGAAGAGGGCCTTACTTTCATCACCTACGTCGGGCTCGGCTAGACCCCTATCTGCTGCTGCTACACCCTCTAGTGGAAATGACATCGCTGGAAAGTTAGTGTCTTCCACCTCTAGTGGAAGAGAAAGCCCGGCTTCATCACCGGGACAGGCGCAGGCCCTACGCCGGTTCCAGATCTCTCGATCGAATACGCCAATGAGTCCCCTCCGTAGCACCGGAGGCGGTATCCAGAAACGCAAAGGAGACGGAGCAGTCGCGGTGCTAGTCGAGAAGCTGCGACGCACACCGCATGCCCGACAGGCGTCAATGGTCGCCGATGTTGCTGCTCGGGCGGATGGCGAGGGAAACCTGAGCGTCGCGGGCGCGTTGTCCTCCGAGCAGCAGACCGAGCGACCGCGGAAGCGACCGGTGGTGAACCAGGCGGAGAGGAAGTGGAGAGAGGAGCGTAAGAACGCGATCTCGGCTGCCAAACAGCATATCTCCCAAGTGCTGGAGAGAGAAGCCCAGGCGGCCCATCAGAGTAATTGGGAGGATGAGTCGGAACGATTGGCAAAGGAACTGGAGCAGGTGGCTCTGGAGCTGGATGGGGAAATGGAGGTGACAGCCACCGAAACGGACTACACCCAGCCGTCGGGGTCACAGTTTTCAGGATCGTCTCGGCCCCGTTCGGTGATGCCCAAGCCTCCGTTGCGATACCAACCGCGCACGCCCAATAAGCATCGCGCGGGAGGCTCGGGCGCAGAAGCGATGCAAGGGCCTGTAGAGAGCCGTGAAGAGATGGCGGCAGACCCTCCACGGGCAGGATCTGAGGACGAGAGTGATGGGGAGTACGTCTACGACACGTACATCCGGAAGCCGCTGCCAGACACCGGCTTTCTTACGGACCCATTAGTTGGTTTGGAACTGGACCAGGAAGCTTGGTTCCGGCAGCATGGAATCGATGTGAATCGCCAAGATATTGGGGTTATCGTCATCACGCAGGAGGATGAGGAGTACTGGGAAAACTTTGTCGAGGAGGAGGATGATGAGGATCGGTGGGATAGCGAGGATGCCGACTCGAACGGTAAGCAGTCGATCGCAATTTTTCTTTTTGGCAGGCCTTGGGCAGGACACGGCTAACTCACGGGCGTTCCCGGGCAGCTGAGAATAATCCCGCAAATGATTATCCAGACGAGGAGTTGTCGTGGGATGATGAAGAGGATGACCCATCGGCTATCTACAGCAAATACCGAACGCAGGCGCGGTCTGATGACGAGGAATTCGATTTTGACGACTCGGCCAGTGAGAGTCGGTATCGCAGTGGATTAGGATTCCGGTCGCACGTGGAGTCGGACGAGGAGAGCTGGTGATCGGAGGGATTACGGTGCCAAATTGGCGAGCAGCCAGCCAGCAAGCCATCCAGCACGCAAGCAGAAGGAAAAAGCAAAGTGAGACAGAACAAGGCAGCGAGACTAACTCGGGTGGCTGCGTCTGCAGAACCGAAGCCTTGTTTGGGTAGAAGACTGACTTCCATGTATGGTACTTTGGGGACCTGATTATTGCTGGCAATTGATGACGACTCGCTTCTGAGGCTGGACTGGATGGATGGCTGTCCTCCGTAGAGACCCTAGGGACCTGATTCACCGCAAGATCAGCAGCCGGCCGTCATGGCTCTGCAGTCTGCAGTCTGCAGTCTGTAGTCTGTAGTCTGCAGAATCTGCAGGATGAGCTGGGCCGACGACAGGCCGGTCGTCTCTAGGCCAAGTCAACCGGTGTCCTCGGCCGGTAAGGACCGTTTCAGAGTTGCGTTTGCAGTTGCAGTTGCAGTTGCAGCTGTGCATTCTTGCTTCCTTCCCTTCCTCCGGTGATCCTTCAGTCATCCCGGCGACGAGCTGAGGCCTGGGCTTCCCCCCACGACCTGGGACACACAGACTCCGAAATAAGATTCTCCCCCCAGAAGGGATGCGGGGTACGAATCCTGCCAGTCTGCCACCCAACCTTGCTCATTATCATTCATCCGGTCATCTGATAATCAGTTTGTTCGTCCCTTCCCCCCATCCACCTGATTCCATCCAACAGACACATACACGCCGACATGCTTTCAGTCATCTCCACCAAAGCGAGGCAGGTCACACCCAATCATCCCCCCTCGGGATCGGAATCCTTCGATCAGCATCGCCTGCAGATTCCCACGCGCCTTCTGGTCGCCTACCCTACCTGTCATGTCTCGGATCCGTGGACGTGAGGGATCGTCAGCTGTTATACTTTTCTTTGGTAGATGGACATGGATAGGTCATACTATCCCTCGTACCTAAGTGCATCTGTACCAAGCAAGCAATAGCAAGAGAAACTTACCTGCTTTCGTATGCGGTAGGGTGTTTATGTCTGGTGCTTATGAATGCTCGTAGCTGCCTAAGAGTTATCCATACTTACCTACCTTATACTCTGAAATAGAATTCATAGATGTCCCCAAGTACAAGTACATAGGTAAGTACTCAGTACAATACCAGCCAAGAAAACAACCGAATCCTGGATATAAGATCACCCCTATAATAGCCTACCACCACCACCATGATTATTACTTACTGCATAGAGACCAACGCAGAGAGCTCTGACCTACCCCCACGCTGATTCACTCCCTCCCTCCCTCCCTCCCTACCTACCTACCGACCTAGATCTTCCTAATCCCAATCACCATTTCCATCCTAGTTGGTGTGTCTTGTGTCTTGGCCGGTGCTATAATGATGCTCTGAGGCTATAATACGGGCCCCGTATTACTATATTAGGGTTTGATATGACTCGGTGGAATATACAAGGGTGGGTTTAGTGGGGATCTTCTATGCTTACGGCATAGTTGTAGTGTAGGTAGTCAGGTTGTGCTATGCTGATTACCAATCAATCCTGGACTAACTATCAATCATCATTATCTAGAATCGTATTGTTGTGGTGCTTTGACCTGGTGGTCTGATCTGGGGAAGCTTCTGCAGGATAAGTATGGAAGTGCCTAACTGATCTATGCTACCTTGTTTCCTAAGAGTCACATACAGATAGTCGTAGGAGTCGTATCTTCAATTAGAATCTTACTGTCTAGTAGTACTGTCTACTACCTACTAAACACTCACACCCCATATATCACCCCAAAGCGAACATTCATAATTCTTCACCTAAATCCAATCTACAATCTATAGTCTACAATACACAAACTATCCAACCCTCCCTCACTCTTTCCTCCTTTGTTCTTCCTTTTTTTTCTCTTCTTCGTTCCTCATCTAGACTCTAGTTCCCAACCCAACCACACAACTGACTACGCTTACTCAACCCTTCCCCCCCCCCTCCCCCTACCTACCCATCAGTGCACAATCCCTCACCTTCCTTCCTTCTTCCATCCTTCCGGTGCTTTGACCTCCCCGCCCAGAATCCTCACTACTCGTCAGTGCACCGTAAGATAGATAGATAGGATAAGATATGATGGTTTACTGGCTACTGGCTATTGGCTACGGCCTACCAGTCAGTAATCTAATCTCACCCAATCCAAATGCCAAGAAAACATCACCATTTCCTGCAGAAGATGTATTTATCTTTCAGCAGGGCGGGCTGAGAATGTCGGCTTCTGGTGAGGAGTCATGCGGTTTATTCTTATGTGGACTGTATCCATGCTGGGTGAGTGGATGGATGGATGAAGGTATGTATGTATGTATGGATGGTACTAGATGCCATCATGGTACGGTATATTACACGGTTGAACTGGTACGGGTTGGTATGTACCAGCTTACCATCTCGGACGTCGGACGAAAGTGCCGCAATGGGAGGGAGGGAGGGGAGTAAGAGTAGTCTGACAAACTCTACGCAGGTTGGTTCGAAATAAAAATAGAAATGTCAGAAAGTATGTATTGTCTTTGAGTGAATTGAATTGATTGATGATTGATGATTGATTCATGGTTATGCCATGTCTGTCCAGCTATTCAGTTCCATTCCCATTTCCGGTATCCTCGCAGTTGATGAGAAAGTAGCCAAACCAGCCAACCCAGGTATGTGAGTGTCAATGTGAGTGTATGTAATGCATGCTATGCAAGCAAATGATTCAGAGAGCCTCCCAAGTAAAACATGTAAATAACGTGCTGAAAGGTTCCCAACGCAACGAGTGAAATGTGACCACAGGCAAGAGAACAAAAGAAAAGAGTAAGAAACAAAAATTAAACAAAGAGGTATCTTAGGACGGCCGTGACTGAGTAGTGCTCAGTATTAGAGAATTTTCAAAGAATCAAAAGCATTCGGCGATCACCGAGGTATCCGTCTGCTGAGCACTTCTTCTTTGCTTTCGCGCATCCATGGGTACCAGATCCCGACCCAATCCACGACACCGAATCGCGGACCAGAGTCGGCTATACCCGCTCCCTCACGAAGGAAGTCGCCGTCCCGCAGGCGCCGCTGTTCCCGCAGGGTTGGGCATTTCTTTTCTTTGATAAACCGGTAGAATTTGCATTGGATCCCCTGGAAGCCCCGGCGCTGCCGGTCGGGGAATTGCTGGTTGAAGCTTTCGCGCACTTCTTTCCACTCCTGGCAGAGATCCACTCGGTGGTACCAGATGAAGTACATTTCCTCTTCCTCATACTTGGGTCGAGGAGGCCGTCGCCGCTCTGCTGCATTGCTAGAGCTGCTAGACACAGAGTCATATCGCTCCCGCGAGTATGCGCCGGGCGAGGACTCTGCGGATCGGGGCCGGTAGGGCAAGAATGCCGCATCCTGGGATGATGCAGAACTCTCGGCGTAGGGATGGTGGCCGTCTGAATAAGGAGAATAGAAGTATTGGTTGGGACTGGGAGGGTATAGCGGGGGCGACAGCTGGGGTCCAGGATGGCCGTATTGCAATCGAGAGTGGGCGGTTTCTCGCTCTGCCGATGGATTCAATAGAGAATCAATGGCCATGCGGCTTTGGCGAGACGCCGGCATGTAGTTGGGCCGGGTCTGGTCGTGAACGGTCTCCATGGCAGTTGTATAAGAGGGATGAGGAAAGTAGAGTGCAGGAGTAGTGGGAGACAAAAATAGGTTTCAGGTCCAGAGGAATGACAGCCGCCAAAGGAGATAAGGTATAGGTGACGAAGATGCAAGTGAAGATAACTTTTGTTTCCCACGGTTGAAATGGTGGGCCACCTGAAGAGGATGGCACCAAGGGGGTGTTGCGTGAAAATTTAAGTGAATAAAAAAAAATAAGAAAAGAAGTAGAGACAGAAAAAAAAAATAGTAAATCAAAAAAAGGATAAAAACAAATCAAAAATGTGACAGATGTCGGATGTGTCTTTCAGCAAAGAAAGACGGAAGAGGCGCTTCTTCTCAGGCGCGCTGCCTTGCAACTGGGGCTTGGTGAAAGAAAAGTTGGGGAGCGAAATGACGTGGAGGAGTCGAGGGAGGAATGAGGAGCTTTGTTGAACCGAATTATTTCAGGAAAGGCCGGTCCTTAAAGCATCACCAACGCCGCACGAGACTCCCGGTTGGACTCGTAGGGAGGGCAATGGTGGCCAAGGGTCCCTGTTAGTTCTACTTAACCCATGCAGCGGTACCAAACCTCTGGGACTGTCTGGCCTCTAACAGAGGTCGATGGTGACTGCGCCCCCTGTCCGGTCGTGGGGAGAGTCACTCCTATGGCGGGTACACGACGGTGACCGGCGTGATGTGTAGCGCCTGCGCCAGCAGGGAGCGGCGATGGTGGTATTAGTCTGCTTCGTGGTTGGTAGACGAGGAGAACGCCTTGTGTCTCGTGGGGAGGAGGGGAACGCTGCTCATCCACTATCAATCCTAGTCCATCTGCAAGCATGTCATGTCCTTGCGGTGGCCGTATACTGGGTTGATAGTATAGTAGTGGTAGCAGCGGAGATGGCTTCGGCCGGGGAACGGAACAGATTATCAGCCAGGAGGTACTAGATAGAAAGGCACCAGATAAAAAAGAAATACAATAGAAAATCAGCAAAGCACAGCAGGCTTATATGCAAGGATGTCGTCTGGAAAGCCTCAGCAGCAGCAGCAGCAGCAGCAGGAGGATTCGCCACTTATTTCGACGACAGATGGATCCTCAGCACTCAAACCGATGAAGAGGAAGATGAAAGAATGGCATCCGATGGATTGGATGGTTCAACAAGTGGAGATCGCGACAGGGTCACGTTGGCAGACCGACGACGTGCAGGGCCAGACTGGACGCCGAGGGAGGTTAGTTGGGAGAGAGGGTCACCGTTGGATCGGGTAATTAATCTCGAGAGTGGTAATTTATCATCTGGAGGATTTTCCTGGGTGGATTTTTATTGGGGGTTTCTATTTTATTTTTATTTGAATTTTTACTGGTGATTTATTTATTCCATTTGGATTTCCACCCTTCCCCCCCCCCCTCCCTCCTTCTCCCCTTCTTTTTTACCCATCAGAAATTCCGATTCGGCCAGTTCATGCAATATGCACCATGGATATCGGAAAGTCAATGTGAAATGAAATGAAATGAAGGAGCCGCACCAAAGGGGGTTGGAAGGAAAATAGCAGCAATAATAATAATACTACTAAGAATAAATTAGGAAAAGTGACGGACGGAAGGATTGAAGGGAACAGGAATTAATCCTGATAACACCGTCCACCCTCCCCCAGATTAGGTTTGAAAGAACAAAGAGCGACGAACCAGCAGGGTAATTAAACTGCGAATGACGATAATAATGGTAATGAATAATAATAAGGATGGTCGCCTGGGCTCGGGCCAAAAGTGACAAGCTTAATGGGTCCGATTCAATCGCCCACCGACCTACTTTAACCCTAGTTTCACCTGGCACGGATGATGCTGATGATGACACAATCCTCATCAAGGTTGCCAACACGCCAGCAGCCTCTAGGCGGAGGATTGGCCACGCGGGGAGTGAGGGGGAGCAGACCTTCGAAAAGGGCCAACTGCATGAGCGTCATGTACACAATTACTCAAATCCTACCATCTGGCCCTGCTCCCTCTTGTCCTCCTCCAGGCACCCCTCTTCCCAGGGCCATGGGTGCTCGCCGGCCTGGCACATGCAGTCCCAGTTCCAGTGCGCAGTTCTCGGTATGGCTGGGACACACCCTACCCTGCCCAGCCTATCAGCAAAATTACAAATCCCGGAAGGATGGACCAGACTAAGGAGCCATAATAATAATACTGATAATGTCCGTAATAACGATGATAATAAAATTAATACCCCAAAAGGATGCACAGATTCTTGGGGGTGGCATGAAAGGAACCATGCCTACTTCGTCCCCTCCTTTGGGTACTTTTGAGTGCTTGCGTTCAAAATATACGATTCACCCAATGACTGGACGCTATCGGGCCTGGGGAGAACATAGGCTCCGGGCTGACCTTACCGACTGAAGTGGAGGGTGTTCTCTTCGGCCTCCAGATATCGACCGCTGAAGAATGTGTCAACCGTGTATCCGTAATTACGGCAGCAAGGGCTCGTATTGCTTCTTCTCTTCCCCACCACTGGTATTCGGGGACGACCTTGGAAAAAGAATGCGGTCGTAATGATTCGTAATCGAGGGTTTGACGCACGATCTGCCCGCCGCGAGGAGTAAAAGAGACATGCCTCCTGTATATTGAATCCTAGGTAGGGGAATGTGGACGCCGTATGGTAGGACGAAAACAGAGAAGAGCCCAGGGGGGATCATCACGAAAAAAAAAAAAAAAAAAAAAAAAAAAAACAACAAATTAGAGAAAAAAAAAGGATAGAAAAGAAACCAAGAAAATTAGATAAAAAATAATCAAACCAGAAAACAAAGTACTTCGGCCGTAACACGCCCGCCGCCTGCTGCAGCCCTGCCATTGCATGAGAAAGATTCGGTTTCCCGGAGCTGATAGGTCGTTCCATGGATGCAAGACGGGTCGACCGAAACGAAGCATTGCAGGGTTCAATTCGGCCGCTGGCGGGAAACATCAGACGACACCAGAAGTTAGCTGGCCGGCTAGTTTGTTTGTCTTGACTCTTGACCTGCTGCGGTACTCCACAAGCATCTTCATCTACATTGGGAGGGTGTGGAGCCGTGGGAAGCTAGTCAATCCACTGTTCGCTCCGAGCCTCCCACACCTAAATTAAATCACTATTCCTCAAGATTCCACCGGGTCTCGACCCATACCAGCTCGCTGAAGATTCAATAACTATTCATTGGGAATGACTCCGGTGGTCTTCGGTTGACTAGTGCGCCCGTGGATTTTATCAGTCAAGAATGATTGACTGAGCCGCTAGCCTAGGGAGGTGCAACCTTCACCCGGAAAAATATAAAAAAAGGGGGGGTGGTGGGTGGGTGGTGGAAGAACGGGATTATACGGGAGTCACGCAAGACTCAACTTAGACTGTCGGTGGGAAGATCTGAGAAGCAAGGTCAATCTTTCGGGGACGCTAGCACATAGAACAATCCTTCAATTCCACACCTCTCTTGAAGATGAAAAATGCCGCCCCCCAAAAGCGAATGGAAGAAAAGGATCACTGCAGGATTCGTGCAAGACCATCAGCAGGTGAGAATGGGTAGAATTCTTGCGAATCGCCGTGGAAAACGGAAGGAGGGCAGAAGGGAGGGGGGAAAAGGAAGCCGGCGAAGCAAGCCAACAGAAGGGCCAGGAAAGGCCGCGTCTATTGGGTACGGAATAGAATCAGTAACCCAGCCTGCAGTGGCTTTGCTAGCGTACCGTTCTGTCGGGACGGGTTTACGAATAGGATCGAGGCTCTAATGCTGTCTAGCTCTTATGGTCTCAGATTGCGCAGGGCCATTGCTGAAGGACAGGCGACCTGACAGCCAAGCGGGAGACACGATGTGGGTGGGTCCGAGCCTTAGTACGGGGGGGGAGGGGAGGGGAGTGGTGGAGGAGGGGGGGAAGGGAGAAAAAAGGAAAATGCGATTTGGGAAAAAGAAAAGAAAAGGAAAACGAAAATGGGCATGGGATGGTCCCAACCTAGACGGCTAAGAGTGCGATGACCACTTTGTTCCTCATCCTCGATCCTTCGAAGGTAATTTCTATTTGGCTCGATTAGATTTTACTTTTCGGTCGCCTGCTTTTTCCTTCTTCTAGCCATCACTAACTACAACTACGGAGCACTCCTGATTCTTACCGTTCCTGTCGACGGATGGGATGGGATCATGCTGGACAGAACCGCGCAGTCCAGATAACAATCTGCAGACCTTGCCAACACATCTCTGCAGCCGTAAGACGATCGCCTCCCCCCTCTTTATTCGGGGCTTGGCTTTCCAGATGATCGCATCTGTCGGTTACGACGTACTGTACGCCGTCGTGATGTGAGTGTAATCAAGTCCAGGACAGGGAATCTAGCCTGTTTTCTTTCCTTTCTCCTTCGCATCGGTTGCACTCGCACCAATATGGGGTACACAATCGAATAGATTGAGACCCTGCCATATAAGCTGAGGCCTAAGTGCTTAGCCTACTCCGGACTTAGGTAATGACGATTACATGTTCCAGAAGGTTGATGCCAATTGCTGCTATCTCGGTCACCTATAATGGCTGGTCCTAAGAAATGAGACGGGCGGAAAATCCGTGAAGGATTCCCATCTTAGACGAAGTGACGAATCGTTACCGCAAGCCGTACTCGTAGGCGACCGAGAGCGATCTCACTCTGGCACCGAGGAGCGATCTGAAGTAATTCGTCAGCCTCTTCAGCAGGCTGGGCATCCTCAAACCCACTAGTGCCACGGATTGAACCCCCATTATTACTGTGTTGGATCCATCCTGGCGCACACGGTGGTTTGTTTGAGCCCTTGGGTCTGAGCCTGAGGAAGTTTTACACCCGGCGGGGCTCGGCGGTGACGATCCGGGATGGACGAGCCTGGAGCGATGAGGAGCCTGAGGAGGAATCAGAAGCAGAAGAGGATGGCTGGAGGCCGAAAGAGGAAGGACCCGGTCGGTAAGGTCACCGGCTTGCTTACGAGGGATTTCCCAAGTCCGTCGTTGTAGTAGCAAAGAGGAAAAAGTAACGAATGGGCAGGGTTGACGGGTCGGTTTTGCCTGGACCAAAGTAGCCAGAAAGCAGCAGCCAGCAGTAACAGGAGAGATCAGATATCAGTAGTATTAGCAGTTTGCATATATCGGACATGTCGCACCTGAATAATGCTCATGCTGTAAGGAAGTGACTACTTACTTACAGTTACTCCAGGGGTGCCTGACACCCCCCGGCGCCAAAGGGTGGTTCTGGGCAGTGGACAGTGGGCAGCGCAGGTCGTTCCCCCCCACACCCACCCGAAAGCCCCTCTTGGCCTCTTCATGAGGCCTAGGCAAAATAAGAAGTGACAAGCGATAATTATTGTGTCACTATCTCCACAACTCGGTTTGGCGCCGATCGGCCCCGAACTCTTCCTGAGGGACTAGTCTAGACGAGCACACAAATCACACCAGGGTGTCCCCCGAAACCCCCATATTCCTCAGCCTGCGTAGGCCTTGTTTTCTGGAGTTGGAGTGTCTGGGGCGGGTTATGGAGATTGGGAAGATGGGATAATCTAGGGTGAAAACGTATAGTATGGCGTATAGAGCACTCTTGACATGGAGATGTCAGCCGTTATCCTTCAAGAAGTTTGGGGGCCTGCGTCGTCAGTCATCTGCAGCATGCCCCCAACTCTTTCTAGTCTTTTCCTTTCTTTTTTTTTTAACTTTGGTTTTCTTTTTTCCTTTTCCCCCCTTCTGTCCGGCTTTTCGAGCATCCACCGGCCATCCATCTTGGCAGCTCAGCAAAAATCCACGACAATTACAGTTTCATCATGTGGGACTTGAAAGGCGGAAAGTTCCCGTCGGCAGCTTATCAGCTGGAAGTATCTCCTCTGTACGCAAGTCTGAACGCGAAACATGCCTCGGCCGTGAGTAAATCCTAATCCCGATTCCCGTCTCAATATCACAAGGGAAATTGTATGGTGCCAGACATCGTGGTCTGGCCGTTATTAATTTCGGATTCGACAATGCAAGGCTACAGGGCGTCTTCGTCCGGGACGAGGATTGGCTGGGGAACATAATTGCGGCACAGTCAATCTGCGCAAGCTCCAAACCCAACGCGGACGGAGCGCGCGTAGTAGTATCTCCGCTTGTATGGATCACAGGCGAACTCGACCGCTTGGCTCCCCCCTGCACGCCGTCGAGCAGATGACTCTGGCAAGTGAGCTACTGTATGGCTAGTTCATTGCTCGCTTCATCTTACCAACCGACATGATATGCGTGCGTGCGTGCATGCGCTCAGGCAAAATCGAGGGGAAGGTTCCGAGGAAATCACTGCCTTTTCTCCGTCTGCAATATGATGGGCGGAGGGCCGTGTGAAAATATAAGAAAAGGCGGATGATCATCCGCTTGTCAGCGCCTGTTGTAGATCCTATCCCATGAGGGTTACGAATGCCTTCGTCCCCAGTCTCGTCTTGTGCGTCGGGTGGAGGTACCCCGGGATGCCTCGAAGGAGACAAGCAGGCAGCTACCAAGTACCTAGCAGGTAGCGAGTAGCGAGTAGCGAGTAGCAACTCGCAACGAGTCGCGCCTGCTGTCATGGACTCATGATCCCGGCCAGCGAACAAGGGAGGACCTCCTTAGTAGTTTCCACTTTCCACCAACCTCTTCTTCTCGGACGCGTACCCGCAGCTGCGTTCGATCACGTGAGGGTTCATCGCCGGGGAAGTCAGGCAGGCAACCTATGGCGAGGGCGCGTTTTGATTAAGGGCGGAGTCAGGCAGGTCAGTAGCTGCTCGTTCAAGGATGTTGCGATGCTTGGGGGTGGAGACCGAGCGAGAGAACAAAGAAAACCGATGGCAGGGATCAATTCCATTCCAGCAATCGACGTCGAGCACGCCGGGCCCCTGACTCGTAACCAGTTACACGACCCCGACTGACGAGGGGGAGTAGGGGTGATAGGCTGGTAGTACCGTTGCACATCCCCATGTGTCGGGGTTTGGGTTGGAATGGAGCGGAATCGATCCTACCGTACGGAGTACACGGTCCAGGATGTTTTTTTCTTCTCATCACATTCTTATTGAAGGTTATGCATCCGGTGCATTGCCCTCTTCCTCGAGCGGTCAGGCAACGGTGGCACAGCGTTGCACTTGCAGCATGCGTACGCGGACGGATGAGACTTCAGTCAGCAGGAATGGAAGGATGGATTAGAATCGCTGGCTAGAAAGCACCTAGAACTTAGGACCTGAGGCTCAGAAACTGTCATGGCCAGCCTTGGGCGGAAGAATGAGGCACTGCCGCGGGCCCGAGGGAGGCTCCATGACCGGCGGCAGGACGACAGCATAACATCTAGCAAGTAGCAGGAGTTTGGGAAATGGTAGGCTCCGTCCTACCCGCCTCCTGCGCCATTAGACCTGGTGAGTGAAGCCCGGTCAAAATCCTACTATCTATCTACTCCGTACCTGCAAGCGAGCTTAAGTGTAACTTGTACTGGCCCAAAGAATCCAAAGACCGGGCCTAGACAGCGCTCATGTACCTCCCAGATTGATCCTGTGCATGGTACACACCAGGTGTGGTTGACCAGCATCCTGTCTGGGCGAAGTAATGCAGTGTGGGAGGCTGTGATATCATTGTGTTCCCTTGGTGCGACGTGTCGGAGACGGTGCCGAGCCTCACCTGTTCTTGATCTTCCAGAAAGATCGATTTGTTCCTGTACGTGGTGGCTGAAGCCACTATTCTCTGCTACCGGACTTTTGTCGCAGCCACCCAACTAAGACCTGTCTACAAGCCTACGCTAGCATCGGAGACATCATGACCAGGTTTCAAGTCAGCCAGGATAGTGACATTCATCACTCATTCATCTTCTCAGATCGTGTTCCAGTCCTGCTGGAGTGGACGGATCAAGGGGGAACAATTGAACCCGTTAGTAGTACTTGCCGGAACGGACGGGGCGATCCCGCCGGCTCAACATAGAGCTGGGGGCGTTCCCTTTGTCCCCCCCTTGATTACACAGTAGTACCGACCTGGACGGTTTACGATCATTCTGCCTTGTGCAACAGCCTTCGACTGGATGGATGAATCCAGCGAACAATGGCTTAGACAGGACTCCGTAGGATTCGATTCCTGCAGGCTCTTATAATCCGATTATTTTTTTGGTCCACCTGGGATGGTGACGATGACAATAATAATAATAACAATAACAATACGGTGCAATAGGTCTACTAATAATCTTGGGGTGGAGGCGCCTTGTCGGTGAGTCTCCATCGGCGATGGGGGCAGTGTCGTGTCGAAGCTGTACGGAGTAAACTAAGAACCAAGGGGCACCGCACTTGGCCAGAGCTTCCGGCGCCTAAAGAAGGGATGGCTTGCGAACAATCCGACTGGGCCATTCGTCTAAGTACGGAGTCGCTAGGCCAATAACGCCCCATATTGACCCAGATCAGATCGTTGCGGACTGGATGTGTCAGATGTCAATCAATAGTCAGCTCTCTATTTAGGTTTGCAGCGATGGAGCCGCCAACGAGGTGCTGCCTCAAGCGGGAATAGCGTCCCGGGGCCGGCGCGACTTGATTGCCTGGCATTTTTCCGGAGCATCCTCGCTGATTGGTCGGTTGACTCTTTTTGCCAAAGCTTTTTCTTATCACGCCAATAGAACGGGCGCCTGCGTAATAATAATCATCCAAATTCTCTAGTCACTACAGTAGTCAGTAGTAGTAGTCAGTGTGGTCGCCATTCCCGAAAATGTGCCCCTACTCCTACTGAGGTCCCGTAGTAAGTACTTACTAAGGCATAGGTACCTCCCGAGTCCGTCCGGGCTGGTCAGGCAGGGTCAGCAGATCTCATCAGCTGATGCGTTCTGCTGTCCTCCTGTCGATAGTACTCGATCGGGAAGGGACCACGCAGGCCCGATGTACGACGCCTCTTCAGTCTCCAGTCTTCAGTCTTCAGCTTTCATCGGTTGCAACCACTTGCACAAACCTGCCGAACAGATCATCATGCAGAATCATCATGGGACCCGCCTCTGCTTCCTGCCCCATCCATTCCGAGACCAGTGGCATCCACCGGCCCGGATCGGCCTGATCTAGCAAAAGAGGTATCCTTCAGGCTACTCCGTACTCGCTCCACCGACCGGCGACACCAAGACACTAACTCTCTACTAAGTAGATACTACGACCCGGCAGCAAGTCAGCAACATTCACGAGCGCCTTCACCATGGTACCAACTGGCACCGGATCTGTATCTAGTATCTACTCGGGATAGCCTTGGCCGCTAAGCCAGAAAGTGAGGCCTGCGTCTGAGGCGATTCGCCCCACGTGTTGGGCGGCGCAGGGGCACCAAATTTGTCGGTGCCTGAGGGAACGAAGGAACTAAGGAACTACTACGGTCCTACGAACTTACGAAGGGCTCCAGCAGAACGAGGCTGAGAAACTAACTTTTCTTTGTCGCCCACTCTCGTCATCCCCCGTTCCCCCGTCCGGGAAACAATTCAGCCCACCTGCGGAACTCCGTACAATGCAGTCGACGAACCTACCAGGCAAGGGCCTCAAACCGTACGACTGACTTGCCTATCTTAATCACCGAAGCCACTGGAAAGGGAAAGACAACGCGGCCAATCAGACCGGCTGATCTCGGTGTTCTTCGCTAGAAATCCACCAATAAGCCGAACGATTGAGGCGAAAAAACGCAAGCGAAGCGGACAGCATTCGCCCGACGAGTGCTTTCACCGCCGTGCTGACGGCTTCGGGCCTGGAGCTGAAGCTTATCGTCAGACGGATCTGAACGAACAAGGCTTGGCAATCAGGCTCCGGTGCAGGTAAGAGCTTAATAATGGGGACATCCCTATAGTTAGTTAGGGAGGGCAAAGGGGAAGTGATAGGCACGGTCGGGTAAACCTTTCTGACTGTTCACTGGTATGTTTCTCTGCGTCCTACGCAGTGCGAGCAGGAGACGATCCACCAGAAGCAACCATGACACTTCAGCTACTGCGCCGGGTTCCAATCGGAGGACCAGCGTGATTCTGTGTCTATGTCCAGTGTCCCCCGGTGGCGTTATCAATCTCACCAACACCACGCCACGGATCCTGGCGATCAAACGTGGTGAACGTGGCCCAGCAATCCTTGGGGCCAAAAGCCTGCCTAGGGCCGTGACTACCATCCTTTGCCGCCCGCCGGCAGTGACGAAGGATGCGTTCCTTCTAGAAGTTGGATCCCATACGCAGCAATTAGCAGCGCGTATTCGGAGCCTGACTCCGGACCCCGAAATGAGTTCCGAGTCTGGCCGCGCCGCAGGGCAGGGCGAGCCGGTCTGACTAAGGCTGAGACAATGAGATTGACACCTATCTACTCTTTCTTTCCTATAGGGACAGGGACCCCGACCGGCACAGTCATCTCCATTGTTGCACATCGTGGTCGGCCGGATGACACTGCTGCATCCAATCAGCTCTGCTCCGAGCCAATGATTGACATCTAGTCGAGGATTTGCGGCACAGTCGTTGTACATCCGCCTGGACGCTACGGAGGACATGATGGGGTCCTCCGGAGAAGGGAGAGGCGCTTTAAGCCTTAAGCAGCCGGGTGGATGTGGCAGTTAGCAGTTAGCAGTTAGTAGGCACTTGGCCGTGGGACTTGGTCCTTTGACTAGTGCTCGGAAGTGCAGTCCCCCGTCGATAGCTTATGACGGGTGCTATCAACCCTGGGGACTAGGACCCAGTTGGCACAGCGTCGTACTCCATACGGAGTACTCTAGTGACATATGGTGACCACCCTGCTCTTACGGATGAAGTATCATGTAGGTACTTACGATCTGGGTGAGGAGGCTATTATTATCCGGCCCCAAGCAATATTGGACGATAATATAGGCTGATCGCGACGACGACTCGCAGGGCCTCTTCGGCTTGTAGGGTCGGTCATAGGCTCTCAGGCTCGCAGGCTCGTACGGCGGGATTACATACTAGCGCGAGTGCCACGGCGAGCCAGTTGACGGAAGCACTGACCCCATGCATGCAATGCAGCCATGGCGGCCTACAGCCTTCACTGCAGCCCGGATGGGTCGGCGCGCTGCCCGCCCCCGATACCATACCGTACGCCGTCGCGACCGCCAGTCCGAGTCGTCCGGCCGTTCGATCGACATGGACAAGCGAGATCGATTCAGCGTCCAGCGTCTCAGGCTGGCCACTAGTCAGCCTCCAGGAAGTACTAATTTCCTCGACACCACCACTACTACCATGTAGGACTAGGCGGCTCGTAGCCTAGCAGTAGTGCCAGTTAGGCCACCGTCACGACCGGTGCGCCGCCGCCCGGTTCCCCCCCTCTCGAGGACGCACACAGACACACACACACACCTTAAGGTGCCACGGGCAGTGCTTTCTAAGGGACGTACCCCAGGTAAGCTTACCCTGAAGAAATGCCTAACCGTTTTAATCCACTTGAGTCAGGTACCACCGCGACTGAAGAAAGTGTCCGGACTGGAAGGGCTGGGATAGACGTTCCATCAGCTTCAGCTTCAGGTTCGACGGTGGCCAGCGCAATTTCCCCCCTTCTCAGGCTTGGGGCCCCTGAACCAGCCTACCAGGATGCTCGCCTACCCAGAAAACCCCTCAGCTGGACGGAACCTGCTCAAGGTTGCCTACTAATGCCCAACTATCACACCTCATCCAGACTGTCGGGTCCGGTGGTGTAGCATTCGCGCTGCGAGAATCAGCCGGTGACCTGCGCCAATTTTCCCAGTTAATCTATTTCAATTTTTTTTTTTTTCGCGCTGCGGCTGGACGAGGCAGCCGGATTCCTGAGGTTGGGGTGGATGGATTCGCCCTCTTTCTCTCGTTCGTTCGTCCATCTGTCCGGTCGTTTCGTTGTTTGTCCTCTTGATGCTGTCACCACCAGCAGCACCACCGCCGCCGTCCGACGATGGAGCCGCCAGGACGGAATATTAATAGATTACTCCGTACGACGGAGGGATTGTTACCTCGAAGTGGTTGGCCTTGACTGGTCGTGGGGCCATCACCCATGGTCCATCCCCATCGCTAAGCATCCTCATCCTCTGGCTCACCCACTTCCCAAGCAAAGTCCATCATCAAGCTTCAACCCAAAACAATCCACCCCACAACGTCCAGACTCCAGAGAGGGGGGTTTTCATCCGGTCTTTTGTGATTTCTCCTCGGCGATCTCCGTCAGGATCCACTCTGGAAACCCGTCCTGTAATCCCGTTCTGGACCTTGTTTCCTCCGTGTTCTTTGTTCAACCGACTCCATAGCTAGTGCGGCGACTACGGTTGAGTCCTGAGTACTCCGTAGATGATGTTCTAACTTCCCAGTGACCGTGGAAACCAATCCAAGCCAAACCCAGGCCTAATCACTCTAGCCTAGGACCTCCGGCCGACCCCCAACCCCGACTCCCGACCGACCTGGTCTGGGCTCTTGTCCGTTTGATGTTTCAGCAATTTCCTTATAGGGTCAATACCAGACATACGTATCCAGGATGCTCAGTCCTATGCCATAGGTCCCACGTCACTGCGGAGCAATCCCACTTTGACCTAGGTAGCATATGGTCTCACTCTGGAGTACTCCATACATCCCAGGTAGACAGTAGTCCACAATAGTCTATAATATGAATGCTATGCTGATCCCACGGTCAGCATAAACGAAGTAGCAAGGACGTGGGATTCCAGCGCAAGCTCCTCCCTCTTTCATTTGTGTTTGCATTTGCTGAAAGCTGACTAGTTTCCGACCGACCGACCGACCGACCGGCCGGCGTCACTCATGGGGAGGGGAATCCCCTGTGTACTGTTGAGAGGGTGGGATGCGCCGGGATAACGGGAGACATTCCGGTGGTGTCTTCTGCCTCTTCCTCCTCTTCTTCTTCTTCTTCTTCTTCTTCTTCTTCTTCTTCTTCCTCCTCCTCCCTCATGACCAGTGAACAGAGACACTCGATTTGTTCTATTGGAGGCCGGATAAACTGGACATATGTAGTGTTGACGTGATGTGGTTACATATGTGTCTAGGTACATGATACCAGGGTCTCTATCTGATATCCCTGTGTATAGTGATGGTGAGAGACATGGTTCTGCTTTGTTCATGTGAAGAATCCTGAAGATACCTTGTTTGGTGCTTCTTTCATGTGAATGACTCGTTGGGTGTTGCTTGTATACATGGTCACTTGGGCTCCGTCGGGAACTTCCCCCACTACTGTATACTACTGTGTACTACGAGTAGTACTCTCAGTAGCATGGCTAGATCCTCACTACTCAGTACTAAGTACTTGGTACTAACTAACGTACCGGTCCGAGCTCCGACCAGACATCCACCTATTTACTACCCAGTATTCCCTCCATATCAACTATCTTGACCACATCCATCCTACAGACTACAATCCTACAACAGGAGTTACTTAGCTTATGCACCCACTGAATAAAACCAATCCAATCCAATGCCATCAGACCACGTCGCTAAGTAATCACGACTCTGGAGAGGACTAAGCATACACTGCATACTACTAACTCGAGTAGGATAATGTACTCTAGAACCCCCCCACTCCTCTACTCTGTAGCTACAGAATCTAGAACCTTTCTCATCGCACTTCAATGCATACTACTTTGTAGTGCGTATACACTTCGTTGCTGCGGGGGATGAAATAGATATCTTTCTGTAGTAGGGAAAGATGCTCTTTTACTCGACACCAAGCCAATCCGATACAACAACCAACAAACTATAATGATGTAAGCACTGCAGAAGACTAGATAGGTAGGTACCTTTACGACCGTTGGAAAGGTAGACAGAATATAGAGGCAGAAACATCTCTTCTCACTAATCATATCATATCATGCCATATACTATCTACTTACCATAGTAGGACAGGGTACCTATACTATACGCCATCGCGGACACGGACTCGAAAACAAATCTCATTCCTTGTCGATGGTGATCTGACCTACATATCATTCTCATAGTGAATAGTACTCACCCATCAGGATAATTATAATTTGATAAAGGACTGATTAGACACTCACCGAACTCTATATTCCCCAAGCAACCATATCATATTATGGAGTACATGACAAATAAACCCCAAAAGTGGAAGAACCAAGCAACCAAGCAAGCAATAAGAAAGGGATACAGACCGGAATCAAGGGGGTCGATGTGAATCATTCATTCATGGATTTAGAGTTCTTTACGATTCATGTACATATCCCATCCCATCCTATCCTATCCTATTCAAACAGTAGATCAATGCAAAGGATTGATATATACACTATGAGAGGGGGCTATGTACCTCATCCCCCTGGAATGTCCGTAAACAACATACACCAACCATGGAATGAATGAATGGATCATCATGCTCAGCTCAGGATTCGGATCCGGGGTCTGTCTGTCCCTGTCTTGTCTTATTACATCTGGACCTGGAATGTATGTTGATTCTGAATGTGAATGCAGATGTAGGTGTAGATGTATGTGCCTTGCGTTACTTTCCACTTACTAGGTAAGGGAATTGGGGGTTCCCGTGGTTCGTCGATGTCTTGTACTTGGTGGAAGGTGTGTGGTGGTGAGGGTGGTATGGTATGGTATTGTGTTTTGGAGGGGTGTATGGTTTCGGGTATTGGGATGGTTTTCTTACATGGATGCATTGAGGATAGATTTGAGGCGGTATAGGATGGAGGATAATGAAGGCATAGTCTTGCTCGTTGCTGACATCTAAGCGGTCCTATGGCATAGCATTGGGCTAGTGGTTGCATGGATGTTGAGATGGATCGTGCGTTGAGAGTTCAGTTCGTACATCTATATATCTTGTATACAGCTACTCCAACCAGCCACTGCTAGCAGCACATTTCATTAACTATCAGCTATCGCTAAATCTGCCATACTCCATCCTTGCAATTTCCCATATCCTCCAGATACATTCACCATAACACCACATAGATAGTCCTTAGACACGACCACCGAACGCCACTATGAGTATCATAAGTGTACCTTGGGCAACTAGTCAACGTGAAGACCGGTAGCGAGCTCGCAACTGAACGATCAGCAATGAACTTTCCATCTGTAGAGGAAACAGAAACTTACGGGTCAGGTGCGTACTGCACATTGCACTGCTCCCAGTCGGCATGGCGCACAAGAACAGACCGAAAACGCACCGCATCCTCAATGCTACAGAAGCGGAAGACGACGCTACGGGTCTAGTCACCATGTCAGTATAGCACAGAATCGAGCGAACGTATACTCACAACGCCCGGTACAAACACGTCCACGATCTTTTCGACCTTGCGACCGTTGTCACTGGCAATTTTGTACAGCTGTCCCATGCTGGTCTCCATGTCGACGCCGACAGCTCTCACAGCGCGAGTCGAGCCGACACTCAGGTAGAATTCAAGCTGGGAGCTGACCACGTCAACGTCCTTGCCCATCTCCACAGAGACGGTGAGTGCTCTCTCTCGGTCAATGTTGATTTTCTCGGGATACTGCTCATGGAAGGCCTGGCACGCCTCAGGACTACAGAAGAGGATGTGTGCGGTTCCCTTGTCAGTAACATTGATACTCTGGATAGCGCCACCGTGGACCAACGACAGGACCTTGGCAGGATTGCACCAGGCAGGAGGCAGTTTCTTGATGATGATGCGGCGGACCTGAGCAGCTGATGCAAATCCGTCAGTACGGTAATTACTGAGGGACGAAAAGAGGTACCTGGCTTGTCACGAACGGCCGGAGTGCCCCAGCTCTGGAAAGTAGCAAGGTGGGTGCGATCCTGCTCGTCGACATTGGCAGGAGTCACGGCATCCGAGCCGACCGGATGAGCACTGGTAGTAGTGACAGGGGTGTCATTCTGGGACGTCAGGTCACCAGTCACGCTGGACGCCTCTTCGGCCTTGGGAGTCTCAACGTTCACTCCAGAGTGGTTGTCAAAATCCCCAGGAGCTATAGGAGACATAGCCATTAGCATCATATCTCAAACAGCAGCATCCTGATCTACTTACCAAAGGCATCGTCACGTAGCACAGTAGACTCATGATCAAAAGCATCGACAGTGGAGCCGGCACGAGACTTGGAAAGACTGCCCTGCTCGCTGGACGCGTCGACGGCAGAAACAACCGCAGGCGAACCGTAGCTTTGACTCAGCTTAAAGGTGCGAGCAGCCGCCATAAAGCCGACAGTGTCGTCGACATTGGCGACAGGGGGGGCCTTGACAGGCATGGCTTTCACAGAGGTGCTGGGCGAGGAAGACTTGAGAGAGGAGGGGCAGACAGAGGAGGAAGAGGTAAGGTTATGAACAGGGGGAGGGAGTCGTGAAGGGGAAGAGGCCGCCGACGTGGAAGTACCGTAGGCGTAAGACGGGTTGACTGCAGTGAAGGAAGCCGGCTGGTTACCGGAACGACGCTGAGGGGCGTTCTGCTATAGCAAAGCCGTCAGCTTACCGGATTGTGCCGGACTTTGCCTTACGATGTCGAGGCAGACCACCCAGAAGCAGACAATAGAAAAGGGGGAGAGAAAGGATGGGGGAGGCTGAACCGGTGCAGATGTCTGGAGAAAACAAGAGGGTGGGGACCAACACTGACCAGATGGGCCTGACCCCGAGCCTCCGCCTTGGGGGCATATCGGCTTTCCTCCAGCCCGGCAGAAGACCGATCCATGAAGGCTTCTATGACACCACAGATGATGTGCGTGATCCGCTTCGTCAGATCCACACCTTCTGCATAATGCTGTTCCATGGTTGACGAGTAACGTTGTGAGAGATGGTCGATATGGGAGAGATACAAGAAGAATGACGGAATATGGGAGGATGGAGGCAAGGAAGGATTGGAAAAAGGAAGATAAAGACAGGGAACAACCATTGTTCCAGGTCCTATAAAGAGGAACCAAGCAGGTGAAGGGCCAGCGGATCACCGTTGTAGCCTAGAATAACACAGAATCCGGCCGGATACACAGACCTCGCCGACTGTGACTGGCGGGCACATGGCGAGTGAATGGGAAGGGTGCATACAATCAGGGTGACACAGGTCAGGAAGATTCCGTTTGCTATTGTGATACTCTATGTCCAAGTGAGAGACGCCGTACCCCACGGAGTCTGCAGCCCGTTGTATGTACCGGTTAAGAGCAACCTATAACACAATGAAGGAGATAGTACAATATGCACAGATACAAAATATAGACAGTTACCGAACGCCTCAGGAAGGTATCTCAATCTCCTCGTAACCCTTCTGCCCTTCTAGGCGATGTTCGACAATGACTTGGAGTCCCCGACGTCCACAGAAGCCATCCGTGCCTGCAATCCGGTTGACCGGCTGGAACGATCCATTCCCATCATCATGCTCATCGGGGATCCACACTATCTCCTGCGCCGTCTGACCCGGAACTTTAGTGCGACGAGGATTGAACCACGGCAGGCCGACGAGATGATCGATGATATTATGGAGCAACGAGTACAGCTTCTCAAAGCGTCGGGTCGTTCCCAACCAGGAGAGCGTGCCACTGTCGTATGCAACCCGCACATACGGATTGAGATAGATCCCGGTGTCGGTGATTTCCTCCACGTCCGTTTGAGGTTTCTGAATATCGGCATGGATCAGGCAGCATTCGGACGCTTCCCAGAACGTATCACGAGAAGCCCGGAAGCGAGCCGGCGAGGTGCCCTCCTCATAGCCCAGAGCTTGCACACCCGCCGTCGGCGATTTGGCACCACGCTGGAAGAACGTCGCGTCGAACGCTACCATGCCTCCCCAGCAACTCCGCACCCGCACAGCATCTTTGCCTGCGAGGACATCCTGGCGGCTCAGACCATGGCCGGCGCTGGAGAACCACGGGAAGAAGGGCAGGCCCATGCTGTAGCCCTGCAGATCACGCGTTGCGTACGTGTCATAGAACTTGAACGGGTTGATGAAATCGACGGCGCATGCGGCCCGGTACTGGGCCGTGCCATCCTCGGCCGCGTTGGTGGAGAACAGGAGCTGGAGGGCGTCCAGCGGGTGGAAGGCGACATCGTTCAGGTAGAGCAGACGATCGTAGCGCACCTCGGGGTGGTCGTCCAGGGGCCGCAACGCTCGGTTCCGCACCTCCGCCAGGTACTCGATACGCTTGATCCGCCGTGATCCGCCGGGAACGGCAACAGTCGGTAAGCCGGCCAGGTCCAGATGCTCCTCGAACACAATCGCCTTGCGGCACGTGACCCGCTCCGCCAACTCTCGCAGCGCATTCTCGCCCTCGGGCCCGCTGTCGTTCTCATAGATGCTCAGGAACACATTGTCCGGCCCCAGCAGCTCGATCAGCCGGACCACACTGTCCCCCCAATGGCCCCGGGCCAGCTCCCCCGTGTGGTCATACAGACTCGCGGCGATAAATACTTTCTCGTGGCGGGGGTTGCCTCGCCCGGGTTCTGTCGACTGGGATACCGCATCCCGAAGTGACAAGTAATGTGGCGGTGGCCGGCTATAGGAGGGTCGGAAAAACGACGTCAGGGCGACGAGGGTGAGGACAATCCCGACGACGGCATACAGATAATGGCAGATCCGGCGCACTAGAAAGCGACGATAGCGACCGGGGCGCCTCGACGAGGAAGGCTTGAGGTGGCGATACCCAGCATACGTGGACGAAAAGAGGCGCGACCACAGGGGGGCTCTCCTGGATTCATCTGGGTAGTAGAAGCCAGACGTCATGGCCGACGAATTTTCACAGGCAGGTCGAAGAATCAACCGCTCAGCCCATGCCTGAGATGGAGTAGATCACGAAAGACTCAAGCCAGACAAAGCGACGAGGCCCAACCATCCTTTTCCCCAACTTTTGCGAGTCCACGCCACGGGGGGGCTTCCCCCAGGGAAGGCGTCGGCTTATGTCATCCTGCGAAAAGGAGAAGCCCCCGCTTCACGTGCCCAGCCGATACTCCTGACCCTGACATGGCTTCGACATTGACCTCGACCATCGCGGTTGAGATGGGGAGGAGTGCGTCGTCGTTGGGGAGGCTCTATCCCGACCACGACCAGCGAGGTTCTAATAAGGGTTGCGATAACCGGGGATTTAATCAGGCTTACCTGAGCCGATGCTACCTCGACCTTATCGCCGACTGCTCCGATGACCCCACTCGCCTGGAGTCATGGCTGTCATAGGCCAGGCGGTATACTGATTAGAGTACCTGTGGCTCAGGTCAATCCGGGCACCGGCCATGGTTAGCACATCAGTTCTATGTAGCTCCGCATCCAATATGACGTAGGCCATTCTTCTACGAGACACCTCCTCTCCCGACCCTCGAGTTCTAGCTCTCTCAGTTTCTCATTCTTCTAATTCTCCTCCCAAGCATCTCTCATCTATTTCCCCTTCGCCAATCTCAATCCTCTTGTGGTGCGGAGATCTCATAGACATCCCCAAGCCTTGTCCAGAAACCACTCAACAATCATGACGAAATTCACTTTTGCCAACTCTTCCCAAAAGGTTCCCGGCGATGGGATTCTCCCCGCCGAGTTTACCATCAAAGCACCTCCTTCCACAGATGCCTGGTCCAAACCTCCGTCCACGGACACCTTTAACGCCCCCATCCTATATCAGACCGTTCCATTGAAGTCTTTCAAGCGGGTCCGAGTCGCCTTCAACGCGCTCTGGCAACAGGAATATGATCAGGGTGGACTCATCCTCGTCCTCAACGGCGCGGGCGGAACCCGGAAATGGGTCAAGACGGGCATTGAGCTCACCCGCGGCCGACCTCACCTGAGTACCGTCACCAAGGACAAATGGGCGGATTGGAGTCTGCAGCCGGTTCCGTCGGGCGGTGGATTAGCGACGCTAGAACTCGTCAAAGAGCCAGACAACAGCCTGTGGATTTATCTTGTGGAGGGCATCCAGAAGTCCCCTCTTCGAGAGATCACCTGGTTCTTTGAGGAACCGGATGTCCAGGACTTCTGGGTCGGGTTATACGCAGCTCGGCCCTCCAAGGAGGGAGACGACCTCGTGGTGAACTTTGGCCATCTGATCGTTGAAGCGGCGGAGTAATGGGTGATAACGGACAAATGTAATGAAGCAGGACGAACATGACTATTCAGGTCATACATATCTTGTATTGAGTCGAACTGCAGCCGGGTACTTGGACTATGTATCTTCTGAGAATTCACGGATAGTTCAAACTCCCAACAACAGGCTAGAGATACATATCTCGAGGTTCCAATTAGAAACAAACCCTCTGTACCTGATCGATCGAGTCAGCAATGCTGTAGGCCAATGCAATGTTGATGCAGTGCCAACACAAAGACCCCGGTAGGACAGATAAGCGGTAGGTTACGTTCGCTGTATGGCACATTGTCCAGGTCTCGCGGACTAAATATCTACCCAGGAATAGGTATCCGATACGGCCTGTCACCCCACTGGTCGATCTGAAAGACATGTAGGTGTCTGAAAGTATTTTGTAGTGGATGTCCGATGTGCTGGATAATTCCCATAGGCTCGTTCAGGGACAGTTTCACAGAACAGCTGTCAATAACGGTCTAGATCCTGCTGACTGTCATTCTCTTGTGCACAATGGGACTATAATTTGTAGAAGGCACAGGCCACCAGCATACTCGAGTGTATGGTAGGAAGCACACGGACGTTGCCCGAAGCATACAATTAGTAGAATGTAAATAGATCACATGAGACAATACCAGCGAAGGGTGTCACCTCAGCACCACCTATAGTCATACATGTTCATGAGATCAAAACACAGCCCTCTTCATCTTGAAGAGGGACCACATAGATGAGGGGTTGGAGAGGGGAGCACAGTCGATGCAAGGACACACATGAACGAGATCCCGAAGTAACACCGTAACAGAACCGTCCCTCCAGGATCTTGCACAACGATGGAAAATCTCCGTGTGCAACCTGTACGAGGGAAAAAAAAAAGCAACGCTAAGCTCTTCCTCCCATGGCGGTGTCGTACGGTGGAAACTGGAAGTCTCCATCCGGGAGCCTTGCCAAACCGCTCTCGAGGCCCAATTCCAACTTCTTTACCCTTTGCAGTAAGTGAGTGGATCTTTTAACTTCGGCACAAGCCTTCCGCTGAAGATGAGCCGATGGAAAATATCTCATTCATCAGAATTATTTCGGCGGCTTTGGCGCGTTCTGAGCGAAATCAGCCGGGAGGGAGGGCCCCTTCCCAGCATCGGAACAGTCATAGGCTTTCATATGATCTGATGAGGGATGAGGGTTTTGGTGGAGGGGTAAACCCAACGAGCGGAGCCTGCGCAACCCGTGACCGACGGATGATGACCAGGCGCGGTTGTTCCCGAGTCATCCAGCAGCGGGTGTCGCATTCCCCCCAATCATGCGACGGGGCCCGGTTTGGCTCTGAAATTACGCCCAGTATTGTTGGGCAACAGAAAATTCCTGATCCTGATCGCTTTGGCGTGATTACAATTACTCGGTCGCTACTCGTCCATTAGACAATGCTGAGAGTGGGGGATCGATCGGGAGTCCACTGTCTAGTATGCACATACTCAAGAATAGATGGTCAGCGAGCCTGTTACAGTGTACCAGTCACGTTCGGCCTGCAAGGGGGGAGGAGACGAGATGCGCGCCTCCATTCTTTTGACGAGCAGAATGCCCGGCGGTCTGGAGGGAACAGTGTAAAAGACATCAGCATATAGGTGCTTACTGCTTCGAAATGCACAGACTCATGAAGAGTCTTTGTTGACTTAAATTTCTACGATTGTACGGAGTAGAGACAATTGTATTATCGTATTGGTCCGACCGCCGGAGCAGGTGATCTTATCATATCTGATGCCTGGTTGCCCGCCTGCGTAGGATTCAGAATCCCGGTCGCCTTGCCACACTATCCTTCCCCCCACCTACACACCACGCTTTGCCCTGGTGAACTCCTGCAGTCGAAGTCTTCTTTGCAGCAAGGCCAGGGGTACCTGCTCACTCGACCCCTCCTCCTCCGGCTTCCGCTTTCGATCCGCCTGTGTACGAAACCGCCCCCCCGTCAATGGGTGCCCGAGTCCACGGCACAAGCTTTGCATCGACCGAGCCCGCCCGAAAGCCTCCTCGATTTGATTCGATCAACGATTGGCGTGGAACAGGATATTACGGAGTACATCATTGCAATTCCTCTCGGACCGTCTGGCGCAGCAACTCAGCGGGTGCCACACTGCCTTTCTGGGCCACGGGCGTTTAGCCCATAGGCTAGGTCCTGGTCTCCCACTACGACGTGCATAAGTGCAGCCTGTCGATCTCGCCCAGTGGGTGTGAATCATATCGGGAGCCTGGTTCGGGCTTGCAGAGTCCAAGTTCAGCCCCAGTCCTCCGTACATCGTACTGTACGACAGATCTGACGATCCACGCGTCGCTGCGCTTCCGCCGTCTGATTTGGTGACCTAACTGATGCATGCGGTACCCAAACCTGGCCTCAGGGTTCTCCATCTTGCTAGTGTCCTTTGCTTCTTTCCCTGCTTATCCTTTAGACTTTGATACCCCCTCTTCGTTGGCTAGTGCATTGCTTTTTCGCTCGGTGGATCTGGCTGGTTCAGGTCGCAGATACCCCTTCGACGTCCGCTTAGCCTTCTTGTCAGCCTGTTATCCTTCGATCCCCGGTACTTCGACACTGAAACTATCGGAATCACCGTTGACTTCATCTGCTGCCTTTGTGACAACAAAAGTCCTCGACGACCGGTCGCAATAAATGGACCTTGGCTATAGTCTAGCTCTCCAGCAACACTCTCCATCGACGATTACGGCGCAGCCGCGATGCCCCTTCTTGACCACCGTTCAACGATCTCATATGGCACCCTCGATCAGATGGAGCAAAACAACCAAGAAGCGGAGGAACGCCTCCTCCAGGCGGGATATGAAACTGAAGGGCATGATAGTGAAGTAGAGTCTTTGGTGGACTCGGTTCAGGATGGGGTGCGGAAGATTGAGGCGATCAATCTGACATGGACAACACGGTCGTTAATCATCGCATATATCAGGTATGTCTATGGCCTGGAGACTTTGACTCGAATTCGCTAGGTGCTGACGGCATTAAAGCATCTTTCTCATGGCATTTTGTACTTCTCTGGAGGGTCAGACTGTGATGTCCCTTTCTGCTTATGCGACCAGTGCCTTTAGCAAGCACTCCCTGATTTCCACAGTTCTGGTTGTTCAGAATGTAGTTAACGGTAAGGCTGTTCTATTCTTCTGCTTATTATTGTTGGCCGCTGACTTCCGCAGCTGTTATCAAGCCCCCTATGGCTAAGGTTGCCGACGTGTTTGGACGTTTCGAAGCATTCTGTGTCAGCATTCTGATATACGTCCTCGGATATATCCAGATGGCTGCGTCGACCAACGTTCAGACTTACGCATCCGCCCAGATCTTCTACTCTGCCGGCTCTACCGGTTTACAGATCCTTCAGCAGGTGTTTATTGCCGACAGCAGTAGTCTGCTCAACCGCGCCTTACTGGCGCTCTTGCCGGAGCTCCCATTTCTGGTCACGGTCTGGATTGGGCCGACAATCGCGGATGCAGTGCTTGAGCATGCGTCATGGCGTTGGGGTTATGGAATGTGGTCGATCCTCTTGCCGGCCTCGTTTCTCCCCCTGGCACTCTCCCTGTTGTTCAACCAACGTAAGGCTAGGAGACTGAACCTGATCAAGCCCCGGCACCCGTATCGACGGGGCCTCTTTGCCATTATTCGGCACACTTGGTACGACCTCGACATGTTCGGGCTGATTCTACTATCCACGGCGGTGACCCTGATCTTGGTGCCACTCACACTTGCGGCAAGTGTCAAGAACGGGTGGGAGAATGGCAGCATCATTGCGATGATCGTGATTGGCCTGCTTTGTCTTTCGGTGTTGCCCGCCTGGGAAACCTCGAAGAAACTCGCTCCCAAGCCTTTGCTGTCGCTCCATCTTCTCAAACAACGCACGGTGCTCGCTGGGTGCACCCTGGCATTCTTCTACTTCAGTAGGTTCCAGCCTGACCGAGACCCCTAGTTAGCGATGCTGACTGCTTTTAGTGGCGTTCTATTTCTCGGTCCAGCCGTATCTTTATTCCTACCTGCAGGTTGTCCAGGACTACGACGTCGCCACAGCGGGCCGGGTGACTCAGACCTTTGCGTTTACATCCACCATTGCTGCCTTTTCCGTATCCCTGCTGATCAAATACACTCGGCGATACCGCATCTACGTTACCATCGGCTGCGTGATCTATATGAGCGGAATCTTGTTGATGTTGCTCTACCGCCGGGAAGGCAGCTCGCCGGCACAGATTTTGGGAACCCAGATTGTGGTTGGGATGGGCGGCGGACTGCTTAACGTCCCTGTGCAGTTGGGTGTTCAAGCGTCCGCCAGCCACCAGGAAGTTGCTGCCGCCACGGCAATGTTTCTAACATCCATGGAGATGGGTGGTGCAGTTGGAGCTGCGATTTCCGGAGCCGTTTGGACGCATCACATTCCACGAAAGCTCCAACTCTACCTCCCTGACGAGTTCAAAGGCGATGCGGGTGAAATTTTTGGGAGGTTGACCAAGGCATTGTCTTACCCGATGGGGTCACCCGCCCGAATTGCCATCAATCGCTCGTACCAGGAGACCATGAACAAGCTCCTGGTTTTGGCGTTCATTGTTACGATCCCCTTGATCCCGTTGAGTCTCCTGATGACCAACTACCGACTGGATAAGGTAAGTCTCCTGAGGCTATACGATGTGAAATCAGTGACTCACCCATAGTAGATGAGCGAAACGCCGCACCACGAGCCGGTCCCAGTTGAGGAAGCCGGGGCCGAGGGGCGCTCGAAACAGACCTGAACGACGGCGCTTCAATGTACAGACATGTATGAACGCTTGCATCCCAGGAAAATTGCAGTGGCGCTCCACTCCCACCCCCCGCTTACTAAAGGGGTGGGTGGGGATTGCGGCCCTGCCTGGGATGTGAAAATCGATGGTGTACAATCACGACGAAACTGATGATGGATGATTCAGTGTGCTGTGGGATTGAGACAGCGCTGTCACGCAAGCATTTGTTTGGCGTCATGGTTTGGCTTTATGATTATGTTACGAAACTTAGGCTGCGACGGCGAGCATGGCCGACAGCAGCTGATCCTGCGGGATTTTATAGATGTCACGACTAGATTAGATGATTACGGGTTACGTTATATAGCAAGCATTGGACATTTTCTCGGTTTTTACGTGGGTGTCTCTGTCCCCTTCCCGTCGTCGGTAGACTGCGACTGCGACGGTAAGCCACCCAAAAGACCGGCCGAGGGTGAGGTTGAATTGATACACATCCCCGGGTGGGTTCTGGGCCCGTCATGAAACTTAGCGCGGGGAGTTTTATTGGGGTCGGTCTAGGCAAAGGGCATGAACAGGGCGGTCGGGGGGCGGGTGGTGCTGGGATGGCCATATTGTCACCGATGGCACCTTGGGGGAGCAAGTTGATCACAATTCCCTGGTCTTTCTTGGGCGCGTAGCGAATCAAGCTAGGACTGGTCCAAGCAGTGTGACCGCTGGGCCCGGGGAGGCTGATTGGCCCAGCTTCCAATGTCAGTGTCACGGATTCATGGCGGAAATTACCCAACTTCCCTTCCTCAGGATGTAGTGAACTGTAAGTAGCCCAAGGCCAACGAGAGAGGCTTTGTTCCCTTCTTTGGATCCCTGTCTTGCGCTGTTTGTCTTGTCCTATCTGATCGAATCCGATTTTTTTTTTTTTTTTTTTTTTTCGTGAGCGGATGACTTGCCTTGCCTTGCCTTGCCTCCCTTCCCCCCATCTCATCTTGAACAAGAACCTCTGGTTTGCCGCGACCCCTCCATTCTTCACCTCTCTTCTCGTCTTTGTGTTTATTGACACGTCTCAGCACGAGGCTTTTGTTCAAGAGCGCTGTTTCAACCGAAAAAGTAGAACGAGAAGGATTTTGAGGAGTGGGTGGCTAGGTTGCCGTCATATTGATCCTGGTCCGATCTCTGTGAGTTGTCTCTTATCTTAGGTTGTGGATCGCCCGGTGGTGGTTTCTTTCTCATCTGGACATCGGTTGGCTGGAGGGACGGGGATGAGGGAACTCTTTTTTTTCCTTTTGATGTTCTTTTGACGGACGAAGTTTAATTTGGCGGTGATCTCCTCAGGTTTCCAGCCACGTCTCGTACGAGTGAGGCAGAAAGAGAGTGTGGGAGTGTGTGAGGGAAAAGCCGGGCGATAAACGGCGGTTGGGTTGGCGTGACGGACGTTCGATAAACCAGGAGCTAACTAACGGTGCGGGTTGCCCCATTGCAGCAGCCGCCCAGCCAGCAGCACTGAAGCACCCGGCCAGACACAGCAGAGCACAGCACCAGCACCAGCACCAGCACCAGCACCAGCTTCTTTTCCTCCTTACTACTTGCTACTAGTAAGGTATCGTCCCTCTCTCCCCGTCGACATTCACCGCACTCCCACTCATCCGTGAATCCTAGACGGCCTCGCCCATCTGCTCTCCTATCCTATCCTATCCTATCCTAGCCGCCTCCAGCTTCTCTCTTCCCTCTTCCCTTTCCCCTTCTTCCCTCCTCCTTCTGCCACCCCCAAGCAGTTCTCCCCCTCACCCGCCTCCTCCCCCCCTGTTCACCGCATCTCTTCCTTCTCCTGTCCTGCTCTCCTTTCGGCTTCCGACAGACGACCCTCCGTGATTCTCTGCACCTTCTCTTTCGCAAACTCCAAGGCCCTTTGAAGTTTCCAACATGGTTGTGGCAACAATTAAGTGCGTTGTTCTCCTCCTTATCCCTTTCTCTCCGCAATCACTTCCCCCCCTTCCCCTCCCCCCATTCGACCCCCTCTTTCTTGCGAACTGCCTATCTTTTCTCGGCAGATCCCCAAATTTTGATTGTTTTGTCGAGCGGCAAGTGGCTAATCCGGGTCGATCTTTGTCGCAGGTGTGTTGTCGTCGGTGACGGTGCCGTGGGCAAGACCTGCCTTCTGATTTCCTACACGACCAACAAGTTCCCTTCGGAATATGTTCCCACCGTATTCGACAACTATGCCGTCACGGTCATGTAAGTTGGAGTCTCTCATGCCCCTCGGCCCCCCCCGTGTCGGAGTGCGCTATCCTCCGCTCTCGCCAGCGTTGTGGGTGCACCCACGTCGCTGGTTCGACCCACGCGATGGCGTCAGTGACCGATGCTGGAACCCGGGACTGACTCCAACCCTTTGCGCATTAGGATTGGCGACGAGCCGTACACTCTGGGATTGTTTGATACCGCCGGTCAGGAGGATTACGATCGTCTCCGTCCCCTTTCCTACCCTCAGACGGATGTCTTCCTCGTTTGCTTTTCGGTCACCTCCCCTGCCTCCTTCGAGAACGTCCGCGAGAAGTGGTTCCCCGAGGTGCACCACCACTGCCCCGGTGTTCCCTGCCTGATTGTGGGCACCCAAACCGATCTTCGGGAGGACTCCACTGTCCGCGAGAAGCTGGCCCGCCAGAAGATGCAACCGATTCGCAAGGAGGATGGTGACCGGATGGCCAAGGAACTGGGTGCCGTCAAATACGTGGAGTGCTCCGCTCTCACGCAGTACAAGCTCAAGGACGTGTTTGACGAGGTGAGTGTCGCACCGAGACCGTGCCGTCGTTCGTACTGACAGTCCTCGTTCTAGGCGATTGTTGCCGCGCTCGAGCCTGCCCCTAAGAAGTCGAAGAAGTGCGTCCTGCTGTAATCGATCCCGGTATCTTGCAGGGCAGGCCCGTACGCTCCGGAGGGTTTCAGGCCTGTCGTTGATGCATCGCAGACACGTCGTATGATTTTGGGAGACTGAATGTGCTTTACCTATGCAATATGGAGTTTTGGGGATTCTTTCGTACGGAGGTGGCTGGCTTACTCGACCGACGTCTGACTTGAGCTCTTGTGTTGGTTCACCGATCCTTGAGTGAATACACATCTTACAACCCGTAACCGCCCAGTGCGATCTTCCTCTCGCTCGGTTGTCCCTGCACTGCTGAGCCGTCTATCTCAAGCAGACCTGCCATCGAGGAACCCTCCCTCATCGCTTATTGGAACTCGTCTCCTGACTTACGTCTTGTCCGCCTTGGCCCGCGTTCCTTGATTCTCCTACCTCTCCAACCTTTCCTTCCTCCCACGATCGATTCCACCCCTTCCGCCATTCCACTTCTTCTCCGCTTTCCCATTCCTTCTTACTCCCTTTCTAACTCTCATCGTCCCTATCGGCGTTGGAAGTCGAGGCGTCTTGTTTTGGCTGGCTGATGGTTTCTTTGTCTTTTTATTATCTTTTTTTCTTCTCATACTCCTCGATCTGTTATCATGCTGATCCCCACCCAAACCAATCAATTTGCTGTGCAATTTTTGTTTCTCTTTCGCTTGAGCAGCCCTTCTCGTCCTCAAGGCCTGGACTAGATAACACAGATACAATAGTGATGACCACGTTATTTTATATATCTATGATTAGTGCTTAGAGGGAGTGGATTGGTCGAGGTATATATACCACGGTAGCTGGTAACTAGCACCAGGGGGGTTTTGTTCTTTTTGGTATGTATAAGGAACTTTTACATGCTAAGTAGATGAAGATTTCGGGTACGCTGTTTCTTTATTATACCAGTTGTTCCTATGTTCATAGGTGGTAGGACAGACAGACAGCTGTTTCTTTGTTGATGTACCTGCATCGGGTGCTAGACAACTAACTCATTATACATATCGCTTCGTATCGCATTTACAATTCATCCTTGACCTCCTTCTCCACAGGCTCCTCCTCGACCGCAACGGTCTCCTCAGCGACAACAGTCTCCTCCACCGTTGCCCTGCGTCCATACCATCCTCCCAAGTCCTCACCGGCGCCGGCCTTGACCATGCTGGTGATAATCTCAAAGGCCACCTGAGCGGCTGCCAAGGCGGTGGTCTCGCCCTTGTTGTCATAGCTGGGGGACACCTCGACGATGTCGGCGCCAACAATGTTTAGCTTCTCAATACCACGCAGGATCCGGATGAACTCCCGGGTCGTCCAGCCACCGGGTTCGGGGGTACCAGTGCCGGGGGCAGTGGCCGGGTCCAAGACGTCAATGTCCACGGACAGGTACACGGGCTGCTCGGAGTCCAGGCCAATGCGCTCGATGATACGGTCCACGATGCCCATGGGGCCCAAGTCGTCAATGTCATCCGCGTGGATGCGCATGAAGCCTTGCTCGGGACCGGGGTTGGTGTAATCGCTGTCGTCCACACCGGTCAGACGCGTTCGCAGACCAGCGTGGGCAGAGGTCGAGTTGCAGATGAGTCCCTCCCGGCTAGCCTTGTGGAAAAAACTACCGTGGTTGAAGTGGGACTGCTCCGACGTCCAGTACGCCGAGTAACGCACCGGGTTCCAGGTGTCGAGATGGGCGTCGAAGTGCAAGACCGTGATTGGCTTCTGGTAAATTTGGTAAAGCGCCCGGAGAGCAGGGAGTGCAACACTGTGGTCGCCACCCAGAGTGACCAGCTTCGACTTGCCGGCGGAGATACCCTTGGTACCGTACGTGGAGTCGGCGGCGGTCAGGGCGGGGCGGGAGCCCAACTCCAGGAAAGCCTCGTACATCTGGCGCTCGGCGACGCCATTGTCGAACGGTGTGATGGGGATGTCTCCACAATCCTTGACCGTGGCCCAGGAGGCATAAGGGTTGATTCCGGCGCGGGTGTTGTAGCTGGTGCCGGCCATTTGGCGGGCGCTGGCAGCCCGAATAGCCCGAGGACCAAACCGAGCGCCTTAGGGGCGTGTTAGCGTAATTAAGAGTGGGCTGAGGCCGTTGGTGGACCTACCTGGTCTGTAGCTAACGGCCGTATCGAACGGGGCGCCGATGACGGCGATATCGTATCGCTCGTCGGGTTCGATCAAACATCTGACCGGCTTCAGATGCGCGAAGCTGGCAATGCCGGAGAAAGTGAACTAGATCGGTCAGTGTACATTGATGGGGACGGAATCGGGAGCCGAACCTCCTGATCCCATTTCCTCAGCAGCTCCTCGCGCACACTTTCCGGAATTTCTTCGTGGTCGTGGTGAGCGTGGGCGATGGCCGTGCCAGCCAGCGCCAGACAAGCAGCCCAGGTGAGGGATTTCATGACGGAATCGATGGCCTCACTCGAGGGGTTGAAGGGTAAGGGGAGGTGGAGGGAATGAAAAGGAGAGAGAGGAGAAGCCACCCGGAAAAGGCGTCAATTAGAAATAAATAGCGGTGGTTGAATGGCTGAAGGTGTTGCGTTGACATAAAAAATACATGCAATCGATGGCCACCGGGGGAAGCTCCGATTACTCGTACTATCTCTTATCGATACGGAGGCCCGCCCTCATTGGCCGAGGGGTGGCCGAGGGGTGGCCGCAAAGAGAAGGTTGATGGCCTTGCGGCCTGGTTTCCCTGACATCGTGCGGACCTTCCCTTCTGGTCGATTTCTTCATCGTCTCAATGCGGAAGGAACACCCTCGGCCACTCGCTGCTGATGATCCATTGGCTGAAACGATATTTCACGGACTACAACTCGACCCCAACAGCTGCAGGCCTCGCTTCCATTCTCTTCCATCTTTCTAGCTGCTCCCGTGGTTCCCCAGCATTGGTATAGTGCCATCGACAATTCGATCTTCCTTCCTCCGTTCTGAATTGCGGAGAACGACCAACCGCGACGGGACGCGGAAAAAGCCAGACGTAACTACGTACTGTATCCCCAGAATGCCATGCGTCGTGTCGTCGTGACTGGTCTCGGAGCAGTGACACCTCTAGGAGTAGGTGAGTAAATGTCCTGGATGTCACCGGGAATCCCTCAATACTTCCATCGCGGCGCAGTTCGACCGTCATTTTGTCTGCTGAGTCTCCACTCCCGCGCTTCCAGAAAGGGAAGGTCGTGGACTGCCTCATATCCATGCCCAGGAAGGCAACTGTACACGATGACTGGCTCGGACCAGTTGCGCCGAGGTTAACATGCCGCTTGCTAAGTAATTAAAATCTCGTAGGTTTCCGTCGGACTTGGAAACGTCTCCTGGATGGTCACTGCGGCATTGTCAACGTCAACCATCGCGATGCCAGGTTTGCCGATTTGCCCTGTCAGATCGCGGCGGTGGTGCCACAGGGCGCACGGAAGGATGGATGCTGGACTGCTTCGGAGTGGTTGAGTCGAGATGTAGGCCTGCCATAGTGTCAATTACGACCGTAGCTGATGTCCGCCAGGATGAGCGCAAGATGGCTCGGTTCGCGCAGTATGCGATGGCTGCTTCGACAGAAGCCCTGGAAGATTCGGGCTGGGTGCCCACGGATTCGGAGCAACGAGAAGCTACAGTAGGTGCTGTCGCGACTCTTTGGCATCACAGCCCTAACTCTATGTCAGGGAGTATGCCTCGGATCCGGGATCGGCAATTTTGACGAAATCTATAACACCGTTGTTGCATATGAGAAAGGGGTCGGTATCGCTGTCTACTATGCACGAGGTGTCGTTGACGAGTCTACAGGGCTACCGAAAAGTATCTCCTTTGTTCGTCCCTAAGCTTCTGATCAATCTCGGGGCCGGGCACATCTCTATGAGATTTGGATTCATGGTACAGTCACTTCCCCTGACTAGATTTCCGCTGCTAATTCTATAGGGACCAAATCATTCAGCAACCACCGCTTGTACCACCGGTGCACACTCCATAGGGGATGCAGCGCGGTTCATTGCGTGCGGAGATGCAGATGTGATGCTGGCCGGCGGAGCAGAGTCCTGTATCCACCCCTTGGCTGTCGGAGGATTTGCTCGGGCACGCAGTCTGGCGACCAGCTATAACAATTCGCCGGCGAAGGCGTCGAGGCCGTTCGATGCGGATCGGGAAGGGTTTGTGGTGGGTGAGGGCGCGGCAATGTTGGTTTTGGAGGTATTTTCCGTAACAGGCGATAACCGCTGAAGCTTTCCTAATTCACTCCCAGGAACTCGAACACGCAAAAGCAAGAGGAGCCCGTATCTATGCCGAATTGAGGGGCTACGGCTGCTCTGGCGATGCGCATCATATGACAGCGCCCAAAGAAAACGGCGAAGGCGCATTTCTGGCCATGAAGAAGGCCCTGAAGAATGCCAGGCTTCCACCTTCTGCAGTTGACTATGTCAACGCACACGCGACTTCGACTGTTGTCGGCGATGCAGCGGAAAACGCTGCCATCAAGTCTTTGCTGCTGGGACCAGGAGGGAAGCAGCAGGCGACGGAGATCAACATCAGCAGCACCAAGGGTGCCATCGGCCATTTGCTCGGTGGTGCTGGCGCCATTGAAGCTTTGTTTTCTGTTCTCGCGGTGAACGAGGTAAGCAACCTGCTAAACCCGTATGACAATGCTAACGCCAGGTTCAGAATGTGATGCCTCCGACCATCAATCTGGAGCGGGTGGCTGATGGATTCGACTGCAATTATGCCGCCAAACAAGCGCAGGAGCGCCGCATTGACGTGGCCTTGACGAACAGTTTTGGGTTTGGAGGGACGAACAGCAGCTTGTGTTTTTCCAAGCATGCAGCTTAGGCGGCTGTATATCATATGATATTGGCGATTTGCATATAACATTGCATTGTATCAATAAACTTGTACCACCAGGTGGATCACTGCAACCACTTAAATCTCAGTACTTTTAACTGGCCAACGTGGTCTGTGACAGCCATTCATGGTTATATTAAACATGTAAGACTGCTGCTGCTGTTCGGCACGATAGCTGGTTGGGCTGGAGGCGATCAGCTTTCTTCCACTTCCACCCACCACCCACCTCGACAACCAAACAAAGAATATACCCAACCCCGATTAAAAGCAAGATCTCAACTCCCCCAGGCCCAACATAGCTCATTTCCTCCCCCACTTCGACGACCTCGAGCGCGATCTCCGATCCTCAAGCAAACCACCCACCCACCACGTGACCCCCCAATGCGGAGCGCCCCGGACTCCGCTCTGCGCAGCCTCTCGACCGTCGGCCCCATTCCAGCATCACCGTCCCGTCTCCGATCGGAGCTGTTGATTTTCGATCCTACTCTCTTCCTCTCAGCTCTCTTCCCCTCGTTTACCTATTTCCTGGATTCCTGGAATCCCACCGGTCGCGCGCTTCCCGGTGGTTGCTGTGAATCATGGCTACGACTAATGGCGCCAGAGGTACGGAATGACCTCCCTTCCCCTGCCCTTTACTTTCCCCTCTATTCGGGTTTGATATACGTGGGGCGCGGATTTGGGTTGCTTGATGGATTGATTGTTTGTTTGTACTTTTGCTGACTGGAATATTTTTACAGGTTCTTCTGTCGCATCCACGACAGGTAGTCTAGTCGATGCCTCTGGATACAAGTACGCCGAGAAAGATACCAAGCCCGGGAAGATTAAATTGAAGAAGGCGGCGAAACCGAAGAAGAAACCTGATGGTAGGACGTATCTTTACTTGTGATGTTTGAGCGATGAGGAAGTAAAGAGAGACTAATCGGTCATATTGATTGGACAGCTCCCGACTCACCACCCGGATCTTCGCCCATTCTGCCCGAAATCGATGAGAAGACGATGGCGGCCTTTCCGACGGGGAAACCGCGCGAAGAAGATCATCTCGAGACTGTCATTTGCAAGACGTGTAAGAGGCCCGTGTTGAAACAGAATGCTGTGGAGCATATTCGGGGGTGTATTCGGGCGAAGCAGGAGAAGGCGAGGAGGAAGAAGGAGGCTAGGGATGCAGCGAATCGGGCCAAGGAGAAGGGGGATAAGGATGGGGATGAGGAGGGGGTGAGTGTTCCTGGTTCTGGCTCCGGAGGAACCGGGGCCGGGGGGGAGAAGGAGAAGGAGAAGGAGAAGGGTGAAGGGGGTGCTGGGGAGGAGTCGGTCAAGGCGCAGAAGAGTGCGAAGAAGTCGGCTGTGAAGGGTATGGCGGAGGATGGGACGAAGAAGGGGAAGAAGCGCAAGACGGAAGCCGGGGAGGATGACAAGGATAAGGAGCCTAAGAAGAAGAAAAAGAAGGAGGAGCCGAAACCTAAAGCGCCGAAACCGAAGGGCCCCGTGGATGTTGAGAAGCAGTGTGGTGTTACTTTGCCGAATGGTGCGCAGTGCGCGAGATCGTTGACTTGTAAGAGTCATTCGATGGGCGCGAAGAGAGCTGTTCCTGGCCGTTCTTTGCCGTATGATATGCTGTTGCAGGCGTATCAGAAGAAGAATCAGGCGAGACAGCAGAGTAAGTGGCTCTTTTGTTACGGGATGGAATTGGGGAGGATGAGATGGATGATGCTAATGGTGTTTGCTACAGAGGCTGCTATCGATGCCAATGCTCCTTTACAGGATGATCTGGATAATAATGGGCCGGTCGACTCGGATGAAGAGAAAGATGCTGTCATGGCGGCGATTTCCCGCTCCCATCCGCAGCCCTTGGTCACTCATACGCTCATCTCGACGAAGAAGAAGTATCAGTATGTGCGGATCAAAGAAATGTTGTCTCATGCCTTGGGCGGCTCCCGGGGTGGTGGCCTCTTTTCGACGGGTGATAGTGTCGCCTCCCCATTTACGGATGGTAACCTGTTCACGCCGGTGGAGGAGGTGACGACCTCGCCCATCCCTGCGACTGTGCCTGCACCGACAGCTGCGTCGGACAACGCGACAGACGCTGGTGGAAAGACGCCGGCACAAGCTCCTAAGAAGCTACCCGTAGCGGCCAGCTCGTAGGACTCTTGCACAGGGTGGTTGACGAGTGATGACGGTCTTCTCCAAAGGGTTCTGGTTGGGGAGTTTGGGCAATGCTGGATGGCGTTTCTGGAAGGGCTCTTGGTCTGTTTTGGTTTGTGATTGATAAGATACCCCGCGCTGAGTGTCCCCTGGCGTGCATTATTTGTAAATTTGGTCGTTCTTTGCGGCTGTGATAGATTGCAATCAAAGCACATACGCAGTCAGTCTGTCTCTTTGGGTGTTGGTGAGGAACATTGCAGGACTCCTGTAGCCTACTCTGCTTAATACTTATGGTTCACCTGGGTGTGGTCAAGAGTAGCTCAGCTGTTCTGCTCTGCTGCTGCTGGCTGTCGTGGATCCCCATCATCTCATTCATGATCAGCAGATGCCTACGGTAGTGATGCCTCAGGCCACCACAGATCTCCGAACCTCCGCAGATGGAGTCAAAGCTACCTTCTTGCCTCAATGCGCCTGCTCTCACTTTCTCGACCCAACCTCCCCGTCCACTCACCACCACCACGCCCCCTGTATGCCTCTTCTCAAATCCGACTACTGCGAAACACATTTACCCCGGCGCCTGCGGGCGAGAGCTCTTACCCTCACCCCGACCACCACCACTACTCCTGGCTATCCCTCAGCTCATTCACTCCTCGCACCCCTCTCCAACCACCCCCCTTTCTCACCATGGGCAACTCCGTCCCCGACCTCGACGCCGTCGGCATCAAAGCCGAACCCGAACTCGCAGACCAATTCCGCCGCGAAGTGGCCACCCTCCTCGGTCGCAACAACCTCAACTTCCCCGGCGCGCAACCGGTCAGTTTTTCGACGCGGCATCTGACCGAGCTCCAAAAAGAAGACTACTACGTGTGCGAAAAGACGGACGGCATTCGATGTCTGATGTACTTTGCCCGGGGAGACCCGGAGTCTGACATGCCGGAAATTCACTACCTGATCGACCGCAAAAACGAGTACCGCTACGTGCCGGGCCTGCACTTCCCCTTGCCCGACGATGATACGTTTCAGAGCTTCCATGTCGATACGCTGGTGGATGGCGAGCTGGTAAATGATACCTACGAGGACGGATCCCAGCAACTCAAGTTCCTGGTGTTCGATTGTTTGGTGCTTGATGGGCAGAGTCTGATGCATCGGACGCTGGATAAACGGCTGGCGTATTTTAAGGAGAAGGTGTTGAAGCCGTATAATGCGCTGTATGAGCGGTTTCCGGGGGAAAAGGAACATCGGGCCTTTGCGGTTGAGGATAAGTCGACGCAGTTTAGTTATGGGATTGAGATGATGTTTCGGGATATTATCCCTAAGGTGAAGAAGATTCATGGCAACGACGGTCTGATCTTTACCTGTCGGAGTACCCCGTATCGCATTGGGACGGACGAGCATATCCTGAAGTGGAAGCCGCCGTCGGAGAATACGATCGATTTTCGCATGCGCTTGGAGTTCCCGCTGCTGGAACCGGATACCGATGATGAGGCGGAGGGGGTGACGGAGCCATACCTGGACTACGAGGCCGTCCCGATCTTTCATCTGTATGTGATGCTCAATTCCAACGAGTATCAGCCGTTCGGGGAGATGTATGTCAGCCCGGCCGAGTGGGAGGACATGAAGGCGCTACAGCAGCCGTTGGACGATGCGATTGTCGAGTGCGCCAAGGATGACCAGGGCCGGTGGCGGTTCCATCGGCTTCGAGATGATAAAGCGGATGCGAACCATATCTCGACGGTGGAGAAGGTGCTGGAGAGTATCCAGGACCGGGTGACGGAGGAGGACCTCATCCGGGCCGCACCGGCGATCAAGACGGCGTGGAAGAAGCGACAGGCGCTGATGGCGGAGCGGAACAGACAAGGGGGAGCGGCGAATGGAAGTAATGGGGTGAAGCGGAAGTTTGAAGAGTAGCGGCTGGGGGGGATGCTTTGACTGATTCGGTTTGCGAGGCGTTTGGCGTTGGTGGTCGAAGAGGATTTCATCGGCATGTGCCGGTGATGTATAGATAGGGAGAGCAGGGCAGGGGGTTCTGGCTAAAATGGGTTGGGTGGGTGGGTGGTTTACTGTACTGTTTGTATACACATGATGGATCATCTAACTACCGCTTGGATGACTGGACTGGAAGTATTCTACTCTCTCCTTGGTATCCGGTGTGCATCCCGAGAGCATCGCTCGAGCTTCCCAAGTGAGGGCTGCTAGATCTGCACCTCTATCAAGTACTTCATCTCCAGGTCCAATTAATTTCCTGACCGGCCGAGTCCAGACCTCATCCCTTTGTCTGCCCAGGGACCGAGAGTGCTCTGTGCCGGCAACCACCAATGCACCAGTGACATCCGGCCATTGCAACCCCAGATCGACACCCCAGCACCCTCACCGGGTCTCAACGAGTTTCGATACGACCGACGCACAGAGCCTCTCATAGTCCGGCGCGGACTGGAATGTGGAGGGCTGACGACGTCGATCTTGGCTGCTCCCCAGATGATCATTTCATTCCATCGGAGTATCTCGACCAGCCGCCTGGGAAGAGCTTATTCTTGTACGGATGAGTTGAGACCTTGGTCCGGAGTTATCTACGGAGTACGATGAAGAGTAACCCCCCGGCAAGGCACAGAACTGGAACTGGCCTCAGTTAAAATGAAGATGAATCCAGGGGAACACGCAAGCAGGGGTTATTACTTGTTGGGGAGAAGGGTGTTTCTGATTCTTTTTGCCACACGGATCGATCCTTCGGGAGGGATTGGCGGGTGGTCGGGTTTCTAGAAGGTGAGCTATCGGAGAAGGGGTGAGGGATCCGATCATGGATTGTTTTGTACGAGAAGAGACAGAGTAAAAAGTAGGTATTCTCCGAGACTCTTTCCTAAAAGACGAGCAGGAGGATGATAGACCAGTAATTAGACAGATAGTCTCACGATGGAGTCGTCTGCCTTTCCCGGAACTCTGCTGGGTTGACTGGGGGGACTGGGGGGAGGTATGGAGATTGGACTCAAAAGTCTAAGACTACTCCATACTGATTCCTGACTAGTCGACCCTTGTTTCTTTTCCCCCCACAGCTGCACACGTATGTGTTTCCCCATCCTTCTGCTGCTGCTCCGGGGCTGAGGTCTTTTCCCCAGGCGTGCTTCTTAGTTCCACTACTTCTTGCATCCCCGGCGCGCTCTTCCGGCCTTCCGCAAAGCATGTCCCCAGTACTACCATGCCATCCCAGGCCAATGGGTATGTGGCCTGGGCCCCGACGCCCTGGCTCCGGTGAGGCGTGTCTTTTTCTTGATTTTTTTTGATTTTTATTTTTTTTATTTTATTCTATTTTTTTAGTCTCTGTTCGCCTCGCAACGGGACAAAGGGATGTATCCATTCGGGTGGGGGGAATAGCTCTCGAGCTCCTCCTTTATTTACCGATGGACTGCTAAGGTAGGAATAGGATACAAGAAGCCGGCAGGGTATTTTAAATGGGTCATTTCTGCTCACTCTACCTTTCCATCGTCTTTCTCTTTTCTCCCCAGAGACTACTCACTGGCTTGATACAGGTTGGTCCGCCCCAAGACATCTGTTTCTAGTTCTTGTCTGTTGGTGTAGCTTGATAGCAACTCGATTCGATTTCCATTCTCCTTTTCTCCTTCCTGCTGATAGACCTCCGGAGTATTGTTATAAACCATCCCTCCATCCATCCATCCATCCATTCATCCTCCCCATTCTTCCATCCCAACACCATCTGCCTACAGCAGCAGCACAGAGCATCCACGCAGGTAAGATCCCAATAATTCCTCTTTCCTTTTCCCTTGCACAACCCAACCTACCCAACCACGACCCAAACACGGACTTCCCCCTCGGTTAAGAGGGAATTGGACCCGATTTCCACCCATGGGGAGAACCTCGGCGGTTTTCGGATCCCTCTTAAGATTCGTCCGTTCGGAGCATCTATATTGGGTTTCTGCTGCTGCCTTAACTTATACCCTGCTCGAGTTCTTTGCTTTTCTTGGGTTCCTGCTCGGTTATATATATGTTCTACATGTGCAGCTGCATGTCACTCACTTATTGATTATCTTGACAGGATCTCTCTTTACCTACCTAAAATCTATTCTATAATATCCATCCTACAACCAACGAACCAGACACTGGTGTCTATTCTCAACACATCCACACCCCCTCATCACCAACACCAACACTACCTCCTTCTCTATCAACATCCTCCCTCGCCTCACCTCAACCACAACTCGAACCCAAAACAGAAGACCTGGAAAGAAAAGAAAAGAACCATGTCTCCCACAATGACCCGTCCCACACCAACCCTCCTCACTCCCTCCACAAGAAGCGCAACATCCTCCTCATCCTCCACCTCCCCCACAACCTTCTCCCAAGATATCTCCCGCGCCATCCTCTCCGCCTCATCACACATCCCCAAAGCCGTCGTCGATTCTACCTCCACGCCCACCAGCACGGCGACGACTCCCTACGCCGAGAAAAGTGAGTGGGAGTTTGCTTTGCCGCCTCCGCCGCCGCCGTCGCCGGTCGAGATGAGGAGGTTTTGGGCTTGATTCGATGAGTTATAGGATTGTTGATTGGACGGGGGTGGGGATAGATGGGGATAGGGGGTTGGTGGATGCATGGTAGAGTTGGGATAGAGGGATTTAGGTGATCTGGGTTTACTTTGCCCGGTTTGGTCTGGGTATTTCCATTTGGGTTGATTTTGGGATGGGGTTTAGCGTTTAAATTGGTATTGGTTTCATTATATTGTTTATGGATGATTGTTTGCTTGGGTTATTGGGATTGGATTGGATTGGTACTTGACATGGTAGCTGCTTCATAGATAGCAAGCAGCTGGGGAAAATTGTATACTATATCCACTATGGATCTATCTTACCATTGATCATTATCATTGATCGTGATAAACACTTTCATCACATCACATCACATCGCACGCATGTAGATACTCCGTATTGATATCGGATGGTCTTCGAGGCGGCTCACATGCACAGGGATGTACCTTGCAGGATCCATGACGCCATCGCGCCGCGCAACCCGGTTCGTGCGATCAACCCGGTAGTGCAATCAACCCTGCCCAGTTCAAAGCCTAACTCTCGTCCCGGTGTCCGTAGATCCGCCAGTAGAACTGTTCTCGCCGGCCCGATGCTCGCCTGGACATGTGCCTGGACCTCGGTCGGAGCTTCGGAGGCTCCCGCACGTGACTGAACTCAAAGTGCGCGGCCTCCGGTCTGGATCTCGCGGATCGCGCCCATCCCATCCTTCGTATCCCGGAAGCCTATTTCCGCCGCTGCCAACGGTAGGCCGGTCGTGTAGCAAACTCTCAGTCCGCCGTCGGGAGACTAGGACTGAGACAGTGGCTCCTCCTGGTCGGACTCCTCCTCATGTCCCCCAAGCTGCGAATAGAGGCCCTCGAGCTCCGCCATCGCGGTGGCATCCCCCGATAGCGCCAGCTCGTTCAGCCGGTGAATCTGTGCCAGCTGCTCGTCCGTGCGAGCCCAGCCCTGCACGCGATCCTCCAGATTCTGTATCCGCTTGGTGCTGAACGTCATCCGGACGGTGTCGATCTCGCCCTTGCTGCGCTTCAGGCTGGCCAGTCGGTCCAGGAAACGGGCCTGGTTCGTCTGTGGGGCCGTTTTGCGCACCTTGCCTGCGGAGGAGGGTGTGGTTGTTGCAGTGGCCTCGGCGGATTCGGGCGCCACAGAGGCGTCCGGAGCGTAGACATTGGACGAGCTGGAGATGAGGTTGGCTTTGCGACCGAGGATCTTGACGCTATTGGCCGCGAGCAGGTCATAGTGCTTGGTGTGTCTTAGTGGGATGGCAGGACTGGAGCTTTCCGCTTCTGCCGCATCGTGGGGATGTTCCGGGTGAGAGAAGAGCAGCTCGGTGCCGATTTGATCAGCCCAGGAGCCACTGAAGATTTGGTTTTGGTAGGAGATAATAGGGTTGGGGGTGTGAAGAGCTAGGATCTGCACGCGGTCGGCGGAAGGGTTGGCGTCTGCTTCAGTACTGGAGAGGGCGGCGTCGGGTTCATCGTGCTGAGAGGGATTGGAGGAGGGGGTGGTGGTGGAGTGGGAAGAATCACGACGACGGGGAGGCCTGATGGGCCCATGGAGAGAGGTCAGGTCGAGAGTCAGATAAACGGTCTAGTGGCAGTCAGCACAACCAACAAAACAAAGAATCAAGGCAGTGGCCCCAGTCACGGACCTCGGTCTCGGTGGGATGATATTCGTATTCATAGTCGGAGTCGTCCTCGTCGGGATTGGCCAAGGTGGACTCGGCCAGCATGGCCGGGTCCAGCATCAGCGGGGTGGGAAGGGCCATGATGGTGTTGGTGGTGGTTGCGTTGTTGTTGGTATGATAATGATGATGATAGAAATGGCGATGTTTTAGTGGCCGAAGAAAACAAGAATTGGCCGGGCGGCGACTAATCAGCGGGCGCGACGGCTATCGGGACTTGGCGGTGAATCCACTCGAACTGCGAGGACTCGGGATACAGTGTGTCGATAGCGGCGGAACGAGGTAGACCTGGCTGGGGTTGGTTTGTCATACACAGTAACTTACAGTCATGGTCTGGTCGCTTCAGGCATCCATTGAGGCTGACGGTTAGACTTCGCGACCCTGAGGATCCATTGATTCTCTCGGTCTCTCCTCCAATTCCCCTTTGTTTCCCCTCCTCCTCCTCCTCCTCCTCCTCCTCCTCCTCCACTCCCTCTCTTCACCGCAGCTGCCGAGCTCTCTCCTGATAGATAGATGATCGTCCGGATGACTTCATCCCCACTTGCATCATCGTCCCTCGTATCATCGTCACCATTGTCACTTTCATCCCCCATCCCGGTGGCATTCCTTCCACGGTCTGGCTGAGACTCCATCGGGATCCAGATAGCCGTCGTTGACCAGTGAGTTAGTTCCATTTCATCCCATTCTATTCAATTCAATTCCCCTAGTTCTGCCGTCCCTTCCGTCCTTTTCCTCCCTCCATCATGACGATCCGGCTCGCGGCGGAAGCCAACAGGGCCGCAAGGGCGCCCTCTGCATCCGTCCCCTTCCCATTTGAAGGCGGGCCTCCATCATCCATTATCTAAGCCGCTTCCGTGCTTGCCGGGTCCAAGGGAAAAGTCCAGGGAAACGCCCTTTGGTCGCTCTTCTGCTCCCGGCAACTCGCCGGCCCATTCCCTGTTCCCTTCTGGTCGTTCTCTCTTCCCTTCAGCCCTAACCCCCCCCTCGTCCGGCCCTCTGATTGCCTGCAATGGGCTCGATGCGACGACGGCACTGCGGCGCCCGCTGTTTGCCTGCCCTACCAGGCCCCATCCATGGCCAATCCCTGCCCTATTCTGCTCCATCCTGACCATCCGGGCTCCGTTCTTGCTGTTCTCGACCCTGCCCGGCTGACTGACAATGTCATCGCGCCTGCCCGCTGCTGCTTCTTATAGTGACTCCTTCGCTGCCTTTGCTTCCGGGCGTGAATGCCCGGCCCGGTCGTTTTTTCTCTTCCGTTCTGCTGCTGCTGCTTCTGCTGTCGCAGTCGTTCTGTCTCTCCTCCCCCGTCGGCTCGGATGCCTCTCATCCTCCTGTACATCCCCCCGAGGAGTTCTCCCTGACCGCTCTTGCCGAGAGCCTGGTCGCTTCGTATCCCACCTCTGCTGGCCCGATCGGCGCCCCCTCAGTGACTCCCACACCCGCAGACCAGCGCGGGTTGGTAGAGCTCTCCTCTTCGCGTCCTTCTTCCTCCGAGCTTGAGGCGCCCTCCGGCCTCGGTCAGCAGATGGTTCGTGCTACGAGAGCTGCCATTGTCACTCTCTCTTCCCTGATCGCGTATGTCTTGATCAACAGCGCCGCCCGCGCCGCGAACCCGTCGGCCTTTGTTTGGTACGACGAGGATCACGACGAGCAGCGCTGGGTCGCCTCCTCCTCGTCATGGTGGGATCGGAAGGCCTGTCGGTGGCTCGGCCTGTGCGGGACCGCCCACTTCCGGCTGGTGCGGCCCCGCTATGGCCAGCGCCAGCCCACTATGGGGCTCACGTCGCCCGAAGAGGAGGCCCACTACGCCGCCTGGCGCGATGCCCAGTTCAACGACTCGCTGCACCCAGCTGCCGCCTGGGATGAAGCCGAACGCTCCCGCCGGCAAATCCCCGAGTATGTCTTCCAGTATGCGCCGTTGGTCCACCTGTCTTCGCACGAGCAATTCTGGCCCGGCGACATTGCGGAGCATCTTTACCACGTCACGCCGATGCTGAACTACACGCCGATCCAGGCACAAGGCGACCATCCGTCTCTGCAGGATCTTGATCAGCTGAACGAGTTCCAGGAGGGTCACTACGTGTTTTTGACCAGCAATGACAATGTAGAGGATCGCCCGCCGTGGATTGAAGGCGAGAAGAATATTCCCGAGGCTCCTGATGACGATCTCGAGCAGTCCTGGCCGGACTGGGACGGACGCGTGGATGGACCCATTCCCGGTGACACGCCGGACGAACGCGCCAAGTGGTATGACTCGGGCCACCGCTCATCGGATGGGACGGACGACAGCTGGTCTCCGGAAGATCTTGGGTACCTGCATCCCGACGACCTCGAGGACGAGGGCGTCCGAGACGAGCTGCGCAAACGGTTCGGGGGCGAGCCAATTCACATCGAGAAGACAGGCGGGCGCAGTAAGGCGCCGGCGATCCTACTAGTGATGGACAAAGGACATGGCATTGTCGACGCGTTCTGGTTCTATTTCTACAGCTTCAATCTGGGTAACGTGGTGCTGAACGTGCGGTTCGGGAACCATGTGGGCGACTGGGAGCACTGTCTCGTGCGATTCCATGATGGTAAACCCAAGGCGCTCTTCTTCAGTGCGCACTCGGCAGGAGAGGCCTACAGTTATGAAGCTGTCGAAAAGATCGGTCAACGGGTAAGTTCGTCCCGCCCGCCAGGGGATTCCCGACGCTAACCATGGATCCCTGCCAGCCCGTGATCTACTCCGCCATGGGCACCCATGCCATGTATGCCACCCCGGGTATCCACGCCTACATCCTTCCCTGGGGCTTGCTGCATGACCAGACCGACCGTGGTCCCCTGTGGGATCCTCTCCTGAATGCCCACGCCTACACTTATGATCACGATAGTGATGCCCTCCGCGCATCGACCGTCACGCCGAGTGCCCCGACCGAGTGGTTCTACTTCAACGGCCATTGGGGCGACAAGTTCTATCCGCTGGGTGACCAGCGCCAGTATCGGTTCGCGGGTCAGTATCACTATGTCAACGGCCCACTCGGGCCCCGGTTCAAGCACCTCAACCGCCACAAGGTGTGCCAGCAACGGGACGAGGATCCCTGTGTCATCAAGAACTATATCGGCGATCAAACGCGGGCTAAACGCTGGGCGGGTGCTGGTGCCGGTCCGGAACATGGGGAGCATGAATAGATGAGATGATCCTTAGAGTATGGCTATACCGAGGCCGTGGCATAGACTACCACCCCAACCGGGTGCTGGTATTGTCGGGGTTATTCTTACGCTATCCTTACCTCATCCCTATCTACATTCTTAGCATTATTCTTTGCTCGCGTTGTCATTCGGTGTTATCTCCTGTGGATATACCCTGGAGTTTTCTGGATTCTTACATCTCCTTGGTCGACCGCATAGACCCCTGACGCGCATGATTGGGCTAGACCCGAAAGTCACGATGGACGAGATACACGACCACTACACTATATATCATTTTTGGATGGGCCCGGAGCCATGGGTGGCGTTCTGGTTGCGTTCTGGATTATTTGTTCAGTACAGGGAGTATCGATATGCCGATATGAATAGATGCTTGGTTAGTCATGTATTGGATCTCCCCTCATCTATATGAAACAGTATCTATGAATATACACTCTATCTATCTATTATGTGTGAATACATACACTGATATACAAAAGAATGACGCTAACTAGTTCCTCCCATTGTCGACCTGATTCAAGGTCCGACAGTAGATGATGACCTACTGAGGCACGCGTGCCGAGACAGCACTCCAAAAGTCACACCGAGCACCCCGGCCACCCTCCCAGGCCGAGGCATTCACCAACCGGAAGTTGTTCACAATGCCATCCCCCTCGCGCAGCCAGTAGGATAGATTGGACGTCACCACATCATGAATCAGATACCCGCCGGTAGTATTCAAATCCATCTGGAACGGATAGCGCGGCGTATACGGCGGCCAGTCAATCGTGCCATTCGCACCAATCGGAACCGACGCATTCGACATATTAGCCGTGGCATCCCGGAGCGAAATGACGGGGCTATCGGCCATGATGAACTGGCCCCAGAATTTCTGGAATGCCGTGCGAAAGCCGACATCGGGCCAGGAGACCCCGGCGCTGAAGTACGCGGACAGGTCGGCGCCGTGGTAGGCGGGCGTCACGGAGTACTGGTATTTCCAGGCCTGGCGGTGACCGTGGCTGAAGGCTTGGGCGAGCCATTGAGCGGGGCAGTCGAAGGTGGTTTCGGCGAAGATGTTGAGGACGGTTTGTTGGAGGCCGGTGGCCATTTCGGATTGGTTCAGGGCGGTTGGGCCGCTGGTGCCGAGGGTGTCGTAGCGGGGGCCGTTGTCGACGGGTTGGGAGTCGGCGGTGTGGTAGATGGTGTTGAGGCGGGCGATGTCGGATTGGGTGAAGCGGGGGAAGGTGCTGTCGATGTACTCGTTGAATTTGGGGCGAGTTACCACGTTGGGGTTGGTTAGGGGGACGCCGTCGTTGGCGTTGTTCTGGGGTTGTTAGTGTGCTACAGAGGGTAAGAGGAGGAGGGGAAGAGACTTACGCCAACGAGGATGCGTTTGCCGCTGACTTTTCCACGCGACAGCTGCAGGGATGGTCGCTCCTGAATCAAGTCGCCGTCGACGACGGGGAGGAAAGCAAAGGTGCCGAACAGACCGGAGGAAGAGACGGTTCCACTGGCGTTCTGCAACCGCGCGCTGGGAGCCGCCACCAGGCAGTCAAAGGTGGTGGGGTATCTGTTCAGCGCGGTAGAGTTTGGTCCGCAGCCCGCCAATTCAGCAAACTTCTTATAGTAGTTCTCGGGCACGCTGTCATTGTAGTTGTAGCTTGGTGGCGAATAGGCGCTTGCCGCGATGATCTAAGAAGAGTTGTCAGCTGGATTCGCTGGCGAAGAGGGTGAAGAACGGACGTTGTTGAAGAGGTTGAACTCCTTGCCTCCATAAGCCAGAGCATGCAACATGACCGAGCCAGCTCCGGAGGACTCGCCGCCGATGGTGACACGCTTGGGGTCACCACCGAACTTGGCGATGTGCTCCTGGACCCAGTGCAAGGCAAAGCGTTGGTCGAGGAGACCGGCGTTCGTCACACCGTGCTCTTTGACTTCGGACGAGGAGAGGAATCCGAATGCTCCCAGGCGGTACTGAATCTCCACAGTGAGGAAGCCGTTGTTGTTGGTGTTCATCATTGTGCTGGGGTCATACTCTGCCCCAAAGAGCCCATATCCGCCGCCGTCTAGTAGATCATCAGCAATTGACCAGAATTGCTGGTTACGGGATGAACCCGTTCGGAGACGTAGACTTACGGATCCACAGCAGAACGGGCAAGTCCGTCGCATTCGGGGGAGCGTAGACGTTCAGGTATAGACAGTCTTCATCGCCCGGGCCCGAGTTGAAGCCATAGACATATGGGGTTCCCGCCGCCCCGGACTGAGGACAGACAGGGGGCTGATCAACGGCCAATGTGACCTGGCTGTTGTTCTGCAACGGCGGTGCAGGAGCCTGCCAGCGGCGGTTACCCACCGGGGGAGCAGCATATCGGATGCTGCAGGATATCAGACCACGTTCGGAGTCGAGCGGAGGATCCCGTGGCCGGACACCGGAGGGGATCAGCTTACCTCTTCCAAATATTCAGACCATAGGTGGTACTGTAGGAGCCCTGATAGGTAGCATAGCCCAGATCAACGGTGGGCGGCCGATTGGCAAGGGAGAGGGTCGCGGTGGCGGCGAGCAGCAAGGCTTGGCCGAACTTCATGTTGGGGCACTTGGGATCGGATTACCTGCAGGGATCGGGTCAGATTCACGGCGAAGAAAGGCAGGGATGAGCAGTCCATACCGGCGGCAATTAAACGGCAGTGCGTCCGCGCCTTGGTCGAGCTCAGGGGGCAAGCTTTTTAGCGCCTACTGCTGGTAGAGCGTGCATTGGGACGGGCCTTGGTACTAATAGGTTTAGCATGGCTCGCTGCTGTGAGATGGCACGACCGTGGGCGGCCAGCAGGAAAGCGAACGAAGGATGCAAGTGGATCGCAATCAAATTCCGTCGTCGCGATTCGATCACGGGGCCGAGCACGTGGGCGGCGCTTGCAACGGGCAGGCCTTAGGCCAGACTTAGGCCAGACTTAGGGCAGCCCCGGCTCGCTGCCGGAATGAGGAATTGACGATATCTCTCTGCCTGAAGGATTCTCGCTCAATCTCCGAAACTGCATAATCCGGCCATATTACCGAAAGGGTGGTTGGGTTCATCCTGAGGAAGCAAGCCCCACCGTCAGCATGCCAGCAGTCCGCTCGCGGTCAGCACCTACAAAAACACCATGGCCAGGCCGGCTGACAGGGTCTGGCAAGATGCCTGCACAGATGCGGTAGTCGTCCACGATGAGCTCCTCGGGGACGCAATATTCGGCGGCGTACCTGGCTCAATCGCGCGTCACGGAAGTGGTGGTGGGATACTCGGTCCCCATCCCCATCGAGATTCTGACCACCCTCTGGCGCCTCTGGATCAAACTGCGGCCGTCCTCGAAGAATGGCCTGGCGTTCGATGACTACCTCATGCTTTGGGCGACGGTGAGATGCCCTAGAGAGTGATGCATCGCGTCGTGTCCTAACTCGTCTGTTCGTGGATAGATCATTGGGGTTGGCGTGTGTGTCAGCGGGTTGGTTTACGGTGCGCTTAATCGGCCCGTCCCGAGAATTGGCATTGCTTGTGTCGTGTGCCCACTAACCCGTCTCTATGACAGGTCCTCCCTATGGTTTTGGTCGACATGTCGCTGCTCTTCCGGATGAGGAAGTTGAAACGTTCATGATGGTATGAAAAGGATTCCAAGTCATGGACCGCACATCTCCCCAATGGGCTAACGAACCCCCATGGCATCTAGGGCGACTACATCTTCAGTCACTTCTACGACGTCGCCATCGCCAGTACCAAACTCTCCGTGCTCGCCCTATACTATCGCATCTTCATCACGCCGAAATTCCGCCTCGTCGTTATCTGCACCGTTGTCTGGGTGATTCTCTGGCTCATGACCATGGAGATCGTCTTAGGGTTAGAGTGTCGACCGATCCAGAAATTCTGGAACTCCAGCGTGGAAGGGAAATGCTTCAACCTGGTCGCCTTCAGCTACTTTACCAATATTGCCAACCTCGTCACTGATATTTGGATCTTCCTGCTCCCGTTGCCGGTCATCTTGCGTCTGCAGATTACGAAGAATAAGAAAATCGGCCTCAGTTTGCTTTTCTCGGTTGGATTAGCGTTCGTCCTATCCTTTTTATCCTACATATCTATATCCCCTCGACGATAGATGAGCCCTCACTAACATCCCCAGAACCTGCGCCATCAGCGCAGCCCGCTTAACCGTCGTGGTCACTCAAGGCTCCTCAGACTATACCTGTACCTTCCCCCTAAACCACCCCCCTTCAACCCCCTTCTAACAACCACTCCTCCAAACCAGGGGCCGGCGTCCCCCTCGGCATCCTCTCCGCCTGGGAACCCCTAGGTGGAATTCTCTGCGCCAATCTCCCCGTAATCTACAAATCGCTCGCCTCCATCTTCCGCAATCTCAAATCCACCCTCCTCACCCGCAGCGCAAACCCCTCTTCCTCCTCCCATCACCACCACCAGCGACAATCCAAATCCAAATCCACCACCCACAACCACCACAACACCTGGCTGGAACTCCACAACGGTAGCGCCGGAGGGAAGAGTAGTTATCGGTCCGAGATCTCGGCGTTGAAGAGTCTCGATGATGAGACGGATGGCGATGCGACGGAGATGCAGGCTGTCGTGAGAGGGTTGAATACCATTTTGGTGGAGAGGCAGTTTGAGCAGGAGGTGGATTTGGAGGGGGCGGGGGATGATGAGGTGCCCTTGAGGGGGAAGGATGTGGGGATGGGCTTGGGGAAGGGGGGGTGATGGGGTTTTGGATTTGTCTTGTGGGTAGTTGTTTGGGCTATGTATATATGTAAATTGTGTGTTTGGGAATTGGAGTTGGTTCTTGTGGGCGTAGGCTACGTGGGTAACGGAGGGAGGGAGTTGGCTTTGGTAGAACTACCCCGGTAAGTGGTGATATTAACCCAGACTAGCAGTCGGTCTACCGTGACCTCCAGCGTAGCTACAACACAACATATTCAAGAGACCTATGGCACACGGGACATACACATACTCCACGAATTACCAAGCTCCATCCGATGGCCAACAGGAAATTCAAAGATACAATTTCAAGATCAACAAGGAAATCACACTCCACAACGCTGCAGCAAGGTATACTGGTATAAGAATAGAAGAAAGACGGATGAAAATGGACTCGGCCCCAGGTCCGAGTCGCGGCTAGAACTGAAATTGATATCGAAAATGGCGGCAGAGTCAAAAGAACCGATGCCCCAGAAGAAGATAAATAATAGAAGAAAAAAGAAAGGAACGATGAGACCGGTCTGGTCGAGACTCCCAACCGCAGGTGAACGCCAAATACAACAAGAAAAGAAGCTAAAAGGGTTCTCAAAGACAGACGAACAGAATCCGCAACACAAACAAACCCCCAGGCGCAAACGAACCCGGCCGAACGAGACGCCAAAATCAAGGCCAAAGCATCGCCCGTAGACTCCCGTCCCGATCAAACTCCGCATGCCAAACACTGCCAATGGATCGAACCCACTTCTCCGGTCGCCCGATCTAGGTGGTCTAAAATGGTGGAAAACAAGAAATTCATACCCGGCATCAATCTCCATCGTGCGGGAGCCAGGCACCGCAGGCGACCCCGTCTTCAAACCCGCGTGGATCGCTTCCGTAGCCCAAACTCCGCTTCCTGCAGTTCGCGAATCAAGCGAAGGCTCTCCGCATCCGGCTCCTCGTCCGCCACACGCTTCGAGTTCTTGCCCAGCTGCCCGGGAGAGGTCGACGACGCAGCATGCCGTTCGCCTTTTCGGTCATCCGTGGACCAGAAGCTCTTCTTGGCATGCGACGACGAGGAAGGCCGCGAGGACGACTTCTTGGAGCCCGAAGACGGTCCCGGGGTGGATTTGCGCCCACCACCGCTGGATCCGCCGAACGAAGAACGGCGTGCCGTGGGGGTTTGCGTCGGGGCCTTGACCAGCTTAGGAACATGAACTTCGGGCACATACCGGTCGACCTGGCGGGGTTGGCGGGAGGAATGGCGGGAGCTGGATGTTGGCGTGTGGAGGACCACCGCATGATCCCCTTCCCCGTCCACATGGTCATGAGGAACGTCTGTCTCATCGGCCAGCGAGGTCGGTGGTGATACAAGGGTTGCAGTCGGCTTAGAGACCGGTGCCGAGTCCATCTCCTTAGCGTCGACGGTGTCGGTCTGGAATGCAGGCGGCGAAGCGTACGAGGTCGGCCCGAGGGCCGCTTCCTTCTCCTCAACAGCTATATCGGATTGCTGGGGGAAGTCTTGATCAACCTGCGACGCATCTGCAAAGGGGCCATTGAAATCCAAGACGGGATGAGCATGGTCAGATAGGCGAGCATCCTGCGTCTCCAGCATATCACCCTCACGGCTGTTGCTAAGATGTGCTGGTCTCGACGTAGGCGATGTACTCTCCTGCTTCATCCGTTTGCTATGGATCGAGCTGGCACCCTCTTCGTTAGTGCGAGGTCGTTTGGCAGAAGCAGCAGCACGGGGCTTGGCTCGTTCTTGAGCTTTGACGGGGTCAATTCGACCATACTCGTCGTGAATACACCGGCGCTGTTGTGGTTTAGAATTAGCACTATGAGGACCAAAGTGGCGACAGTACGAACCTTGCTCTTCCGACAATCGTCACATGCCTTGCTACGGCCCTTCTTGCCGGTGTTGGCGCCTTCGGGGCTGGCATCATTGAGTCCAAATCCGTTGACAGGCGCACGCGGCGTACTCAATATGGCGGGGTTAAACTTTCCCGGGACATCGAACCGGTCCGCATTCCTGCCATTTCCATTGTCTTGGAAGCCCGCCTCCGATGCAATGGCAGCAAGTGAGTTCAGCGCCGACGCTGCATCGTGTGCCAGCGAATGGTTGCCGGTAGCAAAAGCGGCCACGGCCGTTTGCTTGCCGGAGACTCCGTCGTTGTGTTCGTCCTTGTGGTGACACCGGATCCTTCGTTTCCGACATGCGTCACAGGCAACTCGCTTGGGACCCAATCCGGAGCCCCGGGGTGCAGTGCGCGGCTTGGGAGCAGCCTCTTCTTTGGCTCCACTACTTAAGCTGTCTTGTATAGCGGTTCCGGAACTGGGGGGGATGCTGGAGCTGTTGAGGCTACTGAAGTCAGCAGAAGCGTCCTGGGGCTGCTCCGGAAGCCGCTGCACGGCCTGTCTCTCCGCGTACGTGCGCTGACTGTCAGCATTACGCTCGGAGCGACGACTGGGTCGTCCGGCGGGCTTCTTCTCCGCCAGACTGAGTTTGGCGTTGCTTTCAATCACCCCCGGACGAGTCCAATGCGGGGCCCTCTCATTGCCACGCTTCCAGGCCACCCAAATCCCGAACTTCCTCACTGCATCGATCGGGTCCCCGGACATCTTCGGTATCGATCGCCGGACTGCATTCCGGGCATCCATGGTTACGCCTTCGACAAGGTAGGAGCCCGCAATCAGAGCGGTGCGGAGGAGGTATTTTGCAAGATCGGGCAACCCTTCCAGTTCAGCCTGTGAATAGAAGCGCGCGTTATGATAGGGCGATCCGGCAGGTGCATGATTCGCTCGTTCTCCAAATTCATAGTAGATCGGGTATCCTCGGTGAAAGCGGTGGTTTTCGTCTTGCACGAACGCGTCCAAAACGCTCTGGGGTAGAGGGTCATCCTCCAGATACCTCAACGCGGTATACCATTGGATCTTCTGAAAGAATGGGTACCGAAACTTCCTTGGGACCTTGGTGTCCTTCTCAATCTGCGCGATCTTGATCTGCATCCCATAATTTAGCCTCGTTAGGAAGTTGCCGCCGATGACCAGGCTGTTTTCAGGGGTCCAAACGGCGTGGATCCAGCCTGATGGGATCAGCATCGTATCGCCCTCAGAAAGATCCACGCGGTAACATTCCTTGGTCTGGTCGCCGAGAAAGGTGGAATCCTGAGCGGGAGAATTACACCATTCTTCATACTTCTTCAGATGTTTGTCCTTGGGCGGGATGAAGAAGAAGGTCTTTTTGCCCTTCAGAATATGGTAATAGACGGATGACCCTCCAAAGTCGATATGAAAATCGGTGTAGCAGTCGGCAACAGACATCAAACAGTAGAACTGAACTTTCGGATAGTCCCCAACCGCCTTGAGTTCATCAGGCCAGACCGAGTCTTGGAGGTCAAGGTCACGGACAACCTTTGGTCGGCGGATCAACCGACCCAATGGGCTCTGAGATACCTCCAAACTGATAACGTTGCGGACCACCTTGTCGCCAGTGCTTTCGTAGTAATCCGCCCACTTCTGCATGGTCCACCTCTTATCTTCTCCCTGTTGTGACTTCACGTCAATGACTTCCACCCTTTCTTCCGGACCATACAGCTCCGCGACCCTGCGAACGGTGAGGCCTTGAGGAATTACCATGTCCAGCTGGTCCTGGCCGCAGTCCACGACTTGCTCGTGGCTCCTTTCGGCTTCCTCTTCGACGAGGTGCTCGAGCAACTCATCGAACATTTCTTGCGTGGGGGCTTCTTGGGCCAAGGTATCGAGCTCGGAATCGCTGAGCCAGACGGACTCACGAGTGTTCCATTCCGCGGGGATGACGATCGGTTCCGTCATGCCGTTGCCTCGCTCAAAATACTCGGCAGTGACCAGCTCCGGGCGCATCCGAGGGAAGCTTTCGGGGAGAAATTGGATTTTGCCCTGTCGAATGGGTTCAATGTAGTGGTGTTCCAACGAATCCGTCGCGGCCTTCACCAGCCCCTGGTTGAGGCCAGCATAATCAATAGCGGTACGAGCTCGAGAAGACTTCCGAACGAACGTAGTCTGACCATGGACTGGTCGGCATCCTCGGCAGATAAACTTGTCCACCGTCCGAATCTCGCGATCATTCTTGAACCCGGCACAGACGATGTGAAACCACCGCTTACAGCCGTCACAGCTGATCCATGTCACATCGCCTTGCTCGCCAGTGTCTATCGGAATCCGGACAAGATTGCAGGCTGCGCAACTAGCCTGGCTAGATTCCTCGGATTCCGGGTCGTCCTCGACCTTGGAGGGTTGGTCTGTTGGCATCTGTGTAACATCGGTCGCGTGCATTGAGCTTCGTACAGCGGACGGCATACCGTTCACGGTAGTTTTGGTCGTTGAGACCCAATGATCGTCTCCGGCCTCGCCTTCCTCCTGCCAGAGGATGGGTGGAAGAGTGGAGGAGCTCGTATTAGGCCGCAAGCCTTGGATCGCCGGGCGTGAGATTGCGGCCGATCCATCAGACTGTGACCTCAGCCGAGATGGTGGCAGGTTGTGATTCCCCGATGTATTATATGTGTATTTTTCGTCGTGGACCCTCCAGCTCAGCCCTCCGGAGTCCGCCGTGACATGCCGCTTTTGTTCATCCCCATAATGATAAAACGACTCGTCGATGCTGACTCGTTTCGCAGCAGAAGCAGGCGGATGAAAATTTGTGGGCCGCGCAAGGTTCAGCAAAAGCTCGGCGTCTGTCTTCATGCTGTCAAATAGCGAAGCAGAATTTGCATCCGGGACTGCCACTGTCCGGTGCTGGAGGAACGGGGACTGATCTTTTTCCGACCGCGGGCGCTTTGTCGGACGTTCTGCGGATTCTATAGGTTCGGGCGGAAATAGCGACATGGCGGGGGTGGAGTTTTGCGAGGGAGGTCTATAGGAAAGAGGTGCAAAGGTTGGACTCGTCGCTAAAGCGATCGTCGCGAGGGCGTCGATGGTTGAGCCGGAGCGGCCATGGCTCGACCGATGAGCCGCTGTCTCATCATCATGACGGTATCCAATGGTGTTCGGTATGAAGTGGTCGCGATCGGAGGCGGCAACTCTGGAGACGTTGCGGTCGACCCATGAGGCACGGAGTTCGGAGGTGGAACAGGGCGAGATAGGCTCGACGGCGCGTCGCGGCGGCGAGGGAGTGCGATACCGCGGCGGTCGGCTGCCGAGGGGATTCAAAAAGGATGTAGCAGTAATCATCCTGCGGGCTGGGGATGAGATGACAGACAAAGGAGGGAGAGAAAGGGCCCGGAGGAGGAGACAGGCGTGCTTGCGGCAGACGGGTGCAAAGCGGGGATCTTCGACCACACGGCTAGAGTAGGGCCACCGCAAACAAAAAGAGAGTCATTCCTGGCAGAATGAAGAGCGCACGGTAGACAATGAGATGGAACGTAGATCGGAGGGAAAACCGAGTGGATGGGGTGGAAGGGAAGGGTGACGGAGGAGAGTCGCACGGCGGAGAGGTTGAGGGGGGGAAGTTGAGAGTCTCTGCCGACTGGTAGTTCAGTCGAGAGCGGCGGGAAGAGAGCCCCCCGAGGATTGCACCGCGGCGGGTGCGGGCAGGGGGTGAAAGGCCTGGTCGGGATCCAGCAGGGAGCGACGGGATGCCTCAAAGAATAACGGAGGTCGAGCGATTGACAGGCTGCGCCAGATAATTAATCGAGAAGATGGGGGTGGGAGGGAGACGAGGCGCGAGGCTTCGTCGTCGGCCGGTCGAAGGAAGGCAAAGCGGGCGCGCCGCCGGTGTGCCTCAGGCCTGCCGTCCCTTGGACTGACTGACTGACTGTATCCTGTCCTATCGTTTGCGGCGAGCAATCCCGGAGAGGAACTCCTATAGATCCTACGATCACCACCCCCCCGCGATCTGAGACACAAACCCTGAGGAAACATATCGGGTGTCTCTCTTGACTAGGATTACATCTATAGACCTTCCCACCCCTGTCCGATTGCTCCCCGACCCCGTCCGTCGGCCGCAATGCCTCGGACGGTTTGGACGGTCTTCTCGAACCAACAAAGTGAGGCTCCTCCGAGCCGCTAGCCCCAATCAGGCAAGGCAGACTCCCTTCCGAACCTCGTGCTCGTCGCGGATATTGCTTCCCTCTCCCTCTTCCTCTTCCTCGATCTTCCCTCTCAAGTACTCTTCCCATTCCAGGCCCTTTGGGTATCTGATTCATCTTCAACCTCACCTGCACCCCATTTTTAGGACCTTTATTGTCCCACCCGAGAATGAGCCGGAAGCTCGCCCCCGAAGCCAATCGGTAAGTTCTGCTTGACGAATCTCTGCCCCTCTTTGGTCGCCCGCCATCATTTGACCCCGGATCTTCGTCCGGCATGTTGGCGGATGGCAAACCTGCGGGTCCGCGGAGGGTCATGCTTGACATGCAGGTGCTGACCGGTTTCAGGATTCTCTTTGTAAAGAACCTCAAGTATGTCCATGACGCTTAAATTCGCCCTTCACCCATACGCCGACCGTCGCATAGCTATCGACCGACAGCCCTTGGACAACAGGTGCTGTCTTTATTTTGAGGATAGGGAGCTAATCTTATGACCTTCGTGCAGCTACAACGTCACCGCTGAGCAACTCTTTGACCTCTTCGGCAAATTTGGTCCCATCCGGTAAGCCTGCGCATGCCTCCCACTCCGTCTGCTGGTTGGTCCAAAGCCTAATTTGTCCTTGTCTTCCAGCCAAATACGTCAGGGAATTGCGAACAACTCGAAAGGCACGGCCTTTGTTGTCTACGAAGACGTTCACGACGCCAAACAGGCATGCGATAAGCTCAATGGATTCAATTTCCAGAACAGATACCTCGTTGGTACGTACTTGTCGCGTGGCCGGAAGCGAAGCCGAGACTGCAGACGAGCCGATTGGCTGACATTGATATTACTCCCTAGTGCTATATCACCAGCCCGAGAAAATGCTTAGGTCGAAAGAGGACCTGGCGGAAAGGCAAGAGAATTTGGAGCGTCTCAAACAGCAACATGGTATAGAATGACGTGATGAATGCTTTTGCTCGCTTTCTCTGCATGCCCTTTGCCGGCATCTGGCTGCGTATTATCCTGGGTTGGTCGTGGGGTTTCTGGCGTTTTCCTCCTATGGGTTTGATGGCTCTGATTCATTCATGGGTATGAAAGGGTTGCCGGCGGGTTGAATGACACCCTGGCTTTTGTTCAGGGGAATGATACAGAATGGGATATTTCAAGCCGGTCGACCTTGTTGCACCGGTTCACAGTTACCAATATAATCATTTCGATCGCCGGCCACCTTCGGCTGCTGCGGCACACCTATGAGATATGAGTGACCTTGCTGTATGTTCTACCTTCTAAGTGACCCCGCCAAGGGTCTGTGTCCCAGCGACTGGAAAGACCACGTCAGTCGTAAGGGGTGGGCTGGGATTCGACGATCCTCCAACGGCCGTCAGTTGCATGGGCGGTGGATCGCATGTCTGGAGATCATGCATCGACTAGCGATAGACCCCCGGAGAATCTACGTAAGGCTAGGCAACTAGTGCGGTAGTTAGTATCGTTTCCTGAGCTTCGCTGCAACAGTCTCCACTCCCGAGTCGTTAACCGCGACAACCAGGCGCCAATGATATCCTCACAGTCGCGCAGGTGCAGTATCCTGGTGACATGCTTGGAATGTCAGGAACCGAGGACCAAATGACGGCAAATCCTGGACAGTTGGCTTGCATGCGCTAAGGCTCACCTGCGACGCCCAGTATCTACCCAAGGGAATTGCAATTGCAGATAAGGATCAATCCCTCCTCTATATACTCAGGGTGCAGACCGGTAGTACAATGTTTACGAGCCCGAAGTCCCGAACAGCCAGATGCTGCTCCGACCACGATCTGGGGATCGATCCACCTTCGGTTGATCTTCGATGACACACGCCGGCTGGGCCAGCCTGGCCAGCTTTATGCCTGACGGCTAAGGCTGTAATTATCATGCCTGGACTCTGAGGCAGCAAGGTCTTCCCGAACGCGGACCAATCCCAGCGTGGCACGCCATGACTCAGCCCCACCAACCAGTGGCTCTTCTAAAGATTTTCTTTTCGCGGCAGACCAGATGCGCTTCTACAACCACCTCTCCAGCCTTTAGATCTGCAACACGGCAGTGATCCTTTGCGTGAGCCTCTTTTTGACCGCTACACATCTCACCCCTACATCTTAAACATGTCTGAGACCTCTGCTGGTAAGCACATCGCAAATTCTGCTTCGTCGCAACATACTGATGGATTTTGCAGCCTGGCCCCTCGCCGATGAGGCCCTTACCCAGAACCTGCTCGACCTCGTGCAGCAGGCTTCTCACTACCGCCAGCTGAAGAAGGGTGCCAACGAGGGTATGTGATTGATCAGGAATATCACTGTGCGCCTGCCTGCTAACCGTCCTTGTAGCCACCAAGACCCTCAACCGCGGTACCTCCGAGCTGGTCATCCTCGCTGCGGACACCTCTCCCCTTGCTATCCTCCTTCACATCCCTCTCCTCGCTGAAGATAAGAACATCCCGTACGTTTTCGTACCCAGCAAGCTTGCACTTGGCCGTGCTACCGGTGTCTCTCGCCCCGTGATTGCCGCCAGCATCACCAGCAACGAGGCCAGTGACCTCATGGGCCAGATCCGTACCATCAAGGACAAGGTCGAGAGACTGATGATCTAAGGATTGGTCCGACTATGGGGATCCGTTAAGGGCAGATTGTGTCCCCTCTCGTTTTTGGGGAAGAACGATGGGATGAACCGCCCTAGGTTTTGACGGTCCATGACGGGTCATGATGGATTGTGATTTCGCACTGAGAATCAAGAACCATCCCATATAGATGGGTGGTGTACTTGTTCTTGGACACGCAATTGGCTCTTGTTGGCTCTTGTTGGACTTTTAAATGTTAGTGCAGAGATCAAGTCTTCATGACAAAATTCTTCCAGGCCATTCGTCAACATGAGTCTGGACTGACTCATTTCACGTGCATTGAAGGGGCATGTTTCTGTAGGACAGTAATCTTCACGTCGTAGTACTTCGTAGTTTTAAACTGGGAATAGTGGCACGGAGTGGTTCCGTCGATCAGGGTCAGGGTGTGTCTCGGGGCAATAAAGCGCAGGACCGCGCGATGAGGAGCTTGGCCGGCGCTAGTGAGACCAACTGCGGGGGCGGTGTCTCGTTGTGGCCAGCCCTGACCTCATGCCGCCTCTCCGCCCCATTCCAAAGCCTCCCATGAAACCCGCTTATTTTCTAGTTTCTATGCCCAGGTCTGCCTGGTTTAGGTTCCCTGCTCGTAAAGGAGGAGCCTTCCTCGTTTCTCTATCCAGCCTCGACTCCGTGCCTTCACCATCCATGCGCCTCTGTGCTGGTTGAGTTTATCACGTTTAGGAATCCTGTTCCGGGCTCCGTCTCATGCCCGTGACACGGACTTCCCTCGCAAGATAGGCTCGCCGTCGTCTTGCATGTCCGCAGGTCACTAGACTCCCCTCCCAGTTTAAACGCCACCAACAGCTTCGCCGTGGAAACTCTTCGGAACTGACCGACCTCTACCTAATCTCCCTATCTTCTTGCCTTTGCTTCCATCTGTACTCCCGACGGAGCTTTACCGACACCATGGCCTTCACATCGCGAGTCGGGCTGATCACAACAACAGTCATCGCAGCCCTCAGTAGCGGTATCGGTGCGTCGGCGGCTGACAGTCTGACCTCTGCCTCCAGTACCTTCGCAACACCATCGCCATCTCCATCGCCGACTATGCAAACGGTTCCTTTCTTTTTGGCCGGTCCAGAGACTGGGGATGGCGAGGATACCGGGGAATGCAGGCTTCTAGGGCCCTTTTCGCTTCTCGTCCAGGCCGCACTCGGGGCATTGGCGCTGCTGTCATTAGTCTACAAGCGCTGGAGAGAACGACCTCAGCGACCATTGAAGGTGTGGGCGTTTGACGTCTCGAAACAAGTCTTCGGGTCTGCGATGTTGCATCTGGCGAACCTACTCATGTCAATGTTCTCGGCGGGCCAGCTGGAAATCCGAAGCGAGTATAAGCCGAACCCATGTTCGTTCTACATCCTGAACCTGGGAATCGATGTAAGCTTGATGATTGCTTGTCTATGATATCACGACCCTGATGCCGGACGAGTGCTAACGGAAACTTTTGTTTAGACTACCCTGGGCATCCCTATCCTCATTTTCATTCTGCACCTCCTCAACCGCCTAGCCTCGTATACTCCGCTTGCAGACCCTCCAGAGTCTATTGAGTCTGGGAACTACGGTCGTCCACCTCGCGCCTCGTGGTGGTTCAAACAGTCCATAATCTACTTCATGGGGCTGTTAGGGATGAAGATCTGTGTCTTCTTCCTCATCCAGCTGCTGCCGTTCATCGTCAAGGTGGGAGATTGGGCTCTCCGATGGACCGAGGGCAACACGGCTGTGCAGATCATCTTCGTGATGCTACTGTTCCCTGTCATCATGAATGCGATCCAATATTACATCATTGACACGTTCATCAAGAAGCCGTTGTTGCAGGATACCCTCGAGTCTGGGCCAGAAGGTGAGGACTACAGTCACGAGCATCGCCATGCCCTGCTGGCGGGTCTGGACGACGAGTCCTTCGAGTCGGACGAAGACTCCGTAGGAAAGGATGATGGGGCGGCCTTGGATAACCCGGATCAGGGCAAGGAAGATCTAGTCCGGTTTGAGTCTGCCGAATACAATCCGGCGGTTCACGGTGAACGCAGCTCTGCCTCATCCGCGTCGGCATCAGCCAGGTCGGGCAGCAGCCATGGCGAATATGGCCAGCTATCATCGTCCACCAAGCTTGCGTCTCGCGAGAGGGACTGACATGACACTCCACTCACGTACTTTCATGTGGCGTTTGGTGATTTCACGGTTGTTTGTTTGCTTTATGGCAGTAGGGCTTGTTATGCATCTATGGGTTGGACTGAAGGGCGTGTACATGAGGTTAGATTTTTAAGTTGCTATTGTCTTAATTGCCTGCCTTTCGCGAGTTCGTCCACGAGACATAATACAGACAAGAAATACAAGACATAGTGCTGCCTGAATTCGTAGGCACCCGCGGCACGGCGCCCACCGCACGCCTCACCGCCCACATCTGCCGGCCGCCGAAGAAAATTATTGTCGGCGGCTTCATCACTTCTGCGACAACCATTGGCGAAGGGGACAACTGGCTGGGTTGCATTCCTCTAATAATACTTATCTAACACTCTCCCCGGATCACAGCCATCCATTTACCCTCAATCGCAATCCCTCAGGGAAGCTCCACCACAATGCCCAAAGCCGGCGTGAAGCAAAAGACCCGCCAAAGGGTGAAAACGGCCGCGCGCTCGCCCTTCGAACCGGGCCAGCCGATTCGCAATGACGACGACATCGACATGGACGATGAAACCAGCTCCGATGAGTCGGATGTGCCTGAGAAGGATGACGCCGAGAGGAAGCTCGAGGCCATGCTCTTCGGCGACGACGAGGGATTTCTTGGCGCCCTGAAAAACCAGAATGAGCGCAGTTTGGTGCTGGCGGATAACAGCGACGAGGGGTCTGCGGACGAGGACGATGAGAATGAGGAGGACGCGCGCGACTTGGCGGAATTGGATGATGCTGATGTTTGTGATCTTGCCTTTCGTTTTGGTGTCCTGCGGGGTAGTTGCTAATCGGTGTGGGTTGTGATGTTAGCTTTTCTTCCTTGATTCGGGTGCTGGACCGGTTTCTACGGAACTTACTGAGGCGCCGGCGACGCCGTCTGATGAGGAGGGAAGCGATGAGGAGGCCGGTATGCCGGCGCTGTGGCATGATAGCGATGATGAGCGCATTTCGATCTCGTTGGCGAGCCACCAGCGCCTGCGGAAGCTGCGCGTCGCTGAGTCGGAGGATGTTATCAGTGGCAAGGAGTATATCCGGCGACTTCGCAGACAGTTTGTGCAGTTGAACCCGATGCCGGCTTGGGCGGACCCGGAGAAGAACCAGCCGAAGAACGACTCCGATGCAGAGGCAATGGATACCGATGATGAGGAGGCGTCGTCCACACAGCCCCTGGCTAAGCTGCTCCAGAGCGCTACCGACCTCGTCAAGCTAGAGGACAAGACGGCACCAGGTGGCCGCAGAAAGCTGCGCCAGGAGGTTGTGGATATCCATCGCCTCAAGGATGTCGGCAAAGACCAGCCGGTAAGTCTTTAGCCTTCGCGCGCACACATGTGCTACAGAGCTAATCTGATATTCTACAGTCATCGGTCGACTCGCTCATGTTCCACCCTCACTACCCGCTGCTGCTCTCCTCCGGACCTGCAGCCACGCTCTTCCTCCACCACATCTCCCCCTCCTCCCCGGCTCCTAACCCTCTTCTCACCTCGTTCCACATCCGCAACACCCCCATCCACAGCTCGGCCTTCCACCTCCCCACAGGTAGCCGCATCTTCGCATCCGGCCGTCGGCGCTACTTCCACATCTGGGACCTGGAGACCGGCAAGGTGGACAAGGTCAACGGCACCGCCGACCGCAAGGAGGAGCAGAAGTCCATGGAGCGCTTCAAGCTGTCGCCCTGCGGCCGCTACGTCGGTCTGGTCGGCTCGTCCCGCAAGGGCGGTGGTCTGATCAACGTCTTGGACGCCGGCACAGCGCAATGGATTGCCCAGGTGCGGGTGGACGGCCGCGGCGGAGTCGCCGATTTCGCCTGGTGGGGCGACGGCGAGGGTATGACGGTGGCCAGCAAGAACGGTGAGGTCTCGGAATGGGACGGCCGCCTGAACCGGGTGGTCGCTCGCTGGATGGACGCAGGTGCCGTTGGCACGACGGTGCTCAGTCTGGGTGGCCGGTCCGGCCGCACCCAACTGGGTGGTGACCGCTGGGTAGCCATCGGCAGTTCCAGCGGCGTGGTCAACGTCTACGACCGTCGCGAATGGGCGGCAGCCTACGCCACGGACCCCGAGCAGGCCATCCCGCGCAACCCGGAGCCAGTCCGGGCGCTGGACCAGCTCACCACGCCTATCAGCCATGTGGTATTCTCTCCGGACGGACAGTTCTTCGTGATGGCGAGTCGCTGGAAGCGTGATGCATTGAGAATGGGTATTTCCCCCCCCAAGAGAGACGATTATATCACGGAACCGAGCAGACCAGACTAACAACATATACAGTTCACCTCCCCACCTGCACCGTCTACCGCAACTGGCCGACCTCCAACACGCCCCTGGGCCGCATTTCCTCCGTGGCCATCTCGCCCAACTCGGAGTACTTGTCGGTGGGCAATGAACAGGGACGTATCCGACTGTGGGAGATCCGGGGGTGATGAAGTGGTAGATCCATGCATACATACGGAGTACATATTACATATATTATAAAAGTTCATATTCGTGATAGACATGCCTACTCCTACTAACTCCGGAGTACTTACAGCACATGTCAAAGCTACTACCGCCACGGAGGCCAAAGAGGATACATATCCCTTCTAGCTACTGGTGGAGGGGGTGTAAGGATGTCCCAACAGCATATAGCGGTGGTAGTTAGTACATACATGACTGAACTGGTTGTAATGTTCGTATTGATATAGGATCCCGGTAACCCTAACCGGCTCTCTCGAGCCCAGCCCACTGCCGAAATAACATTCCCTCCACGCAAACCCGAACGCAGTAAACCGGCCAATAAGTAAATAAATGGGGTAAATAAAAGAAGCATAAAACAAGAAGACCCTAATTCCACCCAAAGATATCGATTAACCCATCAATCCATCGAACAAAATCAGAGACAAGAAAGAAGAAGAAAAAGTCATCCCCAACAACCCATCAACACACAAGTTCCTCATCATGGATCGCTGAATAGAGAATCTTGGATCGGTAGGCAAATAGCCAAGGAGGGAGAGAAATAGACAGTTTACTGCTGTCCCGCGGTAGTACCCTGACGTAGACCCTATTCAGAAGAATGGGGGTTAGTGATCGATATCCAGTGTAAATATACACTACCTCCCTCCTCTTTCCCTCTCCCTTTCTTTCCGTTCCTGTCTAGACCCCTAACAGGGCCAAGACAAGACAAGAAAAAGAAGAGACCCAGCGAGGGAGGCATAGTGAATCAAGGGACTCAACTCACCAAAGAACCCAACTACAACAACACAACTCATTAGCCATCATTCACAAACCAAGTTACCCCCAAAGACAAAAAAAAAAAGGGAGGAATAAACTTACCAATCCCAAAATCCCCGAAAGCTACTCCCCCAAGCATCACCCTAACGTCAGCAAATACGTTCTTCGCTTTATACACCCAACTATCACTCCCCATACAAAGAAACCATATAACCCGAACAACACAAAACCAACCTAGGGAGGGAGAATTCTTACAAAGTCAAGCGGGCTGGAGGACTGTAGATTCCATCACATACACATTAGCAACCCTTGCGACGAATATAATAGGTAATGATCCGAGAGGATGAGAGAAGAGGATATGGGGAGGGAGGAGGAGAAGAAGAAGAGAGGGGGCATACATCTTGATCAGCACCGGCATCAGGGCCCTTGTCACCACCATCGGCTCCCTCGTCATCCCCGCCTTGGTCGTCACCGCCCTGGTCGTCCCCGTCGCTCTCATCGGCGAGCTGGGCGGTCCCGTATTGCTCGGTCGCGGCCGCAGAGGGACTGGCCAGAGCGACGGCGCTGGTAGTGCCCGAAGGGGCGGCGGCGGCCATGTCCTTCTTGATCAGAGGATGGTCGTTGTTAACGGCGGCGGCGAGGGCCGTGCTGGCCGTGAGGGCCGCGGTGAGGAAGGCCAGGGAGAGCTTCATTGTGATTGGATTGGATTGGATTGGATTGGGGAGTAGATGGGATAAGGGCAGGAAGTGAATGAGGATGGAATGATGGAGGGAAAGGAGCAGAGCGTGCGGATAGAGCTAGCTAAGGCATATATTTATGTCCCATGGATCCGACGGAGGATGGAGCTCAGTCGTGGTAAACAGACTGCTGCCAGGCACCCGGGACATGGATGCAGCCGGTCATGTTGACAATGGCAGACATTCCGGTCCAGTGGCGATCGGTTGTTGGGCCAGGCTGTTTGTTGACAAGCAGCTCAGCTGTGAGGATCTACGACGGTCATCGGGTCTCTACACAGGATGATGCTCGGGCATTCCGTTCGGCACGGGGAATGTCAGATCCCTAATGGCATTCCTCCGCCCTTCACCCGGGCTACACTTCCTCTCGACTTTCCGCAACCCGTTCGGGCAAGCTTTGTTGCTCGCGCCAGGGATGCGGTTGGTGTCTCCACTGGACTGTCATGCAGGTCCAGTCACGAGCTCTGGAATTACACATCCAAGTCGCCCGCTCTTGAATCTCCAAGGAACGGCGATCATCCGTGTATCAAAACTCTTCGTAGTAACTGAAAGCTTCATGCCTTGTGTAACTGTATATTTTCATTCCGCCCAGATTCCCTCGTCACAACACCAAACAATTCCAAAATCATGCGCCAGTCCACGTCATTATAGGAGCGTCTTCATCTCGGCCATGTTGCGGATACCAGCCAGGTTGCCCGCCTTGACCCGCTTCAGGGTCAGCGCCGCAATGAGAGCCGCACCCACACCGGATCCATCCTCGGCCGCCAGGATGGTCACCTTGTCCTTCTCCTCGGGAGCCCAGTCCAGGATCTCCCGCAGGGCCTGCGCACCGCGCGCCTTGAAGTGAGGGTACTTGGTGAACACGGAGCCGTCCGCACCAACGTGGCACGACTCAATGCCCTTCTTCTTGCAGATGGCGGCGACACCGCAGGCCGACAGGCGAGCGGCACGGGTACCGACCAGCTCGGCCAAGCGGCGGACCATCTCCAGCTCGGGCTGGGTGGCCTTGATGTTCAGCTCGCGCTCCAGGAGCTCCTCGGTCTCCTCCAGGTTCTCGTAGGGGTCCTCCTCAATGGCCGCCAGGAAGGAGGCATCCAGGATGTAGGGCTTGCGCAGCTTGGTGGTGTCCTGGCCGTTGAAGATAAGGCCAGGGCGGTTCTCCACCAGGTCCACCAGGGCCAGACGGAAGATCTCACCGAGGTACAGACCGGCGGTCATCTTCTCAAAGGCCTGCTGGCCGGGACGGGGCGAGTCGCGGTCGATGATGTGGTCATACTTGGTGAGGGGAAGCACGATGTGCTCGTTGTCGAACGCACCGTACTCGCAGTTGATGGCCACGGGCATGTCGGGGGGCAGGTTCATGTGGGCCAGCTTGGGGACGGAGCCGACGTTCTCCATGTAGGCGGCGTTGACACCGGTGCCGAAGATGCAGCCAATCTTCATGTCGGAGTCGGTGTAGGAGGAAGCGATGAGGGTTCCGGTGGTGTCGTTGATCAGCGCAGCCACCTTGATGGGGAGGCCCTATAGTCGCGAGGTCAGCCGGGTATCTGCTAGTGGGGAGTTAGAAGTCACTTACTCGCTTCTGCAGGATCGACTCCAAGGGAGGAACAACATCCTGGCCCTCAACACCGTCAATGTCGAAACCCTTGGTCCAGCGCTGAAGGACACCGTGGTCGATGTAGTCCTGGGTGGCGGGGTAGGAGAAGGTGAAACCCAGGGGCAGCTTGGAGACCTTCTCGTTCTCGTGGTGGGACTCGATGAACTGCTGCAGGCAGTCGGCAATGTACTCCCACAGCTCCTCGGCGGTGCCGGTCTTCAATTCCTCGGGCATGCGGTACTTGGACTGGGTGATGTCGAAAGCACCCTTCTCCTGGGTCAGGGTGATCTCACAGACACGCAGGTTGGTGCCGCCCATATCGAGGGCGAGGAAGGTTCCTTGCTCGTCGCCATCGGGGAATCCGAGGACCCAGGTGACGTTCATGGGCTGGGAGAGACAGGGTCAGTCGGTCCGTGGGTGAAATGGGACAATTGATCGAGCCGGGACACTCACGATGTTACCCCCCTCGACACTGAGACCTGTTGCGACGAAGGGACCGGGTTAGTCGGGGATGATGCTTTGCTTCACGGGCCGAATTAGGGGCCGGGATGGTGGGGGGGGTGGCGGCACGTACCCTTCTCCAGCTCCTTGATGAAGTGGTCGACGATCTTCTTGAGGGTGGCACGATCGACGGTGAACTGCTCCTCGAAGTCCTTGATCTGCTGCAGGAGGTTCTGGGGGACATCGGCCATGGAACCTGGGGGCGAGCCATTGGGTTAGTGATCGGCATCCCGAGGCAGAGAAAGGGAGCAGCAGTAGAGTAGAAAACTAAGTACCCTTGCGGGAGTGGGGGCGCTTGGGACCGAGTCCGACCATGATGACAAGATGCGGGGGGGGAGATGAATTTGATGGGGAGGAAGGAGGAGACTGAAAGTCGGGATGATGGAGAAGAAAGAAGAAGAGGAGGAGGAGGAGGAAGAAGAGAAGAGAGGCAGAGAGACCAGAGAAGCACAGAAGCACAGAAGAGGGGAGAGGAAAGTTCGACGGGAGAAAATGACGTGGGGCAGAAACAGGAAGGCACTCAGGCAGAACAAGAATCCGTAATAAACCAAAGGACCGCCCCGCAGTGGAGGGAAAGAGAAAGCGCCCCGATCAATCCAGCAAACCCTCACCGGCTGTTGCTTTGGGAGGTGCCCGGATCGCGGCCCTCCGACTCTATTTCTACTCTTCCCCAGATCCCCTCCATTATTGGCTGGGGGTTGGAGCTATCATGATATGACATGCTGGTGGTGGTGTGGTGGTGGGAGGGTCGTTTGCAGCATGGAGGGGTATTAAATGGCATGGATGCATCTGGCCAGAGAGCTTCATCTTCCTCGTGCAGGAATGTTGGTCCCCCCAACCCCAACCCCGTGAATTCCTTCTCAGGCAGTAGATTCATTACGACGATCGTGTGTATCATCATCACCCTATACTCCGTCCCAGTACATATCTAGATTATTTTATTCTTCCCGATCCCCCATCCGTGGCGAAGCTCCGAGAAGCCCCAGGAACCCGTCTGCCCGACCAGCTGGCCGCGTCCAGTCAGAATCACTCGAACCAGCCACCCAACGCCATCCCACATGTGATGTGCTCCAGCATCCTCACCTCCCTTCCTTAGCCCGCGCCAGATGCGGGAAGACATGTGCCAGGCCCCCAATCCGGTCCGTCTCCTCATCCCGCTTCGTATTCTCCGCAGCTTCCGCCGTCTTGCTGGCCTGGCGCTCCAGATGCTGCCGCACCCGCTGCTGGTATGCATTGGAGATGCCCAGCGTGCGATCAACCTCCTCGGTCAGGCGATCCACCTCGTCTTGGAGCCGCTCCTCCCTCGTCTGAGCGGGTGCATCCTCCGCCTCCCGTGCTCCCTTATCCGGGTTCGTCGTCTCCCACAGCTCCTCCAGCTCCTCCCCCCAGCCCAGCGCCCGCGCAAATTTCCTCACCCCGGTGTCGCAGTCGCCCAGGATCAGCACATCGTCCGGTCGGGACCCCAGCCCGCCCACTCGTTCCATGTTGATCAACACCCGTGGACATCCCTCCCGACAGAACACGGGCAGACTGGCAAATGGCTGCACCGTCAGACTAGTTCCCATGACGATGCAGAGGTCGGCTTGTTCGGGGAGCTCCCGGTTATCGAAAAAGTCGGACGGCAGCGACTCCCCGAAGAAAACAATGTCCGGCTTCACCAGCCCCTTGCACTGGACACAGTGCGGTACCTCCGCCTTCGCAATAGCCTCTTTCATCAGGTCGTCGGGATATTCGGCCTTGCAATCAATGCAATGCTGCGTCGCGAAGCTGCCGTGCGCTTCGACGATCATGTCGCCCGGCACCCCGGCGAGACGCTCCAGACAGTCGATGTTTTGTGTGAAGTGCTTCATCAACAGACCCTTGTCGTAGAGTAGCTTGATAAACGAGTGTGCAATGGTGGGCCGGTACTGGCCCGGGGCCAGTTCCCGGGCCAAGGCGTAGAAAGGCCGGGGATTTTCGCGGAAGAAACCAATGTCGAAGACCGCTTCAGGCTCCGGCAGGTCTAGATACTCTAAATTGGAGTAGATGCCTGTGTCTGGGGAGCGGAAATCCGGGATTCCAGCCGAGGTGCTGATGCCAGCTCCGACCTGTGGTAGTGACCGACCATTTTCCGGTTAGCGGGAGGGGGGGGGTTCTCGTTTTCTCGAACACATGAATGCGGGGAATAGGGGGACATACCATCACCACCACGCGCTGCACCGATCGTTGCTCAATGTACTTGGCCACAGCCTCGATCGTACGCGCCTCTAGCACGGCAGGCGACGTATGCTCGTCCACCATGGTTGACGGTTCGTTGCCCATGGTGCGCGGCCGGCGACCAGATTTGGGCGGGGCTTGTTGGTATCGGGGTCTGTGACGGCGGCCGATGATGGCGAGTGTCGATCAATTCCGAGGATTCGGGGCGATGGCGTCCAGGAGCGGGCGTTGTAGCGACAGTCGAGCTGGGAGAGAGGGTCGAGGCAGTGAGGGGAAAAGCCCGACTGGAAGCTGGAGATGACGTCGAATGGCACCCCGGCAGAATTCGTTCACCTCGTCGTTGCCTGAGGAATCCACCGCGGACCACCCGACATGGCAATTCCTGGGATTGGGGTCCAAACTATAAGAAGTCGAACGATCGAAGAGCAGGCAGCTGCTCGGAATATTCGACATCCGCTAATTCAGCGAATTCCCATGGATCTACACGCCGTCGGGGAGAAGCTCGACCACATCCCTGCAACCCCTCGGCAGCTCACCGCCTCCGGGCCGCGACGCCAGATGGCTTTCCATCCATCGGACTCCCATCTTATCTCTCCCTTTCTCTCTCTCTTCCTCCCCCTGTCGCTCTCCTCAATTGCATCTCGCCGGTCCTTTTGTGCGGACAATGGCCACCCCCACGGTCGGCGTGGCCAATGGTCATGCTGGGGCCCCCTCGACCCCCTCGCACCCTCCCGCGGACATCTTCAATGCCAGCTCCGTCGCCGAGATCAAGGCCACCTTGTCGCACCTGCACGACCAGGAAGCATCCGTCACGGCCCGTCTGGACGCCCTCGTGGCCTCCCAGAAGGACTTCTCGCGAGAATTCGGCCGACTCGACTTACTCCGTGCCCATCTCGGCTCCCAGACCAGTACCACCCGCACCATCAGCCATGCCATGCTGTCCGACGCCGCAACCACTGCCGACCGCATCTCCAGCGCCGTCCGTCGTCTCGACTTGGAACAATCTCGCGTGAAGGCAACCTTGGAAGTGGTCGAGCAAGTGTCTGAGCTCAAGGCCTGCGTGCTAGGCGTCGCGGGTTCGATGGGAGCACCGCAGGACTGGGAGACAGCGGCCAGCTACCTGAACCGTGCTTCCAAGATCGCTCCGGAGGTTGCGCAGGGTGCCTTTGCAGCGGAGATGGTCCCTACAGCTGAGGTGCCAGACCCGCCGAATGTTACGCTCGACAACGCAGCCGAGTCACTCTGTGGCTTGTTCCTCCGCGAGTTCGACAAGGCTGTCAAGGAGAACAACGGGGCGCGGATCACGCGATTTTTCAAGCTGTTCCCCCTCATCGGCCGCTCGGAGGTGGGCTTGGATGTCTACGGCCGCTATGTCTGCCAGGGCGTGGCTGCCCGAGCGCGATCTAATCTCAATGCCGGCACCGGGGCTTCTGCGAACAAGGACGGCTTCTTCTACGCGAACGCCTTGACCAAACTGTTCGAGCATATTGCGCAGATTATTGATGGACATGGTGGCCTGGTGGAACGCCACTATGGGCCGCGCAAGATGAACCGGGTCATCGAGCGTCTCCAGGTGGAGGCCGATGTCCAGGGCGGCATCATCCTGGACACCTGGAGCGACGAGAGGCATGTCGACCGCAAGCTGACCGACACCAAATCCTACGCCTTTACCTTCCTTGTGCAGAGCTTCCTCCCTCCCCAGCGCGGCGGTACCCCCCGGTCTCATTCGCCTGCCGTGCGGGACGCATCCGCTGCGGCCGACGACGAAGGCGTAGACATGAAGGAGATCGACGGGCTTCTCAACGAGATGGCCGTCATGCTTGGTCGCTGGTCGCTGTACTGCCGGTTTTTGGCAGACACCTGCAATGTGAGTCCCAATCGAAACCCGTCTGATGCCCCCTAACTGACCCCTGATCAGCCGCCCGGAGACGAGGACCAGAAGTTCTCTCTTCCGCCGTTCCTTCGGGACTCGACCCTGTCGAAGAAGATCAACGACCGCCTGGCCGGTCCGTTCAACACCATGACCACCTTCTTCTTCCGCCGGTCGGTCGAGAAGGCATTCCAGCTGGACGAACAGCCCTCGGGCCTGACCCTGAACCCGCAGCGACCGCTCAAATCCGAGCCGCCGCACATCACTTCCGCCGTCGACGACATCATGTACATCGTCAACAAAGTCCTGCAGCAGTCCCTTGCCACGTCGCAAATCTCCGTCGTGACCAGCGTTGTGCCCACGCTCTCGCGCGTCCTCGGTTCCGACTTCATCGGCATGACCCAGCGCAAGATGCGCGACGAATGCTACCCCCGCGCCGCCGTCCAAGGCACCCAACCCCCGGAGCAGCTTGTCCTCTCCTTCCTCGTCCTCATTAACAACCTCGACGTCGCGGTTGACTACGTCCGCCGTATCCTGCAGAATCACACGGAGCCCCAAAAGTCGGTTGGCCCCGACGGCCAAGTCCAGGAGACCGACCCTCTCCGCTCCCTGTTCCCGGTCCCGGAGGACGCCCGCCTCGCAACCCAAACCCTCCAGTCGCTCTCTGCCTCGTTCGAGTCCAAGGTCACCGACCTCCTCACGGACGGCATCCAAGTCGTCTTCAACAACGTCATCAAACACCGTCTCCGCCCCATCCTCGCCGACGCCTTCCGAGACATCGAGTACCAACCGCGTGAGGACACCGACCCCACCCGCACCGTCTACAACGACTACGACTCGGATGAGCCGGACTTTGTCGCCGATGGCGCTGTCCCCGACGACAACGACCCCACTAGCCGAGCCGAGCTGGTCCGGCCGCGCTTCGCCGCTGCCTGGACCGAGTTGCTCCTCCCGCTCTGTCGCATCCTCACGGCGTCCGCCTTCGACCGTCTCCTCACCGTCACCGTGGCATACCTAGCCCGTCTCCTCGAAAAGCGACTCTGGTCATACCACGGTCGGGTCAACGCGCTGGGTGCCACTCGTCTCGAACGGGACGTGTCGGGTGTGGTGAACGCCGCCGTGGACGTGGGCGGCACCCAAGCCGCGCCGGGCCGATACCGCCACCGGGAGACCTTCACCCGGTGTCTGCAGATGGTGCTCGTGATGGGCATGGACGAAGACGAATGGGAGGATGTCCTGCGCGGCGGCGAGACCGCCGAGGTCGTCGATAAGCTAAGCCGCGAAGAACGAATGAGAGTCCGGGGCATGGTGCGACGTGTTTAACCTCTCTTGTCTTTCTCTAGTACTACTTCCATGCTCCCAGCCTTATTTTCCTCTCCCCTTGACCCTTGGTAACTACCTGGAGCCTCCTTCTATCTGTATATACCTCCTAGCTTGTTATCTTCTTATGGATATTTATTTCTTCGCCCCCCTGTGATTCTCAGATTAATCAAGACATCCTATACCACTTAACCCACGGGAATAAATTACTCAAAACATATATCCCATAGACCGCTGTCAGCCAAGTACTAAAGGTACTCCCTCAGACACACTAGAATCACTACTATACTAACATGAATGAATCCATCCCCTCCCCCAACCCTACCCGACTATACAACCCGAACCCATCCCTCCATTCACACATACATAGTATATATATCCCCACCACCCCCCACAACTAACATTCCCCCCACCCAAGAAACCAATAAACACACCTCAGGACTATGGCCTTGATCATCAGACACTATCTTTTATATACATACCCATTTTACACATGTACAGATCAACGAAATCCGGCCCAGATACTCCCTTCTTAATTGGGTAAGTACTAGACCGACTGACGTCGGGGTTTCCAGACACGTGCTCACCTGCCGGATGGGTTTAGATTACGTTTCTGAACATAAGGGTACGTCTGTCGCGTGGGTGACAGGCTTCTCCACAGTTCGAGGTACCTAGTATTCTGTGGGGTACATGGTTTGCTGTTGTTTCAGTGGGAGGTTTCGGGGTGGCATCCATGGTCTGCAGGTCACTCGTATCAGATGTAGAATCATCAATTGACTAATCTATGCTGCTGGTATCAATCCTGAATCATATCTAGCTCAGAAATCAAACTCCCCGCTGATAACCTAATATATACAAACCACCCAACAGGTAGGTTATACATGACCCGCGGGTTTTTGTCCCATAAACGCCCAAACCAAATCGCCGCCAAAAATAATACATGTACAAGAAATGGCTCAGCCGGGCTAATCAGAACGGCAACGCTGGATATCACAAAAAGACACAAAACATTAGGGTTATAGGGAATCCCGGCTCAGGTCGTGACCTTTTCGTTGATCTGAGTCGCGGGCACAGGCTCCTCGACGGGGACCGGCTCGGGCTCGTGCGGCGCGTGATGCTCCGCCACCTGTCGCGGGGCAGGCTGCATCTTCAGCTCCTGGATGCCCGAGTCGCCTTCGCTGCAGCCACGGCTGTCCACACCGACCGGGGCGTGGCCGTCCAGCATCATCTCACTGTGCTCGCCGATTCCGTACCGCGCAGCGGCGGGGATCTGGTGGCCGTCTTCGAGCTGGTTGTGCTGCTGAGGGGTCCAGGCAAGGTAGTCACGACGGACTTCAACATAGTCGTAGGCGAACTCTCCCAGCTGGTCGTCATCCATACCCAGCAGCTCGGCTTCTTCCGAGGCACGTAGTTTCAGGCCGGGAATGGCGTTGATGGCATACGCGATGATGGCGGACATGGTAAAGGCATAGGCGCAGGTCGCCACGATGTAGGCGATTTGGATGTAGAGCTGCTTGTAGTTGTGGATCACCCAGCCGCCAGCCTTGGACCCGGTGTTGACTCCGTCCAGACCGACAATGGCGTCGTCAGCGAAGAGGGCGTTGAAAAACAGGCCAACAATGCCAGCCACACCGTGTTCTGCGAACACATCCATCGAGTCGTCAATGCGAATCCAGTATTTCACTGTGGCCGTCAGTCAGGGATCTCACGATGAAGACAGCCATGGAGGACTTACCCTTAGTGGAGTAATTGCAAACAATACCGGTCACAATGCCCAAGATAACACTCGCCCACGGAGGGATGAAACCGGATGCCGGGGTGGCTGCGACCAACCCGGAGATGGTCCCAGAGCACCAGCCGACCATGGACCACTTCCGAGCCAGCCGCCAATCGAGCAGAACCCAGGTAATACCCGCAAAGGCACCGGTCAGGTTAGAGTTCCAGCAAGCCATGGTGGCACGAAGGTTCGCCCCAAATGCCGAGCCACCGTTGAACCCCAGCCATCCGAACCAAAGAAACACGGTACCCAGAAGAATGAGGGAGACGTTGTGAGGGCGGAAGTTCAACATCATCCGCTCTTGGCGACGACCCAGGACCATCGAGTAGGCGAGAGCAGACAGACCAGAGCCGATCTCGACCGGGCCGCCACCCGCGTAATCCAAGACACCATATTTGTAGGCCCAGCCGTTCACGTTCCACGCCCAGCATGCCAGAGGACAGTACACAATTGTGGCCCAGATGAAGACAAACACCATAGCCGGCAACATACGTCCACGCTCCGCCACAGCTCCCATGATAATCGCTGCGGTAACACCACAGAATTGCATCTAGCCCAGTCAAGTCAGTCGGTGGTCCGGGGAAGCGATGGTCAAATGTCAGTCATACCTGGTAGAAGGCGTAGAGAAGGTTAGGGATGAGCGGCGAGCCGGGGCTGGGATCAGCCAAGGTCTTCATCAAGCCGAAGTTGCGCAGGTTACCGATGTATCCGTTGGTTGCGGTGGGCGAAAAGGCGAGGGAGTACCCCCAGAAGTACCACTGGAAGGTGACGACGGAGAACGAGGCCATACAGGCCCAGATCATACTCAAGGCCGACTTACGGCGCGCGAGACCGGAGTAGAGGAAAGCGAGACCGGGCACCATGACCATGACCATGGCCGAGGCGACGATGATGTAGGCTTGATCGCCGGATTGAAACCATTTGTTCAAGTTTTCCGTTCCTAGCCAGCAGGTGAGTCACAGGGCCATCACAACCAGTAGAAACAGGGTCACCCACTGGAATCACCCCCGATTTCATTGGTCGTGAGCGCCTCGTAGTCGGAGGGAGCCCCCGTCCAGTTGTACGAGGCATATTGCGGGATGTAAACGCCTACTTTGTCCGCCATGGTGCAGATCTATCCGAGGGAGGTTGAATACGAATTGATAAACCGGGTGGTTCAGGCGGACGTTGTCGTGGGGGAAAAGAATTCGAGGTCACCACCGCCGGGTTGTCCTCGGGTCGAGAACAGGCGGGTGGTGGAGGAAGAAAAGTAGGAAGTGGCGGCAGGGAATGCACTAGCGAGATCGGACCGAGAACCAGACAGGAGCAGAGGGAAGAAAGCTATCTGCCGGGGGCGGGGAAGTAAGTAGGAGGTGTGACGCCAACGGACGGATGGATGGATGAATGGATGGATGAAAGCTGAGCGGGAGTCGAGCCGAAGTGTCGAGAGTGAGCGAATGGCACGGGGAATGCGAGACGGAATGCCGTGACTGAAGAGGGAGAGAGAGAGAGAGGAAGAGAGAAAGAGCAGCAACGAGCAAGACTCCGCCGGATGTGGAGAAAGGAAAACCGCCACGGGGGGGCGGCGGAGGGCGTGGACTATATAGGAGGAACTAGAGTAGTCTAGCACAGTAGCACTCCGTAAATAAGAGGGCGCTGACTTGAGAAGATGACCGGCGAGTGGAGCGGCCGGGCAGCGACAAGATTCTGGAAAGGCACCGGGTGGAACCCAGCAATTGCAGCGATAATAGGATCGTGTCAAAGGGCCCTGGAATCCTGGATGCGGCCGTCTCACACTCGATCCCCTAAACTTTGCTCAAACGTTGGGCGCGGGTGGAGCTGCTGGTCCGTCGATAATATCTATTAGTGATGGCTTGCGTTTGGCTGATATGCCAGATGGGCGATTGACTCGCGTGGGAGGGGCCGATCAGTTATCACCAAGTAGTTACTTTAAGTAACTCTTAGGGATTCACGAGGAGAAGATTCTCCAATCCAGCAGAATAGAAAACAATCAATGAGACCGACTTGTCTCTCCTCCACGCGAGGGAGGCGCGGTTAAAGCCAAAAAAAGAAAAATAAAAAAAGTGAGGGAAAAAAAAAAAAGAAAAAAGGGTAAAAAAAAAAAGCCCAAATGGAAGGCTTCCGAGTCGGGCGAGAGATAAGGTGAAAAATCAAATGGCATAAAATAAACTCGGGCCCGACGATCATCCACTCACCAACCCGATTCCTCCACTGCTTGCGTTTCCTGGCGAACGGCGGCGGAGCCAGTCAGCTAAGAGTACTAGTAGTACTGACTCTGGACAGTTGTAGGATGTAAGGTTTCTGCAGCGGTTGTTGGCTGCTTTTCGGATCCTTCATGCCTGTCGATTGAGTCCACCATGACCACACAGCCCGGGTCCTCTTCAATCGTCAGGGTTATCGTCCCTCCTGTTAATTCAACCCAGTCACTCGTGAGGGCTTCTTCCCATTGGGTCCGTGGCGAAAAGGCCGTGGCTCGGCCAAGCCCGCCGCCGATTCTGCACAAGTCCCGAAGCGTCGGTGGCGAAAACCCCGTCATAT